CGCCTCTCGTCCTGCAGCACCCGGCCCTGGTAAATGAGGCGCTGCTTCTCGGGGGCGATGCCCACGGCGCCGGCGATGCGGGCCTTGAAATCCCGCACCGAGATCTGGGGGAATGGGGGGCAATGGGGGGCTATGGGGGCAATGGGGGGAATGGGGGGAATGGGGGCAATGGGGTAATGGGGGGAATGGGGGGAATGGGGGAATGGGGGGAATGGGGGGAATGGGGGAATGGGGAATGGGGGCAATGGGGGGAATGGGGGGAATGGGGGGCAATGGGGGGAATGGGGGGAATGGGGGGAATGGGGGCAATGGGGGCAATGGGGGAATGGGGGGAATGGGGGAATGGGGGGAATGGGGGAATGGGGGGAATGGGGGCAATGGGGGTAATGGGGGCAATGGGGGGAATGGGGGCAATGGGGGTAAGGGGGGCAATGGGGGCAATGGGGGGAATGGGGGGAATGGGGGGAATGGGGGGCAATGGGGGGAATGGGGGGAATGGGGTGAATGGGGGCAATGGGGGGAATGGGGGTCAATGGGGATCAATGGGGATGAATGGGGGTCAATGGGGGGCAATGGGGGTCAATGGGGGTCAATGGGGGCAATGGGGGGACGGGTCAATGGGGGTCAATGGGGTCAATGGGGATCAATGGGAGTCAATGGGTGTCAATGGGGGCCAATGGGGTCAATGGGGGTCAATGGGGGCAATGGGGGTGAATGGGGTCAATGGGGTCAAAGGGGTCAATGGGGATCAAGGGGAATCAATGGGTGTCAGTGGGGATCAATGGGGTTAATGGGTATCAGTGGGATCATTTGGTGTCAATGGGTATCAATAGGGATCAATGGAGTCAATGGGGTCAATGAGGATCAATGGGAATAGGGGTGGAAATAAACGGGGATGGAGCAAGAAGTGATAGGAATGAGGGGGAAAACATAAGAATGGAAACGGGGGGAAATAATGGGAATGGGGGTAAATAATGGGAAACAATGGGAATGGGGGAGGAAAACAGGAATGGGGAGAATGGAAATAATGGGAACGGGGGGGTAAGGAATGGGAATGGGGGGGGGGGAATCAATGGGAATGGGAGGGGAACGGGAATAGGCCAAAAGGGAACCGGAAATGGGGGGGGAAACGGGAGCGGGGGAGGGGCTCAAACGGTCCCAAACGGCCCCGAACGGGTTTAAACGGGCTCAAACGGGCCCGGACCCCCCCCCTTCACCTCCGGCTCCACCTCGAAGCTCCGCGTCTGCGAGTCCAGGGTCTTGACGAGCACCGGGAGCGGCTCCTCCGCCATGGCCGGGCCTCAGGGCCCCGGAGGCCTCTTCCCGTTCCTTCCGAACGCGGCCTCCGAACGGGGCCTCCGAACGCTCCCAAACGGGGCCCAAACGGAGCCGAAAACGGGACCCGAAAGCTCCCGACCGCGGTCTGAACGAACGCGTCCGGACGCTGCCTCTGAGGTGATCAGGACCCCGCGCCCCGGGGCTGCCCAATGCGGGCCTGATCGGGGTCCAACCCGCCCCCTCTTCAAACGGGGACGGGGAGCCCCAAACGCTGCCCTCCCCCACCCCAAAACGGCCCCTTCGGGGCCGTTTCCAACGCGTTCGGAAGCGTTGGGACGGTGGAAAAACGCCGCTCGCAACAGGCGTTTGAGGAAGGCAGCACAAGGGGGGGGCCTCAGAGCGGCGCCATCTTGGAGGGCGGGAACACGGCGCAGGCGCCATTGAGGGTGTGGGCGCCGCTATCTTCCGTACGAGGAGGGGGTGGTGTCGTTTGCGTCATCACCGGGACCCAAAACTCGCGTTATTGACCCCAAAATGAGCCCCGCGATGGGGGAGGGGCCGGGGTGCAATATGGGGCAGGGGCTACCATTAAACACCCTATGGGTTACGAAACACCCCCCAAGATGGCGGCAGTCGCTCTGTCACGTGACACCCCCTCCATATAGCGCCAATGGAACACAAGAGACAGGATCAGACCCAAAATCGTCTTTATTTGACCCAAAATCACCCCCACCCCCCCTTATTCCAACGGTTCCATCAGTCCTGAAGGGAAATCTGGGGCTGGAAGAGAGAAACAGAATCAATGGGGTCCAATAGGGGGGCGTTTGGGGTCCCATAGGGATCAATGGGGTCCAATAGGGGCCAACAGGGGGAAGCTGGGGTCTCATAGGGATAAATGTGGTCCCACAAGGGTTAATGGGATCAATGGGGCCCCATAGACATCAGTGGGTCCCATAGGGGTCTCTATGGGGGGGCTCCGGCGGCTCAGGGCGCTGCGAGGGGTCCTCATGCGGGGGTTCAGGTGCTCTTAGGGCTGGTTCCTCATCGCCGCCATCATGGCCCATGGGGAAAGGTCACGTGATGGGGGAAAGAAAACCACGTGGTTCCTTACCTCGGTAAGGTGGGTCCTGATGGGTGCAACCACTATGAGAAAGGAAAGGGGGGGTTAAGGGAGAGACCATGGGGCAATTGGGGGGAGAAGGGGGGGAGGGTCGCTCAGGCCAATGACGTCATCAAAGGGGGTCAGAGACTCTAGTCTATGGCGTCATCACTGCGAACCCCCCCATAGGGCAGCAATGGACCGGTCCGGAGCCCTATAGGGCGCCCCGTAAATCGCTATAGGGCCCCATAGAGGACATTGGACCCCTCCATAGCCCCATAGAGGACATAGGAACCCCATAGAGGACACTGGACCCCTCCCATAGCCCCATAGAGGACATTGGACCCATCCATAGCCCCATAGGAACCCCATACAGAACACAGGAACCCCCCTACAGCATATGGGACCCCCATTGAGGACCCCCCCATAGTCTCATAGGAACCCCATAGATGTGCCCCATAGAGGACGTGGATCCCCCCTATAGCCCCATAGAGGGTATGGGACCCCCATAGCCCCATTGAGGACCTCCCCATAGCCCCATAGGAACCTCATAACCCCATAGGGACCCCCCCTTAACCCCACAGATGCACCCCACATTGCACAAGGGACCCCCATAGGGAACCCCCCATAACCCCATAGAGGCCACTGGACACCCCCCATAGCAGATATGGGACCCCCACAGACCCATAGATCCCCCAATAGAGCACGAGAACCCTTTAACCCCATAGATGTGCCCCATAGAGCACATAGGACACCACCCCATAGCGGATATGGATCCCCCCATAGAGCACATAACCCGTAACCCCATAGGGAGCCCCATAGAGACCCCCCAGCCCCACAGGGATGCATATGGCCCCATAGGACCCCCGTAAGAACCCCCATAACCCCATAGGGAGCCCCCTTAACCCCATAGATGCGCCCCACAGAGAACTAGGAACTCCCCAGCCCCATAGGGCCCCCATATGCACCCCATAACTCCATAGGAGCCCCATAGGAGCCCCACACTCACCCTTCTCCCGCCGGAAAGGACAAAGCGCGCCTGCTCTTCCTGCTTTATAAGGCCCTGAGGCGAAGCCCCGCCCACCGCGCGCCCCGCCAGCCAATCACAAGGAAGAGCCGCGCCCGCCAATCACAGCCTCCCACCCATCACACCCCTCCCCCGTTGCGACCCCCACCACCCGCCCTCCCTTTAACCAATCACAACCCGCGCCCTTACGTTGACCCCGCCCCCCTTACCCCACCCTTCTCCCCTTCACCCCGCCCACCCCCTCAGCCAATCACAGCCCTTCTCCCCTCCTTTATCCGCTTCCATTCAAACCCCCCGAAGCCCCGCCCCTTCCCCTTCAAGCCCCGCCCATTTTTGCCATATAAGGCAACTTTATTACCAAAAACAACCAAAATTGTACAGCCGGGGAAGGGGATTTTGGGTCTCAAACGGGGGATTTTGGGGTTCCCCCATTGGGGGTATTGGGGGGCCCCCCCCACCCCCCAAGCCGGAAGGGGGGGGGAGGGGGGGCCACTTTTTGGGGCAATTTCCAGGTTTTTTTTGTCTTTTCAGGCCGGGTTTTTCTATAAAAGGCCCTGGATGGGGGAGGGGGGGTGGGGGGAGGGGTGGGGGGAGGGGCGTGGCCTTTATCGGGTCTGTTCAACTGTGGGGGGAGAGAAAAGAAAGGGGGGGGTTAGGAAGGGGGGAGGGGAAGGGGGGTGGGGGGAGACCCCCAAATCCACCCCTCCCCCACCCACCACCCCCCCATAGTAAATGGTGCAGCCCCAAAACTGACCCAAATTGCCCCAAAATTGCTCCCAAAACTGACCCCAAATGCCCGAAAATTGACCCTAAAACTGACCCAAATTGCCCCAAAATTGCTCCCAAAACTGAGCCAAAACTACCCCAAAATTGCCCCCAAACTGACCCAAATTGCCCCAAAATTGGCTCCAAAACTGACCCAAAACTACCCCAAGTTCCCCCAAAATGGTCCCAAATTACCCTCAAACTACTCTAAAACTGCCTCAAAGCCACCCTAAAAGTGACACAAAACCACACCAAATTGCCCAAAACCACCTGAAATTGCCCCAAAACTGCAACTGCCCCCAAACCTGCCATTTTTTGTCCCAAATTTGCCTAAAATTGCTGGTTTTCAGCCCAAAGTTGCCCAAACTCGCCCTTTTTTGCCACAAATCTCACTGTAGGAGGAGATGTCGATCTCATCGGGCAGCTCCCCCCCATAGCCCCATCACCCCAATGATGCTCCCTCCGTCCCTGCCCTAAAACCACTCCATTTTGCCCAAAATCGCCGTTTTTTAGCCCAAAGTTGCCCAAAATCGCCGTTTTTCTCCCCGAAGTTGCCCAAAATCGCAGTTTTTCAGCCCAAATTTGCCCAAAATCCCTGGTTTTCGCCCCAAAGCTCACTGTAGATATTGATCTCATCAGGCAACATGCTCCCTCCAACCCTACCCTAAAACCACTCCGTTTTGCCCAAAATCACCATTTTTCACCCCAAAGTTGCCCAAAATCGCGGTTTTTCAGCCCAAATTTGCCCAAAATCCCCGTTTTTCGCCCCAGAGCTCACTGTAGGAGGAGATGTCGATCTCATCGGGCAGCTCCCCCCCATAGCCAATGGTTCATCCCAATGATGCTCCCTCCAACCCATTCCCCTGCCCCAAAACCACTCTGTTTTGCCCAAAATCGCCGTTTTTCAGCCCAAAGTTGCCCAAAACCCCCGTTTTCCGCCCCAAAGCTCACTGTAAATGTCAATCTCATCGGGCAGCATGCTCCCTCCAACCCTGTCCTAAAACCTCTGCGTTTTGCCAAAAATCACCATTTTTCACCCCAAAGTTGCCCAAAATGTTTTTGTTGTGTTTTTGTTGTGCCGTTTTTCAGCCCAAATTTGCCCAAAATCGCCGTTTTTCGCCCCAGAGCTCACTGTAGGAGGAGATGTCGATCTCGTCGGGGAGCTCGCTGATGTTCACCTCGAAGCGGTCCTGGACGTCGTTGAGGATCTTGGCATCGTTCTCATCCGACACAAAGGTGATGGCCAGGCCCTTGGTGCCGAACCGGCCCGCCCGGGCCACCTATGGGATATAGGGTACCCTATAGAGAGCTATGGGGCACATAAAGCACCCTAGAGAGCTATGGGGCCTATGGGACACCCTAGAGAGTGCTATGGGGGATATAGGGTACCCTATAGAGCGCTATGGGGCCTATGGGGCACCCTATAGAGTGCTATGGGGGATATAGGGTACCCTACAGAGAGCTATGGGGGACATGGGGCACCCTAGAGAGCGCTATGGGGGACATAGGGCATCCTAGAGAGTGCTATGGGGCACATAGGGCACCCTATAGAGTGCTATGGGGCACATAGGGCACCCTATAGAGTGCTATGGGGCACATAGGGCACCCTATAGAGTGCTATGGGGGACATAGGGCACCCTAGAGAGTGCTATGGGGCACATAGGGCACCCTATAGAGTGCTATGGGGCACATAGGGCACCCAGAGAGCCCTATGGATCCAGAGAGCAGCCATAGAACACTATAGGAGCCATATAGTTCCCATAGGCACCCTATAGAGTGCTATGGGGGATATAGGGTACCCTATAGAGAGCTATGGGGCACATAGGGTACCCTACAGAGTGCTATGGGGGATATAGGGCACCCTATAGAGAGCTATGGGGCACATAGGGCACCCTAGAGAGTGCTATGGGGCCTATAGGGCACCCTAGAGAGCGCTATGGGGCCCATAGGGCGCCCTAGAGAGCGCTATGGGGCCCATAGGGCGCCCTAGAGAGTGCTATACCCTGTGTTCCCCCCCATATGTGCCCCCCAGGGGCTCACCCGGTGCAGGTAGGTGTCCGAGTCCTCGGGCATGTCGTAGTTGAAGGCGATGTTCACCCTCTCGATGTCCATCCCCCGCCCAAACAGGTTCGTGGCCACCAGGATGCGGCGCTGGAAGTCCTTGAACTGCTGGTACCGGGATAACCTGGAGCGTGGGGGGGGGGGGGTGTCCCGATATATCGCGATATATCCCGATACATCCCACTATATCCCAATATATCCTGGTGTACCCTGATATACCCCATTATATCGCGATATATCCTGATACACCCCACTATATCCCAATATATCCTGGTGTACCCTGATATATCCCATTATATCGTGATATATCCCGATCCATCCCACTATATCCCGATATATCCTGGTGTACCCTGATATATCCCATTATATCGTGATATGTCCTGATACATCCCACTATATCCCGATATATCCTGCTGTATCCCGACATATCCCAATATATCCCGATATATCCCGCTGTATCCCGATATATCCCAGTATATCCCGATATATCCCAATATATCCCGATATATCCCAATATATCCTGATATATCCCGATATATCCTGGTGTATCGCGATATGTCCTGCTACCTCCCACTGTATCCTGATATATCCCCATATATCCCAATATATCCTGATATGTCTGTATATCCTGATATATCCCAATATATCCCCATATATCCCAGTATATCCCGATATATCCCAATATATCCCGATATACACCAATATATCCTGGTATATCCCGATATATCCTGATATATCCCGATATATCCAAATATATCCCTGCACATCCCAATATATCCCGGTACATCCCACTATATCCCAGTATATCCCGATATACCCTGATATATCCCAGTATATCCTGATATATCCCAATATATCCCTGTATATCCCGATATATCCCTATATATCCCAATATATCCCGATATACCCAAATATATACCCGACATATCCCAGTATATCCCAGTATATCCCAGTCTATCCCAGTCTACGGCAGGGGATCGCACCGTTCCTCCTGGGGCATCCCGCGGTGGATGGCGATGGCCGGGAAGTTCTGCTCCACCAGGAGCTGCGCCAGGGCGATGCAGCGCTGCACCGACTTGACGAAGATCACCACCTGGGGGGGAACGGGGTACAGGGGTGTCAATGGGGAGAGGGGGGATAATGGGGGGGAATGGGGATGGGGGGGAATGGGGTTTGGGGTGAAAAATGGGGGTTTGGGGAGAAAAAACGGGGTTTTTGGCAAAAAAAATGGGGATTTGGGGAGGGAAAATGAAGGGGTTGAAGGGGAGAGAGTGGGGTGCAGAGATTGGATGGAGACAGAACCTTTGGGGGGGAAATAGGGAATTTAAGGGGGAAAGGGATTTAATGGGATATAGGGATTGGGGGAATGGGGTTGGGAGAAATGGGGTTTGGGGAAAAAAAGATTTGGGGAGAAAATGGGGATTTGGGGAGAATGGGTGGGGAGAATGTTTGGGGATGGGGGTTTTGGGGAAAAATAGGGATTTGGGGAAATGGGGGTTTAGGGAGGAAAAATGGGGATTTGGGGAACTGGGGTTTTGGGGAGAAAAAAGGGGATTTGGGGAGAAAAAATGGGGATTTGGGGGGGGAAATGAAGGGGTTGAAGGGGAGAGGTGGGGTGCAGAGATTGTATGGGGCGTATTTTTGGGTAGGAAATAGGTTTAGGAGGGTTGTAGGGGTATGTTAGGGTGTTTTGGGGATTTAAGGGTGTTTTGGGGCTATTTTGGGGTATTTTAGGGTGTTTTAGGGCTGTTTGGGGGTATTTTGGGGTGTTTTGGGGGTTAGGGTGTTTGGGGGCTGTTTTGGGGTATTTTAGGGTGTTTTGGGGTATTTTAGGGTGTTTTGGGGTATTTTAGGGTGTTTGGGGGCTGTTTTGGGGTATTTTAGGGTGTTTAGGGCATATTTTAGGGTGTTTTAGGGGTATGTTAGTGTGTTTTGGGGGTATTTCAGGGTGTTTTGGGGCTGTTTTGGGGTGTTTAGGGCATATTTTAGGGTGTTCTGGGGGTATTTTGGGGCTATTTTGGGGTATTTTAGGGTGTTTTGGTGGTATTTTAGGGTGTTTTAGGGGTATTTTAGGGTGTTTTGGGGGTATTTTAGGGGTATTTTGGGGTGTTTTGGGGTATTTTAGGGTGTGTTAGGGTGTTTTGGGGGTGTTTTGGGGGTATTTTAGGGTGTTTTGGGTGTATTTTGGGGTGTTTTGGGGTATTTTGGGGTATTTTAGGGTGTTTGGGTGCGTTTTGGGGTGTTTTGGGGGTATTTTAGGGTGTTTTGGGGTGTTTTGGGGTGTTTTGGGGTGCTCACCTGGTTGAACTCGAGCACGTCGAGCAGGTCGAAGAGCTTGCGGTTCTTCTCGTTGTCCTTGAGCTTGACGTAGTACTGCTGCAGGCCGTGCAGCGTCAGCTTCGTCTCGTCGTCCACAAAGATCTCCATAGGCTACAATGGGGGGGGGCAGAGAGAGACTGAGGTGGGGACCCCCCCTGCGCCCCAAAACGGGACCCGCACCCCCAGAATGGGGCCAAAGAGGGGGAAAATGGGCCAAAAAGGGTGAAAATGGGCCCAAAGAGGCAAAAAGGGGCCCAGAAAGGGTGAAAATGGGCTCAAAGAGGGTAAAAATGCACCCAAAGAGGGTAAAAATGGCCCAAAGAGGGTGAAAATGGGCCCAAAAAGGGTGAAAATGGCCCAAAGAGGGTGAAAATGGGCCCAAAGAGTGAAAATGGCCCAAAGAGGGCAAAAATGGGCTCAAAAAGGGTGAAAATGGGTCAAAGAGGGTAAAAATGGGCCCAAAAAGGGTGAAAATGGGCTCAAAGAGGGCAAAAATGGGACAAAGAGGCAAAAATAGTCTCAAAGAGGGTAAAAATGCACGCAAATAGGGTGAAAATGGGCCCAAAACCGGCAAAAATGGCCCAAAGAGGGTGAAAATGCACCCAAAGAGGGTAAAAATGGGCCCAAAGAAGGTAAAAATGGGCCCAAAAAGGGTGAAAATGGCCCAAAGAGGGTAAAAATGGGCCCAAAGAGGGTGAAAATGGGCCCTGGAACCCCCAAAATGGGCCCTGACACCCCTAAATGGGCCCTGACACCCCAAAAATGGGCTCAAAGAGGTCAAAAATGGGCCCAGCACCCAAAACTGAGACCTGGCACCCCAAAAATGGGCTCAGAAAGGTAAAAAATGGGCCAAAAAGACTAAAAATGGGCGGGAGGAGGGGAAAAATGGGCCCTGGCACCCCCATAATGGGTTCAGAGAGGCTAAAAATGGGGCAAAGAGGCCAAAAATGGGCCCTGGCACCCCAAAAATGGGCTCAGAGAGGGCAAAAATGGGCCAAATAGAGGCCAATGGGGATCTGCACCCCTGAATGGGTCTTGGCACCCCCAAAAAGGGAGCCAAGGGGTCCCCAACTGAGTCTTATGGGTGCCAATAGAGGCTTATAGCCTCTACACCCCAGTAGACTCCCTGCACCCCAATACAACCCAATGGGCTCCCTACAGCCCCCCTCCACCCCAATAGGTCCCCAATACCTCCCTGCACCCCAATACAACCCTATGGGCTTTCTACACCCCAGTAGAGCCCTATGGGGTCCCTATAACCCCATGCACCCCAATACAACCCTATGGGTCCCCTGCATCCCAATACAAACCTATGGGCTCCCTGCACCCCAACGGAGCCCAATGGAATCCTTGCACCCCAATAGAGCCCAATGGGCTGCTTACAGCTCAATACAACCCAATGGGATTCCTACACCCCAATAAAACCCCATGGGATCCCTATAACCCCCTATACCCCAATAGAGCCCTATGGGCTCCCTATAACCCCTTGCACCCCAATACAACCCTATGGGCTCCCTATAACCCCCTACACCCCAATACAACCCTATGGGCTCCCTATAACCCTCTATACCCCAATAGAGCCCTACAGGCTCGCTATAACCCCTTGCACCCCAATACAACCCTATGGGCTCCCTATAACCCCCTACACCCCAATACAACCCTATGGGCTCCCTATAGCATCCCTACACCCCAATAGAGCCCTATGGGCCCCCTATATCCCCCTGCACCCCAAACCCTTCCTATCCCCCCCATTCCACCCCCCCCATCCCATCCCCCCCCCTCCCCAAAATCCTGCTCCAGGATCCAGCATCCGCGGGGCTCCCCGGAAGTGAATCCGGATGCTCCCATTGTTGGGGGGGAGGAGGGGATGGGGGGGAGGGGAACCAAAGTTGGGGGGGAGGGGCTTGGGGTGGGGGTTGGGGGGGTCTTAACTCCTTCGTCGTGGTCCCAAAGCCGGAAGTGAGGGGGGGGCTGGTCCTGATGCTCTCCTGGGCTTCCACGTCTCGGGGGTGATGATGATGATGGCGATGGTTTTGGGGGGGTCTAAGCCTCGTTTTGGGGTGATTTCAGGTGGTTTTAGGCAAAAAAAGAGGGTTTGGGGGGGGGTTAAAGTGAGGACCCCCCCCTTTTTTTTCCCCTATTGGTGCAGCCTAGAGGATGGAGCCGAGAGATCTTCCGCGTTGAGTGATGGTTTAGACTCATTTTGGGTTGATTTCAGGCGTTTTTAGGCAAAAAGAGGGGTTTAAAGTGAGCCCCCCCCCAAAATCTTCTTAGTGTGACGATGATGATGGTGTTTGGGGGGGGTTGCGTGCGGTTTAGGCCTCATTTTGGGGTGATTTCAGGCAAAAAGAGGGGTTTAAAGTGAGCCCCCCCCCCATAATCTTCTTAGTGTGATGATGATGGTGTCTGGGGGGTGTTGAGTGTGGTTTAGGCCTCCTTTTGGGTTGATTTCAGGCGTTTTTAGGCAAAAAGAGGGGGTTAAACTGAGCCCCCCCCCATTGATCTTCTGTTTCTCAGTGTGATGATGATGATGATGGTGTCTGGGGGGGGTTGCGTGTTTAGGCTTCATTTTGGGCTGATTTCAGGTGGTTTCAGGCAAAAAGAGGGGGTTCAATTGAGCACCCCTCGTTAGATCTTCCTCATCTCAGTGTGATGATGATGATGGTTGTGTCTGGGGGGGGGTTGCGTGCAGTTCAGGCTTCATTTTGGGGTGATTTCAGGTGGTTTTAGGCAAAAAGAGGGGTTTAAAGTGAGCCCCCCCCACTGATCTTCTGCATCTCGGTGTGATGATGATGAATGTGTCTGGGGGGGGTTGCATGCAGTTTAGGCCTCCTTTTGGGTTGATTTCAGGTGGTTTTAGGCAAAAAGGGGTGTGTTAAAGTGAGCCCCCCCCCAAATCTTCTTCTAAGTGTGATGATGATGATGATGAATGTGTTTGGGGGGGGGTTGCGTGTGGTTTAGGCCTCTTTTTGGGGTGATTTCAGGCAAAAAGAGGGGCTTAAATCGAGCCCCCCCCATAATCTTCTCTGTGATGATGATGATGATGGTGTCTGGGGGGGGTTGCGTGCGGTTTAGGCCTCATTTTGGGCTGATTTCAGGTGTTTTTAGGCAAAAATCCGGGGTTAAATTCAGCACCCCTCCATAGATCTTCTGTATCTCAGTGTGATGATGATGGTGCTGTCTGGGGGGGGTTGAGTGTGGTTTAGGCCTCATTTTGGGGTGATTTCAGGTGGTTTTTGGCAAAAAGGGGTGTCTTAAAGTGAGGCCCCCCACATAATCTTCTGCTTCTCAGTGTGATGATGATGATGGTTGTGTCTTGGGGGGGGTTGAGTGTGGTTTAGGCCTCATTTTAGGTTGATTTCAAGTGATTTCAGGCAAAAAGAGGGGGTTAAATTGAGCCCCCCCCCATAATCTTCTGCTTCTTAGTCTGATGATGAATGTGTCTGGGGGGGGTTGCGTGTGGTTTAGGCCTCCTTTTGGGGTGATTTCAGGTGGTTTCAGGCAAAAAGAGGGATTTAAAGTGAGCCCCCCCCATAGATCTTCTGTATCTCAGTGTGACAATGATGCTGATAATGTCTGGGGGGGGTTGCATGCGGTTTAAGCCTCATTTTGGGGTGATTTCAGGTGCTTTTAGGCAAAAAGAGGGGGTTAAATTGAGCTGTCCCCTATAGATCTTCCTCATCTCAGTGTGACGACGATGACGGTTGTGTCTGGGGGGGGTTGCGTGCGGTTTAAGCCTCCTTTTGGGTTCATTTCCCATGCTTTTAGGCAAAAAGAGTGGGGTTCAAACTGAAGCCCCCCATTACTACACCCTGAGGATGAGGATGGAGAAGAGGGGGTGTAGGGGATAACCGAGAGATCTTCCGCATGGAGGGATGGAAGGGGGGTGGCGTGATGAGGATGCTGCCCCTCCCCCATCGGTGATGTGTGGGGGTGGGGGAGGGGCGGGTGGTGGGGGGAGGGGCGGGTCAGCGGGGTGGGGGCGGGGTTCATTTACGTCTTGCATGAACTTGCGGCAGACGGGGCGGATCTCCTTGGAGAGGGTGGCGCTGAACATCATGACCTGCTTCTCGTGGGGGGTCATGCGGAAGATCTCCTGCACGTCCCGACGCATGTCTGCCGTGGGGATAGTGGGGGGAATGGGGGGATAGAATGGGGGGGAATGGGGGGGAATGGGGGGGAGTAATGGGCGGGAAAGGATGGGGGTAATGGGGAAAGGATGGGGTAATGGGGAGGAATGATGGGGAATATGGGGGGGAAAGGATGGGGGTAATGGGGAAAGGATGGGGGTAATGGGGGGGAATGATGGGGAATATGGGGGAGAATGATGGGGATAATGGGGGGAGGATGGGGGTAATGGGGAAAGGATGGGGGGAATGGGGGGCAAAGGATGGGGGTAATGGGGGGGAAAGGATGGGGGTAATGGGGGAGGATGGGGGTAATGGGGGGAAAGGATGGGGGCAATGGGGGATAACGGATGGGGATAATGGGAGGGAAAGGATGGGGATAAGGGGGGAAGAATGGGGAGAAGAACACGGATAAGGATGCGAAGGATGACAAACCCTACTTTTCCCCCCCAAAACGCTACTATGACTCCCAAAAACCCCACTTTTTCCCCGAAAACCCTACATTTTTTCCCCAAAAACCCTACTTTTTCCCCCTAAAACCCTACTTTTTCTCCCCAAAACCCTACTTTCCCCCCCAAAAACGATCCTTTTCCCCCAAAACCCTACTTTTTCCCCCAAAAAACCCTACTTTTACCCCAAAACAACCTACTTTTCCCCTCCAAAACCCCCATTTTTCTCCCCCAAACCCCTCATTTTTCCCCCAAAACCCCCCCTTTTCCCCATTCCCCCCCATGTCAGATCCCTCCATCCCCCGATGGGTACCGAGCTGCTCGAGCATCTTGTCGCACTCATCCAGGATGAAGTGCTTGATGTGCTTGAGGTTGAGGCTCTTGTTGCGCGCCAGCGCCAGGATGCGGCCCGGGGTCCCCACCACGATGTGGGGGCAGTTCTTCTTGAGCACCTCCTCGTCCTTCTTGATGGACAGACCCCCGAAGAACACCGATACCTGCGGGGGGACGGGGGGAAACACCCCATAGGTACACATGAACAACCCATAGATACACCTGAACGCCCCATAGATACACCTGAACGCCCCACAGATACACCTGAACCATCATAGGTACAGCTAAACACCCCGTAGGTACACCTAAACACTCCATAGATACACCTAAACCATCATAGATACAGCTAAACACTCCATAGATACAGCTGAACCGTCATAGGTACACCTAAACCATCACAGGTATACCTAAACACTCCATAGATACACCTGAACCGGCATAGGTACACCTGAACACTCCATAGATACACCTGAACCATCGTAGGTACACCTAAACACCCCATAGATACACCTAAACCATCATAGATACAGCTAAATACTCCATAGATACACCTGAACTGTCATAGGTACACCTAAACACTCCATAGATACACCTGAACCGGCATAGGTACACCTAAACACTCCATAGATACAGCTGAACCGTCATAGATACACTTGAACACCCCATAGATACACCTGAACAACCCATAGGTACACCTGAACCAGCATAGATACACCTGAACGCCCCATAGATACACCTGAAACGTCATAGGTACACCTGAACGCTCCATAGATACAGCTGAACCATCATAGATACACCTAAACACTCCATAGATACACCTGAACTGGCATAAGTACAGCTGAACACTCCATAGATACACCTAAACACCGCATAAATACACCTAAACCATCATAGGTACAGCGAAACACCCCATAGATACACCTGAACCGGCATAGGTACACCTAAACCATCATAAGTACAGTAAAACACCCCATAGACAGAACCCCCCCAATTCCCATGGGATCCCTCCCAAATCCCATGGGATCATCCCCCAATTCCCATGGCATCACCCCCCCAATCCCATGGGATCACCCCCCAAATCCCATGGGATCCCCCCCCAATTCCCATGGGATCATCCCCCAAATCCCATAGGATCCCCCCCAAATCCCATAGGATCACCCCATGCCCCTCACCTTCACACTGGGCATGTACTTGGAGAAGCGTTCGTACTCTTTGCTGATCTGGAAGGCCAGCTCCCGCGTGTGACACATCACCAGTACCGAGACCTGGGATTGGACGGCGGGGGATTGGGGGGGGAAGGGGTTGGACACCCCCAAAACACCCTCGGGATGCACTGAATCCATCTGGAAACCCTTAAATCCATCCAGGACCCCCTTAAATCCTTCCAGGACCCCTCTGAGGACCCCCCCTATCCTCTTTATAGGTGTCTATACCCTGCCTGATGATGGCACCAAAGACCCCCAAAGCCCCCCAGACCCATAAGACCCCACTAAACTCCCTTAAGAACCCCTCTATATCCCTTATAGGTGTCTATGCCCTGCCTGATGAGAAGCTTAAGCTTTAGTAGCCTGGCCAAGGACCCCTTACACCCTTCAGGACCCCTTTGAGGACCCCTCTGTATCTTATATAGGTGTCTATGCAGTGCCTGACGTGAAGCATAAGCTCAAGTAGCCTGGCCAAGGACCCCTTACAGCCCTTGAGGACCCCTCATAGGTGTCCGCTCACCTGCCCGGTGACGGGCTCCAGCTGCTGCAGGGTGGCCAGCACGAACACGGCTGTCTTGCCCATGCCTGACTTGGCCTGGCACAGCACGTCCATGCCCAGGATGGCCTGAGGGATGCACTCGTGCTGCACTGCAGGGGGGGGACACAAAAAAGGGGGGGTTAGAAATGGGGGTACACACATTAGCATCCTATGGCACCCATAGCACCCATTGACACCCTATAGCACCCATAGCACCCTATGGCACCTTCAGAGGGGTGCTCGAAGCCGCAGTCCACGATGGCCCGGAGTAGCTCAGCTCTGATCCCCATAGACGCCAACAGCATCCATAGACTCCAATAGCCCCCATTAGCACCCTATAGCACCCTATAGCACCCATTGACACCCTACAGCACCCATGAGCACCCATAGCACCCTATGGCACCCATCACCCCCATAGCACCCTATGGCACCCATTGACACCCTATGGCACCCATGAGCACCCATAGCACCCGATAGCACACACTGGCACCCATTAGCACCCATAGCATCCATTGACACCCTATGGCACCCTATAGCACCCCACAGCACCCATTGACACCCCATTGACACCCATAGCACCCCATAGCACCTTCGGAGGGGTGCTCGAAGCCGCAGTCCACGATGGCCCGCAGCAGCTCAGCTCTGATCCCCATAGACCCCAATAGCCCCCATAGACACCCCATAGCCCCCATAGCACCCACAGACACCCATAGCCCCCATAGCACCCATTGACACCCCATAGGCCCCATAGCACCCTATAGCCCCCATAGCACCCTATGGCACCTTCGGAGAGGTGCTCGAAGCCGCAGTCGACGATGGCCCGGAGCAGCTCAGCTCTGATCCCCATAGACCCCAATAGCCCCCATAGCACCCATTGACACCCCATAGCACCCATAGACACCCATAGCACCCCATAGCACCTTCAGAGGGGTGCTCGAAGCCGCAGTCCACAATAGCCCGGAGCAGCTCGGGTTTGAGCAGGAAGTCCCTGAAGCCGGAGCTGTGGATGGACACGTAGGAGCCCTTCACCTCCTTCTTGGGGGGCGCCTCGGGGCCCTCCCCCCCGGCCCCCGCCTCCACTTCGTCGTCCTCATAGTCCAGGAGCTCGTTGTCGACGTCGTTCTCCGCCATGGAGGCTGGAAAAGGGGGGGAGTGAGGGGGGGCAATGGGGGGGAATGGGGGGGGGAATGGGGGAGGGAATTGGGTTGGGAATGGGGGGGGAATGGGGTGGGAATGGGGGGATGCAGTGGCTTTGAATGGGGTGGGATAAAGGAGGAGATGGGCTCGATAAAAGGGGGGATAAGGGGGTTCTAAAGGGCTGCCCACATCGTTCTCCACCATGGAGGCTGGAACACCGGGAACACCGTTGGGAACGGGGTGGGATAAAGGGGGAAATGGGGTCTATAAAGGGGTGGGATAAGGAGGGGACATTGGCTCCATAAAGCGGTGGGAATGGGATAGGGAATGGGATAGGGAATGGGATAGGGAATGGGATAGGGAATGCGGACCCTGACACCCCCCTCTTATTACCCCTCTCCCGCCACATCCCGCCTCGACCCCGCCCATTCCGCCTCCAGCCAATCCCCGCCCTTCCCGCCAAACCCCCGCACGCGCGGGCGCGGGGTTCTCCTCTCCCCCCCCTCCTTTCCACTTCCATTCCCGGGCCCTCTCCGGCGCCGCCATCTTGGCACCCACAATGGCCGCCGATCCCCCCCCCCCCCCGGTGCTTTTCCCGGTCCATCCGGTGCCGGCAGAGGCCGCGCCGGGAAAGGAGCCCGGGGACGGACGCGGAAGGAGCGGCCCCGGAGGTATCGGAGGCCGATGGGCCCCGATGGGCGCCGGCGACCGCGATCCGAGCCCGATGGAGGAACCCGAGGGCCCCGATGGCCGCGCCGCCATGACTTACCGCCGAGCGCTGCAACAGCCGTGGGGAAGAGTGGGCGGGGCGATGGGGCGTCACTTCCGCCTTCACCCTCCCACCAATCCGCCGCCTCCACAGCGGGGCTGCCCGCGGAGATCGCCTGAATCCGGAGCCGAATCCAATCGAGACCCCGCCACAAAGCCCCGCCCACGGTGCACCCGCTCCCCCCCCACACCGCACCCTCGTCCCTCCCCCACCCCATTCCCCCGTTTCCCGGTGGGGCCCCCGTTACCGGGAGCGATTTACGATCAGGCGGCGCCACGGGCAGCCCCGCTGCGGGGGTCCTGACTCTGCCAGAGGGAGCCCCGGCCCCCGCCGCGTCGCTATGGAGACAGCGTTGAACCAATCAGCTTTAAGAGGCGTGGCCGAGGCAGGGGGCTCCCGCGCTGTTTGTTGTAGCCAATCAGATGGGGGCCTTCAGGAGGCCACGCCCCGTAGGGGCTTAAAGGGGCAACGGTGCCTCAAAGCCTTAAAGGGGCAACGGTGAAGGGGTCCCCAGAGTCAAAAAGGGAGGCTTTTTTTGGGGTAAAAACCCCTTTTTATTGCACTTTAACACTTCTGGGAGCGCGGGAAAAGCCTCGTTCCGCGGGGGGGGTGTCGGGGGGTGACCCCGTGGAGGGGGCGGGGTTAAGGTGGACCCCTCCGCGGAGGCCACGCCCCCTTTTGGTCCGGTGGGCCCCGTGGCATGATGGGAAGGGGCCGCTCAGGGCTCAGCCAATCGCAGCATCGGGCCGGAGGTGGTGGGGACACTGTGGGAGGGGCCAGAGAGGGGTCACGTGGGGGCGTGCCCCCCTCAATGGGGTCACAGAGGGGTCATGGGGGTCACAGAGGGGTCATAGGTCACACCCAGAGTTCAGCAGTCACCTGGGGGCACCCAAGGGTGTCACGTGAGGGTCAGAGGTCACATGATGGGGGGGCCTATAGGGGTCTATGGAGCATCTATGGGGATCTATGGGGGTCTACGTGGCTCTATAGGGGTCTATGGGGGATCTATGGGGGTCTATGGGAGGTCTATGGGGGATCTATGGGGGTCTATGGGAGATCTATAGGGGTCTAGGGGAGGTCTATAGCAGTCTATGGGGGGTCTATGGGGATCTATGGGGGTCTACGTGGCTCTATAGGGGATCTATGTGGGTCTATGGGGCTCTACAGGGGTACATACGGGTCTACAGGGATTTATGGGAGGTCTATAGAGGTGTATGGGGGTATAGAGGGGTCTATGGGGGGTCTATGGGGGTTCTATGGGGCTCTATAGGGGTCTATGGGGAGTCCATAGGGGTCTATGGGGGTCTATGTGGGTCTATGGGTCCCTATGGGTCCCTATGGGTCTCTATGGGTCTCTATGGGGTTCTATGGGTCTCTATGGGTCTCTATGGGGTCGTGCCCACCTGAGCACCAGCTGTGCCCCCAGGAGGTCGTGCAGGATGAAGCTGAGGCCGATGGCGGCGCCGGGGGGGGCCCTGCGCTCCTGCAGCTCCTCCAGCAACAGCTCCCGGTGCCGGGCCCGGCGCAGGCGGGAGAGGATGGCCCCACGGCCTGGGGGGGAATGGGGGGCAATGGGGGTTAATGGGGGCAATGGGGGAATGGGGGGCAATGGGGTAATGGGGGCAATGGGGTAATGGGGGGAATGGGGGAATGGGGGGCAATGGGGTAATGGGGGTAATGGGGGGAATGGGGGCAATGGGGTAATGGGGGGCAATGGGGTAATGGGGGGCAATGGGGGAATGGGGGGCAATGGGGTAATGGGAGTCAAGGGGGTAATGGGGGTCAATGGGGTAATGGGGGGAATGGGGGAATGGGGGAATGGGGTAATGGGGGGCAATGGGGGGAATGGGGGGCAATGGGGGTAATGGGGTAATGGCAATGGGGTAATGGGGGCAATGGGCGTAATAGGGGTTAATGGGGGGCAATGGGGGTAATGGGGGTAATGGGGTTAATGGGGGCCAATGGGGGTAATGGGAGTCAATGGGGTAATTGGGGTAATCAGGTAATGGGGGTCAAGAGGGTAATTGGGGTAATGGGGCACTGGTGTAATGGGGAGAATGGGGGTAGTGGGGGGAATGGGGTAATGGGGGTAATGGAGTCAATAGGGGCAATGTGGGCAATGGGACCCATAGGGGGCAATGGGAGTCAATGGGGCAATGGAGTTCAATGGGATCCATAGGTGTCAATGGGTCTCAATGGGAGTCAATGGGGTTCAATGGGGTTCAATGGGGCTCAATGGGGTCAATGGGGTTCAATGGGGCTCAATGGGGTTCAATGGGGGTCAATGGGGCTCAATGGGGTCAATGGGGTTCAATGGGGCTCAATGGGGTCAATGGGGCTCAATGGGGCTCAATGGGGGTCAATGGGGCTCAATGGGGTCAATGGGGTTCAATGGGGTTCAATGGGGCTCAATGGGGGTCAATGGGGCTCAATGGGGTTCAATGGGGCTCAATGGGGGTCAATGGGGGTCCCATTACCCCTAAGGATGGCGCGGATGAAGCGGCCCAGTCCCGGCACCGACAGCCACCAGCTCCCAGCATCCCGGAGAGTGAGGAGCCCTGCGGCCACCAACTGCCTGCAATGGGGCAATGGGGGTCAATGGGGGTAATGGGGCAATGGGGGCAATGGGGCAATGGGGGCAATGGGGCAATGGGGGTCAATGGGGGCAATGGGGGTCAATGGGGGTGATGGGGCAATGGGGGTAATGGGGCAATGGGGTGAAATGGGGGCAATGGGGGTGAAGGGGAGCAATCGGGGTCAATGGGGGCAATGGGGCGATGGGGTGAAATGGGGTAATGGGGCAATAGGAATAATGGGGCTCAATGGGTGTCAATGGGGCTCAATGGGTATCAGTGGGGTTCAATGGGTGTCAATGGGTGTCAATGGGCCTCAATGGGTGTCAATTGGTATCAATGGGGCTCAATGGGTGTCAATGGGTATCAATGGGTATCAATGGGACTCAATGGGTGTCAATGGGGCTCAATGGGGTTCAATGGGGCTCAATGGGTGTCAATGGGTATCAATGGGTATCAATGGGAGTCAATGGGTATCAATGGGTGTTAATGGGTGTCAATGGGTACCAATGGGTATCAATGTGTATCAGTGGGTATCAATGGGAGTCAATGGGGCTCAATGGGTATCAATGGGTATTAATGGGGCTCAATGGGGTTCAATGGGGTTCAATGGGTGTCAATGGGGTTCAATGGGTCTCAATGGGGTCCCTCACGTGATGTCCCGGTCTCCGAAGCCCCACTCCTTCAGCTCCCTCTCCTCGTACCCCAGCGCCGGGCTCGCGGCCACGGCCCCATCCAGGAACCTCCGGATCAGGGGGGCCCGGGGGGACCCCGCTGCCCCCGCCAGCACCTGGGGGGGGGCAACAGAGGGGATGGGGGTCCCATTGCCCCCTATGGGGCCCTATGGGGGTCCCATTGTCCCCTATGGGGGGTGGAAGATCCCATTATGCACTATGGGGGGGTGGAAGATCCCATTATCCCCTATGGGGGGTGGAAGATCCCATTATCCACTATGGGTGGTGGAAGATCCCATTATTCCTTATGGGGGGTGGAAGATCCCATTATTCCTTATGGGGGGTGGAAGATCCCATTGTCCACTATGGGGGGTGGAAGATCCCATTATCCTCTATGGGGGTAGAAGATCCCATTATCCACTACGGGGGGGGGTGGAAGATCCCATTATCCCCTATGGGGGGTGGAAGATCCCATTATCCCTTATGGGGGGGTTGGAAGATCCCATTCTGCCCTATGGGGGTGGACGTTCCCATTGTGCCCCCTGGCCCCTCCCCACCTTCTCCCTATAGGCATCCACGCACACGACCCCCAGCGTATCCGAGCCCAGCCCCACATGGAGCAACCGGATGCGCCCGTCAGCCCGGAGCCGGTCCTATGGGGCAGAGCACACAATGTGGGTCCCATGGGGTGGTCCCATTGCTCGCTATGGGGCAAAGTACACAATATGGGTCCTATGGGGGGGGGTCCCACTGTCCGGTATGGGGCAGAGCACACAATGTGGGTCCTATGGGGGGGGGGCCCATTGTCTGCTATGGGGCAGAGCACACAATGTGGGTCCCATGAGGGGGGCGGTCCCATTGTCCCCTATGGGGCAGAGCACACAATGTGGGTCCCATGGGGGGGGGTCCCATTGTCCCCTATGGGGCAGAGCACACAATGTAGGTCCTATGGGGGGGGGGTGTCCCATTGTCCGCTATGGGGCAGAACACACAATGTGGGTCCCATGGGGGGGGGGTCCCATTGTCCGCTATGGGGCAGAGGACCCAACCAAGAGAGGTCCAATGGGGCAGGGGGAGGTCCCATTATCCCCAATGGGGCAGAGAACCCAACCGCGAGAGGTCCAAAGGGGCAGTCCCATTGTCACCTATGGGGCAGGGGGTTACTTATGGGGCTGCCCCATAGCGGGCCCCACCAGGTGCCGGTCGACGGCCGTGCGGTCGCTGACGATGCTGTAGAGCTGATGGCGCAGGACCAGGGGGGGCAGGAGGTCCCCAAAGAGCCCTATGGGGAACAGGGCCCCCAGGGCCCCCAGGGCAGCCTCCACTGCCCCAGGGCTGCCTATGGGGGGGGGGCCCATAAGTGGCCCCATAGAGACCCATAGAAACCAGAAAGACCCCATAGAGACCCCATAGAGACCTATAGATGCCCCACATAAAACTATAGAGCCCCATAGAGCCTACATAGAGACCTACATAGACCCCATAGAGACCCACAGAGCCCTATAGAGACCCATAGAGACCCCGTAGAGACCCATAGAGACCCATAGAGACCCCACAGAGATCCCATAGAGCCCCCATAAAGACCCAATAAAGCCCCATAGAGACCCATAGAGACCCGTAGGTGCCCATAGACGCCCCACAGAAACCTATAGAGCCACATAGAGCCTACATAGAGACCCACAGAGACCCCATAGAGACCCACAGAACCCTATAGAGCCCCATAGAGACCCCATAGAGCCCCACAGAGACCCATAGAGACCCAGAGACCCCATAGAGCCCCATAGAGACCCAGAGACCCCATAGAGCCCCATAGAGACTCCCTAGAGACCCCATAGAGCCCCATAGAGACCCATAGAGACCCCATAGAGACCCACAGAGCCCTATAGAGACCCCATAGAGACCCATAGAGCCCCATAGAGCCCCCATAGAGCCCCATAGAGCCCCATAGGCCCCCGGTACCGTCCCGGCGCCGCCTCTTGGCCTCGATCCCGTCCCCGTAGCGGCGCCGGCGGCTCATGGGGGGGGGAGGGGAAATCCCGGCTTGTCGCAGCTTGATGACGTCAGGAGGAAGGGGGCGTGGCTCCGCCGTAGGACGGAACCACTTCGGTGCAATGGGGGCGGAAGGGATGAGTCACGTGGTTTAAAGGGAAGGGGTTGAATGGGGCCAATGGGGAATGAGGGGGAGGGATTGGAACCACATGGGCCAATCAGGGCGCTGGACTGAACCACATGGGCCAATGAGGTTGGGCTGAACCCTACTGGCCAATCAGGGGTTGGACTGAACCACATGGGCCAATCAGGGCGCTGGACTGAACCACATGGGCCAATGAAGTTGGGCTTAACCCTATTGGCCAATCAGTGGGCTAGGCTGAACCATACGGGCCAATGAGGTTGGGCTGAACCCTATTGGCCAATCAGGGGGCTGGGCTGAACCATACGGGCCAATGAGGTTGGGCTGAACCCTACTGGCCAATCAGGGGTTGGACTGAACGACATGGGCCAATCAGGGCGCTGGACTGAACCACATGGGCCAATGAAATTGGGCTTAACCCTATTGGCCAATCAGGGTGCTGGGCTGAACCACATGGGCCAATGAAGTTGGGCTTAACCCTATTGGCCAATCAGGGGGCTAGGCTGAACCATACGGGCCAATGAGGTTGGGCTGAACCCTATTGGCCAATCAGGGCGCTGGACTGAACCACATGGGCCAATCAGAAGGCTGGTCTGAATCACATGCGCCAATCAGGGGCCAGGGCTGAACCCTATTGGCCAACTATTACCATAATGGGGGGGGTGCATTGGACCGAACCCACCCCAATAGGGGCGTCCAGACTGAACCATGACCACAATGGAGGATTGCATTGGACCAAACCAACCTCAATGGGGGGGGGGATCAGACCAAACCATTACCACAATGGGGGGGTGTGTGCATTGGACCGAACCAACCTCAATGAGGGGGTTTAGACCGAACCATTCCCACAATGGGGGTGTGTGTGCGCATTGGACTGAACCAACTTCAATGGGTGGGGGGATCAGACCAAACTATTACCACAATGGGGGGGCTGTATTCATTGGACCGAACCAACCTCAATGGGGGGTTTAGACCAAACCATTACCACAATGGGGGTGTGTGTGTGTATGTGTGCACATTGGAACGAACCAACCTCAACAGGGGGGTTAGCACCAAACCATTACCACAATGGGGGAGAGTGTGCATTGGACCGAACCGACTTCAATGGGAGGAATCAGACCAAACCATTACCACAATGGGGGGGGGGGGGGGGGGAAATGGCTGTGTGTGTATTGGACAGAACCAACCTCAATGGAGGGATGCATTGGACCAAACCAACCTCAATGGAGGAGTGCATTGGACCGAACCATTACCACAATGGGGGGGTGCATTCATTGGACTGAACCAACCTCAATGGAGGGATGCATTGGACCGAACTAACCTCAATGGAGGGATGCATTGGACCGAACCATTACCACAATGTGGGGGGTGTATTCATTGGACCGAACCAACCTCAATGGAGGGATGGACCGAACCATTACCACAATGGGGGGGGGGGGGGGTGTATTCATTGGACTGAACCAACCTCAATGGAGGGATGCATTGGACCGAACCAACCTCAATGGAGGGATGCATTGGACCGAACCAACCTCAATGGAGGGATGCATTGGACCGAACCAACCTCAATGGAGGGATGAATTGGACCGAACCATTACCACAATGTGGGGGGTGTATTCATTGGACCGAGCCAACCTCAATGGGGGGGTGCATTGGACCGAACCATTACCACAACAGGGGTGGCTGTGTGGCCATTGAACTGCACCAACCTCAACACAGGGCTGTGTGTGGGGACACGAGTCCATCCATAACCATGGGGGTGCCCTTGGCACCCCTTTTATTGCGTGTAGAGGCTGGCGGCGAAGACGATGTCCCTGCGGATGAGGCCTGAGACCGCCTCCATCTTGGTGGCCAGGGCTGGCTCCCCCAGTAGCCGGGCTGCTTGCCGCAGCTCCCGGCACAGCTCCTCCAGGCGTTGGATGCAGCGCACAACAGAGCCCTCCTGTAGGGCCGGGGGGAGGCGGATGGAGGCAAACGGCTGGAAAAGAAAGGGGGGGAATGGGGGGAAAAAGGGTTTTTTTGGGTCGGTTTAATGGGGTTTTGGGGGGGGGTTGGGTGTTTGAAAGGGGTTTTCAAGGGGTTTGGGGGGTTTAATGGGGTTTTGGGGGGGTTTAATGGGGTTTTGGGGGGTTTAAGGGGGGTTTGGGGGGTTTTAAGGGGGGTTTGGGGGGTTTTAATGGGGTTTTGGGGGATTTGGGGGTTTGGGGGTTGTTTGATGGTGTTTTTGGTGTTTGGGTTTTTGGGGGTGTTTGGGGGGTTTTGGGGGGTTTTGGGGCTTTTAATGGGGTTTTCAAGGGGGTTGGGGGTTTTAATGGGTTTTGGGGGGGTTTTAAGGGGGTTTGAGGTTTTTTTATGGGGTTTGGGGGGTTTTTATGGGGGTTTTGGGGGTTGAGGGTATTTTGGGGTGTTTTGGGGATATTTTGGGGTGTCTTGGGGGTGTTTGGGGAATTTTGGGGGCTCTTTAGGGGTATTTTGGGCTGGTTTTAAGCTGGTTTGGGGTATTTTGGGGTGTTTTGAGGCTCTTCTGGGGTATTTTGCACTATTTTGGGGTATTTGGGTGTATTTTGGGGCTGTTTTGGGGTATGGGAGGCTACTTTGGGGCTGTTTGGGGGTATTTTGGGCTGCTTTGAGGCTGTTTTAGGGTATTTTGGGGCTCTTTGGTGTATTGGGGTTCACTTTGGGGCTCTTTTGGGGTATGGGAGGCTACTTTGGGGCTGTTTGGGGGTATTTTGGGTTGTTTTGAGGCGCTTCTGGGGTATTTTGGGGCTCTTGCGGGCTGCTTTGGGGCTGTTTTGGGGTATTTGGCGGATGTTTTGGGGTATTTTTGGGTGTTTCGGGGCTGTTCTGGTGATTTTTTGGGTGTTTTGGGCTGTTTCGGGGCATTTTTGGGTGTTTTGGGGTGTTTTTGGGGCTGTTTTGGTGCTGTTTCAGGCTCTCACCACGCCGTGGGCCCACTCGAACACCACCTCCATGAAGCTGAAGTTGAGCTCCTGCTCCACGTCCTCGGCGCTGGTGCTGAGGCCGCACTCCTGCTGCAGGCGGCCCAGGCGCTGCGCCAGGCCCACGAGGTGCTGCACGGCCTGGGGGGGGAGAGCCACAACACAGGGACCCCATTGAGCACCACTGACACTCATTGGCACCCATTGACACCCATTGACACCCACTGATACCCATTGAGCCCCATTGAACCCCATTGATACCCATTGACACCCACTGAATCCCATTGAACCCCACTGACCAGCATTGCATTTATCTCGATTACTCCATTTCTTCCGATTTCCCCGCATTGCCGCGATTTCTCCGATTACCCGATTATCCCAATTACCCCGATTTTGTTCCATTATCCTATTTCCCTTCCCATTCTCCCATTATCCGATTGTCCCGTTCCAGATTCTTCATTATCCCTCATTATCCCAATTCCATCTCCTCCAATAGCTCCATGTCCCCATTGCTTCTTATTCCCTCATTTTGGGGGGCCACGACCCCCATTTCAGCCCCGCATTGGGCCCACGTTCCCCCATTCCCATTCCTACATTCCACGTCCATTTCCCCAATTACCTCTTCCCATTATCCTATTCCCCCGTTCCCATTCTCCACTCCCACCTTCATTTCCCCCACCCCTATTTCCGCGATTAACGGTCAGCTCCATTCCCCCCATCCGCCCCCCTTACCTTCCCCAACGCCTGGCTCAGGGGGGGAACCTCCCCCCGGCCCCCCCCTCCCCCCCCTGTCGCGACACACGACAGGAGGCTCGCGCTCTCGGCGGGGCTCAGCGCCGCCAGCCCGTTGCTAAGCAACAGCTCCGTCACCAGCAGCGAGCCCGTGCTCAGCGACGCCGCCACGCGGCCGCCCAGCGCCACTGCGCCCGACGGGGTCACGTGACCCAGGGAGCGCAGCACCTGCGGGGTGGAAGGGGGGGGGAATTGGGGGTTAATGGGGGGCAATGGGGGAATGGGAGTCAATGGTGGGAATGGGGGTGATGGGAATGGGTGAATGGGGAAATGGGGGAATGGGGGAATGGGGGTCAATGGGGTCAATGGGGATCAATGGGTGTGATGTGGGGAATGGGGGCAATAGGGGTGATGGGGGAATGGGGATCAATGGGGGTAGGGCAGAATGGGGGGAATGGGGCAATGGGGATCAATGGGAGTCAATGGGGGGAATGGGGGTCAATGGGGGTCATGGGGGTGATGGGGATCAATGGGTGTCAATGGGGGTCAATGGGGTTCAATGGGGTCAATGGGGTTCAATGGGGTCAATGGGTGTCAATGGGGTTCAATGGGGTTCAATGGGGGTCAATGGGGGTGATGGGGATCAATCAATGGGGTTCAATGGGTGTCAATGGGTGTCAATGGGGTTCAATGGGTGTCAATGGGTGTCAATGGGGGTCAATGGGGTTCAATGGGTGTCAATGGGTGTCAATGGGGTTCAATGGGTGTCAATGGGGTCAATGGGTGTCAATGGGGCTCAATGGGTGTCAATGGGGTCAATGGGTGTCAATGGGTGTCAATGGGGTTCAATGGGTGTCAATGGGTGTCAATGGGGTTCAATGGGTGTCAATGGGGTCAATGGGTGTCAATGGGGCTCAATGGGTGTCAATGGGTGTCAATGGTGTCAATGGGGTTCAATGGGTGTCAATGGGTTCAATGGGGTTCAATGGGGTCAATGGGGAGAGCTGACCTCCAGGCGCTGCCTGTACTCGGGCAGCAGCAGCAGGGAGCTGTCGGAGAGCTGGAAGCGGAGCTGCTCCAACTGCTCCTGCAGGCAGCGGCGCCTCGCGGCCTGCGCGTACTGGGGGCAAGGGAGGGATGGGGGGCAAACAGCCTGCACCTGCCCCATATCTGCCCCATATCCACCCTATATCCACCCTATACCCACCCTATATCCCCTATATCTACCCTATATTCCCCTATATCTGCCCCATATCCACCCCATATCTGCCCCATATCTGCCCTACATCCCCTATATCTACCCTATATTCCCCTATATGCCCTCTATATCCGCCCCATATCCACCCTATATCCATCCTATATCCGTTTATATCCCCCCTATATCCACCCTATATCCGCCCCATATCCACCCTATATCCATCCTGTATCCCTCTATATCCCCCCTATATCCACCCCATATCCGCCCTATATCCCCCTATATCCACCCTATATCCGCCCCATATCTGCCCCATATCCGCCTTATATCCCCCCTATATCCGCCCCAATATCCCCCCTATATGCACTCTATATTCACCCTATAACAGCCCCATATCCCCCCTATATCCCGCTGCATATCCCCCCATATCCCCCCTATATCTGCCCATATCCACCCTATATGCCCTTTATCTGCCCTATATCCAACCTATATCCACCGTATATTCCCGCTGTATCCACCCCATATTCCCCATATATCCACGCCTATATCCCCCCCTATATCCGCCCTATGTCCCCCTATATCCGCCCTATATCCCCTCTATATCCGCCCTACAACTCCTGTATATCTGTTCTATATCCACTCTATATCCTCCCAATATCCTCATTATATCCCCTCTATATCTGCCCTATATCCCCCTATATCCACCCCTATATCAGCCCTATATCCTCCCTACATCCCCTGTATATCTGACCTATATCCACTCTATATCTGCCCTACATCCCTCTCTATATCCCCCCCATATCCCCCCCTATACCCCCCCATATCCACCCCTATATCCCCCTATACCCCCTCCTATATCCCCCCTATATCCGCCCCATATCCGCCCTATATCCCCCTATGTCTCCCCATATCCCCCCCCATCTCCCCCATCTCCCCCCCTATATCCCCCCCCTCACCTCCTGCTGGAACCGGGCCCTGTGCACGCACTCGAAGGCCCCGAGGCGGGCGCTGAGCTCCCGCACCCGAGCGGCCGCTTCCAAAGCATCCGGATCCCTCAGGATCCCAGCGGGATCCAGCAGGGGGAGGGGCGAGCCCCCCCCCACCCCCGCTGCCAACCGGAGCAGCTCCTGCAGGGCGGCACCAAGGGCTGGCCTATGGGGGGGGGACACACAGAGGGGTAACAATGGAACCCCCCCATTGGTAACAATGGAACCTCCCATTGGCGTCAATGGGCACCCCCCCATTGGTAACAATGGAATCTCCCATAGGCATCAATGAACACCCCCCCATTGGTAACAATGGAATCTCCCATTGGCAGCAATGGACACCCCCCCATTGGTAACAATGGAATCTTCCATAGACCCCAATAGTGGGATTCCCCCCCATAGACCCCAATAATGGGGTTCTCCCCTCCATCCCTTCACCCCATAGACCCCAATAATGGGATTTCCCCCCCATAGACCCCAATAATGGGGTCCCCCCTCCATCCCTTCACCTTATAGACCCCCATAATGGGATTCCCCCCCATACACCCCAATAATGGGGTTCACCCCCCATAATGGGGTTCACCCATAGACCCCAATAATGGGGTTCCCCAATAATTGGGTTCCCCCATAGACCCCAATAATGGGGTTCCCCCCTCCACCCCCATAGACCCCAATAATGGGGTTCCCCCTCACACCTGTCCCGGTGCTGGTGGCGAGGCCTCAGCTCCTGCAGGAGGTTTTCAGGGTTCACCTTCAGGGTCTTGGCCGTGACCCCCACAAAGTCCTGGGCCTGGAGCTGCTCCAAAGCGTGGCCACAGGGGCCTGGAGGGAGGGGGGGAACCCTGAGATTGGGGGACCCCAAAACCCCCCCCCCAATAAAAGAGCCCAAACGGGATCTAACCCCCCCTCCATAGGGCACATGGTACAGCCCAAACCACTCCATAGGGAACAATGGGACCCCTAAACACCCATAGAACACAATGGACCCCCCCATAGGACACAATGGACCCCCCAACCACCCCATAGGACACAATGGACCCCCCCAAACCCCCCCATAGGGCACAATGCACCCCCCATAGGACACAATAGGCCCCCCAAAACCCCCCATAGGACACAATGGGCCCCCCCAACCGCCCCATAGGACACAATGGACCTCCCATAGGACACAATGGACCCCCCCATAGGACACAATGGACCCCCCAACCCCCCCATAGGACACAATGGACCCCCCATAGGACACAATGGACCCCCCATAGAACACAATGGGCCCCCCAAACCCCCCCATAGGACACAATGGACCCCCCATAGGGCACAATGGACCCCCCCGGGCCATACCATCAGGCAGGAAGAGGCGGGTGAGCAGCAGCTCCTCGGGGAGGGGGGCATCGGGGGGTGTCGGGGGCTCCTCCCCCCCCTCGGGGGGCTTCTCAGCGAGCACCAAGGTGGTGAAAATGCGGCCTGAGGGGCTGGGGGTGACCTGGGGGTAATGGGGGGCAATGGGGGAATGGGGTTAATAGGGGTTATGGGGGAATGGGGGTAATGGGGGTGATGGGGTAATGGGGGCGATGGGGGAATGGGGCTAATGAGGGTGATGGGGGAATGTATTTCTGGGGTAGTTTTGGGTGTTTCAGCTGGTTTTGGGGTGGTTTCGGGTTGTTTTGGGTTGTTTTGGGGGAGTTTCAGGGTGATTTGGGGCACTTTTGCGCTGATTTCGGTCGTTTTGGGTGATCCTGGGGTGATTTTGGGGCAGTTTTGGGTGTTTCGGGTGATTTTGGGGGGCGGGGGGGGTTGGCAATTTGGGGTGGTTTTGGGGTGTTTTGGGGTGGTTTTGGGGTGATGTGGGGCCGTTTTGCGGTGATTTCGGCTGTTTTGGGTGATCCTGGGGTGATCTGGGGGCAGTTTTGGGTGTTTCGGGTGATTTTGGGGTGGTTTCGAGTGGGTTCTGGGGCATTTCCTGCTGTTTTGGGGCGCTTTGGGGTGTTTCGGGTGATTTTGGGGCAGTTTCAGTGTGTTTCTGGGGTGTTTTGGGGCTGTTTTGGGGCCCGGTACCTGCAGGATGAGGCCCAGCGCGTTCCGGTGTCTCTGGGTGCTCACCACCAACACCCGGCCGGGCACCAGCACCCGCAGCCCGGCCACCGAGTCCGCCAAGCGCCGCTGCGGGGACCCCCATCCGGTTACATGGGACCCCCATAGAGCCCCATAGGGCCCCACAGAGCCCCATAGATCCCTATAGAAGCCTATACGGCCCTATAGCCCCCCACTTCCGGTCCCGCCCCTCCGCTTCTGGTTTTGCCCCCGCCCACTTCCGGTCCCACCGCACCATCAGCTCCTTCCGGTCCCTCCGCAGCGCCTCCACGGCCTCGTGGTAGGAGCTGACGTCACTTCCGGGATCCGGCTCCGGCTCCGCCGACAGCGCCCCCTGCAGCTCGGCCACGCGGCGAGCCTGGGCCTGCGGTCACGTGGGGTCAGTGGGGGGGGTTAGGGGGGGCAATGGGGGTCAATGGGGGGCAATAGGGATCAGTGGGGCTCAATGGGGTTCAATGGGGATCAATGGGTGGCAATGGGACTGAATGGAGGCAATGGGGCTCAGTGGGGTTCAATGGGTGTCAGTACGTCTCAGTGGTGTCAGTGGGGCTCAATGGGTGTCAATGGGGATCAATGGGGGTTAATGGGGATCAATGGTTCTCAGTTGGTCTCACTGGGACTCAATGGTATCAATGGGGCTCAATGGGGGTCAATGGGTCTCCATGGGCTCCATGGGGCTCTATGGGGCTCAATGGGTCTCAGTGGGCTCAATGGGACTCAATAGTGTCAATGGGGCTCAATGGAGCTCCACGGGGCTCAGTGGGGTCACTGGGTCTCCACGGTGTCAATGGGGCTCTATGGGGCTCAATGAGGCTCAATGCAGTCAGTGGGGTCAATGGGTCTCAATGGGCTCAATGGGGCTCTATAGGGCTCAATGGGTCTCAGTGGTGTCAATGGGTCTCTGTGGGTCTCTATGGGTCTCCATGGGTCTCCATGGGTCTCTATGGGCCTCCATGGGTCTCCATGGGTCTCCATGGGTCTCTATGGGCCCACCTCCTGCTCCCGGCGCAGCGGGAACTCGGCGTAGCTCCGGCGCAGCAGGTCCTGGACGCGCAGCTCCTGCGCCCGCAGCACATTGAGGATCATGGGGTAGGTGAGGCGGAACTGGGACTGCAGGCGGGTGGGGCGCCCCTGCCGGCGGGGGGACACGCTAAGGACACGCTAAGGACATGCTAAGGACATGCTAAGGACATGCTAAGGACACGCTAAGCACACACGGTAAGGACAAGCTAAGCACATGCTAAAGGCACACTAAGGACGTGCTAAGAACATGCTATGGCCACACTAAGGACACACTAAGCACATGCGAACGGCACACTATGAACATGATAAGGACACGCCAACTATATGCTAAAGACATGTTCAGAACATGTTAAGAATGCATTAAGGGCATGGTAAGGACATGTTAAGGACACACTAAGGACATGTTAAGGACACACTAAGAACACGCTAAGGACATATTCAGGACATGTTACAGGCACACTAAGGACACCTTACATATTAAGGGCATGGTAAAGACACGTTAAGGACACACTAAGAACATATTCAGGACATGTTAAGGACACACTAAAGACATCTTAGAGACATGTTAACAGCATGGTAAGGACATGCTAAGGACATGCTAAGGGCATGCTAAGGACACGTTAAAGACATGTTCAGGACACATTAAGAACATGCTAAGGACATCTTAAGGACACATTAAGGGCATGGTAAGGACATGTTAAGGATGCACTAAGGCCATGTTAAGGACACGCTAAGGACACACTAAGGACATGCTAAGGACATGTTAAGGACACGCTAAGGACATGCTAAGGACATGCTAAGTCCATGTTAAGGACACGCTAAGGCCATGTTAAGGACACGCTACGGGGCTCACCAGCATCATGCGGTGCAGGTCGGGCAGGTCGGGCACGCTGCCCCGGCACAGGATGATGACGGTGCCCATGGCATCGAGCCCCCGGCGCCCGGCGCGCCCGGACATCTGAATGTACTCACCTGTGGGGCAGCCCCATAGAGACCCATAGAGACCCATAGAGCCCCATAGCACCCCATAGAGCCCCATAGCACCCCATAGGGCCCCATAGAGCCCCATAGCACCCCATAGGGCCCCATAGAGCCCCCATTGTCCCTTACCTGGCAGCAGGTCCCGGAAGTTGTTCCCATCGTGCTTGCGGATGGAGTCGAAGACGACCGTGCGGGCCGGCATGTTCAGCCCCATAGCGAAGGTCTCGGTGGCAAAGAGCACCTGGGGTGGGGCAGGACCCATAGAGACCCCTTAGAAACCCATAGAGTCCATAGAGAACCATAGAGACCCATAGGGACCATAAAGCCCCATAGAGAAAATAGAGCCCCATAGAGAGCCATAGAGAGCCACAGTGACCATAGAGACCCATAGAGACCATTGAGTCCCACAGAGAGCCATAGAGACCCATAGAAACCATAGAGACCCATAGAGAACCATAGAGACCCATAGAGACCATAGAGAGCCATAGAGCCCCATAGACACCATAGAGACCATAGAGACCCATAGACACCCATAGACACCCATAGAGAGCCATGGAGCCCAATAGAAACCATAGACACCATAGAAACCATAGAGACCTATAGAGTCCCCATAGAAACCATTGAGACTCATAGAGACCCATAGACCCCATAGACACCCATAGAGACCACGGAGCCCCACAGAGACCCATAGACCCCATAGAGACCCATAGACGCCATATAGCCCCGTAGAGACCCATAGACCCCATAGAGACCACAGAACCCTATAGACCGCATAGAGACCCCATAGAGACCCATAGAGACCCCCAGAGCCCCATAGAGAGCCATCCCTGCCCCACGGCTGCCCCACACGCACCTTGACCAGCCCTTGGCTGAAGAGCATCTCCACGACCTCCTTGAGCAGGGGCAGGACCCCCCCATGGTGCACCCCGATGCCGCGCTGCAGCAGCTCCCCTATGGCCACCACCTGGGGGGACAGAGACCCACAGAGATCATAGAGACCCATAGAGACCATAGAGACCATAGAGACCCATAGAGAGAGACCATAGAGACCCATAGAGGCCATAGAAATCCATACAGACCATAGAGACCCCATAGAGACCATAAAGACCCATAGAGACCCATAGAGGCCATAGAGACCCAGAGACCCCATAGAGACCCATAGAGACCATAGAGACCCACAGAGACCCATAGAGACCATAACGACCCATAGAGACCCATAGAGACCATAGAGACCCACAGAGACCCACAGAGACCATAGAGATCTATAGAGACCCCATACAGCCCATAGAGATCCATAGAGCCCCATAGATACCCATAGACCACCACAGAAACCCATAGAGTCCTCATAGAGCCCCACAGAGACCTCAAAGACCCACCATAGACCCACAGAGCCCCAGAGACCCCACAGAGACTCCCACAGAGACCCCATAGACCCCCATAGACCCCCATAGACCCCCATAGACCTCCATAGACCTCCATAGACCTCCATAGACCCCCATAGACCCCCATAGACCTCCATAGACCTCCATAGACCCCCATAGACCCATAGACTCCATAGACCCCCATAGACCCCCATAGACCCCCATAGACCCCCATAGACCCCCATAGACCCCCATAGACCCCCATAGACCCCCATAGACCCCCATAGACCCCCATAGACCCCCATAGACCCCCATAGACCCCCATAGACCCCCATATAGACCTCCATAGACCCCCATAGACCCCCATAGACCCCCATATCCCCCCCATATCCCCCCCATATCCCCCCCATAGACCCCACCTGTGGCAGGCGGCGGTCGGGGGCCTTGAGTCGGGCGAGGCAGCGCTGGAGGAAGAGGCGGCTCCGTTGCCTCTCGCTGGGGCTCAGCAGCTCCGTGGGGCCCAGGGCGGCGGCGTGGGCGTCGCAGCGGCTGCGCGAGAAGGTGAAGGCCACGACGGGGAGGAGCCCCCGCTCCCGCAGCAGCCCCAGCAGCGCCTGCCACAGACCCCGCTCCTATGGGGCACAGAGACATGGGGGGGGTTAGACCTCCCAGCCTGCAGGGGGCGCTGTGGGGTGAGAATGGAGGGAGGTCTCTTTTAGACCTCCTATACTGCAGGGGGAGCTATGGAGGGCGGTCTCATTTAGACCTCCGAGCCTGCAGGGGGCGCTATGGAGTGAGTCCTGTTATACCTCCGAGCCTGCAGGGGGCGCTATGGGGTGAGTGGAGGGAGGTCTCTTTTAGACCTCCCATCCTGCAGGGGGCGCTATGGAGTGAGGCCTGTTATACCTCCGCTACTGTAGGGGGCGCTATGGAAGAAGGGGAGGTCTCTTTTAGACCCCCACTCCTGCAGGGGGCGCTATGGGGGTGATGGAGGAAGGGGAGAGGAGGAGGAGCCCCCGCTCCCGCAGCAGCCCCAGCAGCGCCTGCCACAGACCCCGCTCCTATGGGGCACAGAGAGAGACATGGGGGGGGGGGTTAGACCTCCCAGCCTGCAGGGGGCGCTGTGGGGTGAGTGGAAGGAGGTCTCTTTTAGACCTCCTATACTGCAGGGGGCGCTATGGAGTGAGGCCTGTTATAGCTCCGACACTGTAGGGGGCGCTATAGAGGAAGGGGAGGTCTCTTTTAGACCTCCCATCCTGCAGGGGGCGCTATAGAGTGAGGCCCGTTATACCTCCAATACTGTAGGGGGCGCTATGGAAGAAGGGGAGGTCTCTTTTAGACCCCCACCCCTGTAGGGGGCGCTATGGGGGGGTGATGGAGGAAGGGGAGAGGAGGAGGTGACCCCGCTCCCGCAGCAGCCCCAGCAGCGCCTGCCACAGACCCCGCTCCTATGGGGCACAGAGAGAGACATGGGGGGGGGTTAGACCTCCCAGCCTGCAGGGGGCGCTGTGGGGGTGATGGAGGAAGGGGAGAGGAGGAGGTGACCCCACTCCCGCAGCAGCCCCAGCAGCGCCTGCCACAGACCCCGCTCCTATGGGGCACAGAGAGAGACATGGGGGGGGGGGGGTTAGACCTCCCAGACTGCAGGGGGCGCTGTGGGGCGCTATGGAGGGAGGTCTCTTTTAGACCTCCCATCCTGCAGGGGGCGCTATAGAGTGAGGCCCGTTATACCTCCGCTACTGTAGGGGGCGCTATGGAGGGAGGTCTCTTTTAGACCTCCGAGCCTGCAGGGGGCGCTATAGAGTGAGGCCTGTTGTTATACCTCCACTACTGTAGGGGGCGCTATGGAGGGAGGTCTCTTTTAGACCTCCCATCCTGCAGGGGGCGCTATGGAGTGAGGCCTGTTATACCGTCACTACTGTAGGGGGCGCTATGGGGTAAGCAGGAGGAAGGGGAGGTCTCTTTTAGACCTCCCATCCTGCAGGGGGCGCTATGGTGTGAGGCCCGTTATACCTCCACTACTGTAGGGGGCGCTATGGTGAAAGGGAGGTCTCTTTTAGACCTCCGAGCCTGCAGGGGGCGCTATAGAGTGAGGCACGTTATACCTCCACTACTGTAGGGGGCGCTATGGTGAAAGGGAGGTCTCTTTTAGACCTCCAAGCCTGCAGGGGGCGCTATGGAGTGAGTCCTGTTATACCTCCAATACTGTAGGGGGCGCTATGGAGGGAGGTCTCTTTTAGACCTCCGATCCTGCAGGGGGCGCTATGGAGTGAGGCCCTTTATACATCCGCTACTGTAGGGGGCGCCATGGAGTGAGCTCGAGGAACTGGGGGGGGAACCCTTTTAGTCCTCCACTCCTGCAGGGGGCGCTATGGGGAAGCTGGGCCCCATTAGACCTCCACTCCTACAGGGGGCGCTATGGCCTGAGTCCCATTATACCCCTACTCCCATAGGGGGCGCTATGGGGTGAGCCCCCCCTTTATACCCCCACTCCTCTAGGGGGCGCTGTTGTGAGCAGGAACCACCCTTCCCACCCTCCCTCATACCCCCACTCCTCTATGGGGCGCTATGGGGTGAGCCTGACCCATAGCGCGACCCACAAGTTCCCCCCCACAGACCTGGCCCGGGGTCGTTGGCGCCATCGTGGGGTGCTTGGCCCCAAAGCTCTGCCCCGCTTTGCTGCTCTGCTGCTGCTTCTTGGCCTCCACCGCGGCGTAGTAACTGTGGGGCAGGAGAGAGGGGTCTGGGGGGGGGCTATGGGGGGTCTATGGGGGAGTCTATGGGGGGTCTGGGGGGTCTATGGGGAGTCTATGGGGGGTCTATGGGGTGTCCATGGGGGGTCTTATGGGAAGGCTATGGGGGGGCTATGGGGGGGTCTATGGGGTGTCCATGGGGTGTCTATGGGGCTGGGGTGTCTGTGGGGTAGGAGTGAGTGCAGTGGGGCTAGGTGCAGCACTTCTATGGGGTGTCTATGGGGCTGGAGTCTCTACAGGGCTGCATACAAGGTCTTTATGGAGATTCTATGGGGCTGGGTATGGGGTTCCTGTAGGGTCACTATGGGTCTCTATGTGTCTCCGTGGTCTTCGTAGTCTCTATGTCTCTATGGGGTGTCTATGGGTCTCTATGAGGTGTCTGAGTCTCTATGGGTCTACGGGGCTTTATGGGGGTTCTATGGTCTCTATGGGTCTCTATGGGTCTCTATGGGTCTCTATGGGTCTCTATGGGTCCCTATGGTCCCTATGGGTCTCTATGGGTCCCTATGGATCTCTATGGGTCCCAATGGGTCTCTATGGGTCCCTATGGGTTCCTATGGTCCCTATGGGTTCCTATGGTCCCTATGGGTCCCTATGGATCTCTATGGGTCCCAATGGGTCCCAATGGGTCCCCATGGGTCTCACCCCTGTGTGCTGAGGCTCCCGTGCGCATCCAGCAGCAGGAAGAGCTGCTCGCGGGTGCGGGGCCCGTTCCCCGTGTACAGGAAGTGCTGCAGCGGCACCGGGCGGCGCTGGGTGCTCAGCACCCGCAGGCACCGGCGCTTGGTGCGCCTGGGGGGGAGACAGGGTGAGGACCCCAAAACTGGGCCACAACACCCCAAAATCAGCCCAAAACACCCCAAAATCAGCCCAAAACACCCCAAAATCAGCCCAAAACACCCCAAAATCAGCCCAAAATCACCCCAGAACACCCCAAATCACCCCCAAATCACCCCAAAACACCCCTAAATCAGCCCAAAACACCCCAAAATCACCCCAAAACCACCCCAAACACCCCAAATCACCCCAAAACACCCCAAAATCAGCCCAAAACACCCCAGAACACCCGAAAATCAGCCCAAGCACACCAAAATCAGCCCAAAACACCCCAAAATCACCCCAAAACACCCCAAAATCAGCCCAAAACACCCCAAAATCACCCCAAAACACCCCAAAATCACCCCAAAACACCCCAAAATCAGCCCAAAACACACCAAAATCACATTATCCCCATTGCCCCATTACCCCATTCCCCCATCACCCCCATTATCCCCATTGACCCCCATTACCCCCATTGACCCCATTACCCCCACTGTCCCCATTACCCCAATTACACCCATTACCCCCATTCCCCCATCACCCCAATTGTCCCCATTGCCCCCCATTACCCCCATTCCCCCATCACCCCAATTGTCCCCATTGACCCCATTACCCCCCTTACCCCCATTGTCCCCATTACCCCACTGTACCCATCACCCCCATCACCCCCATCACCCCCATCACCCCCATTGCCCCCATTACCCCCATTGTCCCCATTGTTTCCATTGTCCCCATTACCCTGATTGTCCTCATTGTTCCCATTACCCACATTGTCCCCATTGTCTCCATTGGCCCCATTGTCCCCATTACCCTATTGCCCCCATTGTCCCGATTGTCCCCATCGTCCCCATTACCCCCATTGCCCCATTACCCCAATTACACTCATTACCCCATCACTCCCATTACCCCCATTGTCCCCATTGCCGCCATTACCCCCATTACCCCACTGTCCCCATCACCTCCATTGTCCCCATCACCCCCATTGCCCCCATTGCCCCCATTGTCCCCATCACCCCCATTGTCTGCATCACCCCCATTACCCCATTGCCCCCATTGCCCCCATTGCCCCCATTACCCCATTACCCCCATTACCCCATTGCCCCCATTACCCCCATTACCCCCATTACCCCCATTACCCCATTACCCCCATTACCCCATTGCCCCCATTACCCCCATTACCCCCATTACCCCCATTATCCCCATTACCCCCATTACCCCATTACCCCCATTACCCCCATTACCCCCATTACCCCCATTACCCCCATTACCCCATTACCCCCATTACCCCCATTACCCCATTGCCCCCATTACCCCATTACCCCCATTACCCCCATTGCCCCCATTACCCCATTCCCCCATTACCCCCATTGCCTCAATTACCCCCATTGCCCCCATTACCCCCATTACCCCCATTACCCCATTCCCCCATTGCCCCCCATTACCCCATTACCCCCATTACCCCATTTACCCCCATTACCCCATTACCCCCATTACCCCCATTACCCCCATTACCCCATTACCCCCCATTGCCCCTTACCCGACCCACTGGGCGAACTCCATGGCATTGGGGATGGTGGCACTGAGCAGGACGAGCTTCACGTGCTCGGGGAGCATGATGAGAACCTCCTCCCACACCACCCCTCGCTGCGGGCAGACCCATAGGGACCCATGGAGACCCATAGAGACCCCACAGAGACCCATAGAGACCCCCAGAGACCCATAGAGACCCCATAGAGACCCATAGAGACCCCCAGAGACCCATAGAGACCCCACAGAGACCCATAGAGACCCCCAGAGACCCATAGAGACCCCACAGAGACCCATAGAGACCCCCAGAGACCCATAGAGACCCCATAGAGACCCATAGAGACCCCATAGAGACCCATAGAGACCCCACAGAGACCCATAGAGACCCCCAGAGACCCATAGAGACCCCATAGAGACCCACAGAGACCCATAGAAACCACATAGAGACCCCATAGGGACTCATAGAGAACCCACAGAGACCCCATAGAGACCCATAGGGACCCATAGAGACCCATAGAGACCCCATAGAGACCCCAGAGACCCCATAGAGACCCATAGAGACCCCATAGAGACCCCATAGAGACCCATAGGAACCCATAGAGACCCCATAGAGACCCCATAGAGACCCATAGAGACCCATAGAGACCCCATAGAGACCCCATAGGGACCCATAGAGACCCATAGAGACACATAGAGACACATAGACACTCCATAGATACCCATAGAGACCTCATAGAGACCCATGGAGACCCATAGGGACCCTATAGAGCCCCACAGAGACCTATAGAGATTATAGAGCCCCATAGAGACCCCCCCCAGCCCCATAGGCGCCCCATAGGACCCCCCCCAGCCCCGTAGGCACCCCATAGGGCCCCCCCCAACCACATAGGTGCCCCACAGAACCACCCATAACTCCCATAGGGACCCCAATGATACCCGGTCCCAGCCCCATAGGACACCCCCTAGCCCCATAGGCACCCCATAGGACCCCCCCCAGCCCGTGGGTCCCCATCAGCCCCCCAGCCCCGTCAACACCCATCAGGGCCCCCGCAGCCCCATAGGCGCCCCATAGGACCCCCCCCCAGCCCCATAGACACCCCATAGGGCCCCCCCTGACCTCAGCATCATTGATGTAATGCACCTCATCGAAGATGACCCATTCCAGGTCCCGGATCACATCGGAGCCATTGTAGAGCATGGAGCTATGGGGCAGGAAAGGGGGATCGGGGGCTGTTCGGGGGTATTTTGGGTCTATTTGGGTCTATTTTGGGGTATTTTGGGTCTATCTTGGGCTATTTTGGGTCGATTTTGGGGTATTTTGGGTCGATTTTGGGGTATTTTGGGTCGATTTTGGGGTATTTTGGGTCGATTTTGGGGTATTTTGGGTCGGTTTTGGGGTATTTTGGGTCGATTTTGGGGTATTTTGGGTCGATTTTTGGGGGTATTTTGGGTCGATTTGGGGGTATTTTGGGTCTATTTTGGGGTATTTTGGGTCTATTTGGGGTATTTTGGGTCTATTTTGGGGTATTTTGGGTCTATTTGGGGCTATTTGGGGTCTATTTTGGGTCTATTTTGGTCTATTTTGGGTCTATTTGGGGTATTTTGGGTCTATTTGGGGGTATTTTGGGTCTATTTTGGGGTATTTTGGGTCTATTTTGGGGTATTTTGGGGTGTTTTGAGGTGTTTGGGGTGTATATGGAGCTTTTTGGGGGTGTTTGGGGTGTATTTGGGACCTTTTGGGGTGTATTTTGAGGTGTTTCAGGGGTGTTTTGGGTGTATATCGGTCTGGTTTGGGTGTATTTTGGGGTGGTTTTGGGTCTATTTTGGTCTGGTTTGGGTCTATTTTGGGGTGGTTTGAATCTATTTTGGGGTGTATTTTTGGGTGTATTTTGGTCTGGTTTGGGTGGATTTGGGGCTCTTTTTGGGTACATTTTTGGGTGTATTTTGGGGTGATTTGGATGAATTCTGGGTTGTTTTGGGCTGTTTTGGGCAGGTTTGGGGTGGTTTTGGTGCATTTTGGGCTCATTTGGGTGCATTTTGGGACGGTTTGGGTGTATTTTGGGGTGTTTTGGAGTGTTCTGGGTATATTTTGGGGTGGTTTGGGTGCATTTTGGGCTCATTTGGGTGCATTTTGGGCTGGTTTGGGTGTATTTTGGGGTGTTTTGGAGTGTTGCGGGTATCTTTTGGGGTGGTTTTGGTGCATTTTACACTGTTTTGGGTGTACTTTGGGGGGTTTTGGGGTTCTGTGTATATATTGGGGTGATTTGGGTGCATTTTGGGGTTGTTTGGGCCATTTTGGGCTGGTTTGGGTGCATTTTGGGCTGCTTCAAACGTATTTTGGGCCATTTTGGGTGCATTTGTGGCTGTTTCGGGTGGTTTTGGTGCATTTTGGGGTGGTTTTGGTGCATTTTGGGGTGTTTTGGTGCATTTTGGGGAGGTTTTGGTGCATTTTGGGGTGGTTTTGGTGCATTTTGGGCTATTTTTGGCCGTTTTGGGTGCATTTGGGGCTGTTTCGGGTGCTTTTGGTGCATTTTGGGCCATTTTGGGTGCCTTTGGCGCAGTTTCGGGGCGCTCACCGCAGGATCTCGGTGGTCATGACCAGGCAGGAGGCCTCGGGGTGCAGTTGGACGTCCCCCGTGAGCAGCCCCACGGACCCAAAGGTGCCCCGGAAGTCCCGGAACTTCTGGTTGGAAAGAGCCTTGATGGGAGACGTGTAAATGGAGCTGGGGGGGGAAATGGGGGGCAATGGGGGTTAATGGGGGGTAATGGGGGGTAATGGGGGGTAAAATGGGGGGGGAAATAGGGGGGACCCCCCCACTTACAGCACAACAGAGGGGGACCCCCATGGCTCCCCCATTGGACCCCCATAAGAGGCTTATAGGAGGGTATTAAGAGCCATAAGGAACAACAATGGCCACATTGGGTATTGCAGGGGCGCTATGGCTGGGTATTGCAGGAAACGGAGGGGGCTGCGTTTTGGGTGGGTTTGGGGCGTTTTGGAGGCGGTTTTTGGGGTGAAAAAGGGTGATTTGGGGTCCTGAGAGGGTTTAGGGGACCTCAATGATGATTGGGGACAAAAAAGGGGGCTTTTGGGGGCTCAAAAGGGCGGTTTATGGAATGGATTAGGTGTTAACAGTGGCACAACCACGACCTCTTGTGGCCACACTGGGTACTGCAGGGGCGCTATGGCTGGGTATAGCAGGGGATGGGGGGGCTGCGTTTTGGGTGTTCTAGAGGCGATTTTTGGGGTGAAAAAGGGCGGTTTTGGGTCTTGAGAGGGTTTAGGGACGCTCAATGATGATTGGGGCAAAAAAAGGGGTTTTGGGGACACTAAAAGGAAGGTTTATGGGATGAGTTTGGTGCTATCAATGGGACAACCACGACCTCTTGTGGCCACACTGGGTACTGCAGGGGCGCTATGGCTGGGTATAGCAGGGGATGGGGGGGCTGCGTTTTGGGTGGGTTTTGGGCGTTCTGGAGGCGATTTTTGGGGTGAAAAAGGGCAGTTTGGGGTCTTGAGAGGGTTTAGGGACGCTCAATGATGATTGGGGCAAAAAAAGGGGTTTTGGGGACACCAAAAGGAAGGTTTATGGCATGGGTTCAGTGCTAACAATGGCACAACCACGACCTCTTGTGGCCACACTGGGTACTGCAGGGGCGCTATGGCTGGGTATTGCCGGGGGGGGGGGCTGCGTTTTTGGGTGGGTTTTGCACGTTTTGGAAGCGATTTTTGGGGTGAAAAAGGGTGATTTTGGGTCCTGAGAGGGTTTAGGGGACCTCAATGATGATTGGGGACAAAGATGGGGGTTTTGGGGACACCAAAAGGGAGGTTTATGGGATAGATTTGATGCTAACAATGGAGCAACCGCGACGTCTTGTGGCCACACTGGGTACTGCAGGGGCGCTATGGCTGGGTATAGCAGGGGATGGGGGGGCTGCGTTTTGGGTGGGTTTTGGGCGTTCTGAAGGTGATTTTTGGGGTGAAAAAGGGCAGTTTTGGGTTCTGAGAGGGTTTAGGGACCCTCAGTGATGTTTGGGGACAAAAACGGGGGTTTTGGGGACACCAAAAGGGAGGTTTCTGGGATGAGTTTGGTGCTATCAATGGAGCAACCACGACCTCTTGTGGCCACACTGGGTATTGCAGGGGCGCTATGGCTGGGTATAGCAGGGGATGGAGGGGCTGCGTTTTGGGTGGGTTTTGGGCATTCTGAAGGCGATTTTCGGGGTGAAAAAGTGCGGTTTTGGGTCCTGAGAGGGTCTAGGGACGCTTATTGATGATTTGGGACAAAAATGGGGGTTTTGGGGACACCAAAAGGGAGGTTTATGGGATGGGTTCGGTGCTAAGAACGGCACAACCCCGACCTCTTGTGGCCACACTGGGTACTGCAGGGGCGCTATGGCTGGGTATAGCAGGGGATGGGGGGGGCTGCGTTTTGGGTGGGTTTTGGGCGTTCTGAAGGCGAAGGTGATTTTTGGGGTGAGGGCGACTGGTATTGAGAGGGTTTAGGGACGCTCAATGATGATTGGGGCAAAAAAAGGGGTTTTGGGGACACCAAAAGGAAGGTTTATGGGATGGGTTCGGTGCTAACAATGGAGCAACCCCGCCCTCTTGTGGCCACACTGGGTACTGCAGGGGCGCTATGGCTGGGTATAGCAGGGGATGGGGGGGTGCGTTTTGGGTGGGTTTTGGGCGTTTTGGAAGCGATTTTTGGGGTGAAAAAGGGTGATTTTGGGTCCTGAGAGGGTTTAGGGACTCTTATTGATGATTTGGGACAAAAATGGGGGTTCTGGGGACACCAAAAGGGAGGTTTATGGGATGGATTCGATGGTAACAATGGCACCACCACGACCTCTTGTGGCCACACTGGGTACTGCAGGGGCGCTATGGCTGGGTATAGCAGGGGATGGGGGGCTGCGTTTTGGGTGTTCTAGAGGCGATTTTTGGGGTGAAAAAGGGTGGTTTCGGGTCTTGAGAGGGTTTAGGGACGTCGGATGGATGATTAGCAAGAAAAAGGGGTTTTGGGGACACCAAAAGGAAGGTTTATGGGATGGGTTCGGTGCTAACAATGGAGCAACCCCGCCCTCTTGTGGCCACACTGGGTACTGCAGGGGCGCTATGGCTGGGTATAGCAGGAAGGGGGGGTGCTGCGTTTTGGGTGGGTTTTGGGCGTTCTGGAGGCGATTTTTGGGGTGAATAAGGGCAGTTTTGGGTCCTGAGAGGGTTTAGGGACGCTCAATGATGATTGGGGACAAAAATGGGGGTTTTGGGGACACCAAAAGGGAGGTTTATGGGATGGATTCGATGCTATCAATGGAGCAACCACGACCTCTTGTGGCCACACTGGGTACTGCAGGGGCGCTATGGCTGGGTATAGCAGGGGATGGGGGGGGGGCTGCGTTTTGGGTGCGTTTTGCGCGTTTTGGAAGCGATTTTTGGGGTGAAAAAGGGCAGTTTTGGGTCCTGAGAGGGTTTAGGGACCCTCAATGATGATTGGGGACAAAAAGGGGGGTTTTGGGGGCTCAAAAGGGAGGTTATGGGATGAGTTCAGTGCTAACAACGGCACAACCCCGACCTCTTGTGGCCACACTAAGTACTGCAGGGGCGCTGTGGCTGGGTATAGCAGGGGATGGGGGGGCTGCGTTTTGGGTGGGGTTTGCGCGTTTTGGAAGCGATTTTTGGGTTGGGAAAGGGTGTTTTTGGGTCCTGAGAGGGTCTAGGGACGCTTATTGATGATTTGGGACAAAAATGGGGGGGTTTGGGGACCCCAAAAGGGAAGTTTCTTGGATGTGTTTGGTGCTATGAATGGGACAGCCACGACCTCTTGTGGCCGCACTGGGTACTGCAGGGGCGCTATGGCTGGGCATAGCCGGGGATGGTCGGGGGGGGCTGCGTTTTGGGTGGGTTTTGGGTGTTTTGGAAGTGATTTTTGGGGTGAAAAAGGGTGATTTTGGGTTCTGAGAGGGTTTAGGGACACTCAATGATGATTGGGGACCCGAATAGGGGCGTTTCGGGACACCAAAAGGGAAGTTTATGGGATGGATTTGGTGCTATCAATGGAGCAACCACGACCTCTTGTGGCCACACTGGGTACTGCAGGGGCCCTATGGGTGGGTATAGCAGGGGATGGGGGGGGGGGCTGCGTTTTGGGTGGGTTTTGGGCGTTTTGGAGGCTATTTTTGGGGTGGAAAAGGTGGGTTTTGGGTCCTGAGATGGTTTAGGGGCCCTCAATGATAATTGGGGACCCCAATGGGGGGGTTTGGGGACACCAAAAGGGAGGATTCTGGGATGAGTTTGGTGTTATCAATGGGACAACCACGGCCTCTTGTGGCCACACTGGGTACTGCAGGGGCGCTATGGCTGGGTACAGCAGGGGATGGGGGGGGCTGCGTTTTGGGTGTTCTAGAGGCGATTTTTGGGGTGGAAAAGGTGTGTTTTGGGTCTTGAGAGGGTTTAGGGACGCTCAATGATGATTGGGGACCAAAATGGGGGGGTTTGGGGACCCCAAAATGGGGGTTTATGGGATGGATTTGATGCTAACAATGGGACCACCCCGCCCTCTTGTGGCCACACTGGGTACTGCAGGGGCGCTATGGCTGGGTATAGCAGGGGATGGGGGGGGGGGGGGCTGCGTTTTGGGTGGGTTTTGGGCGTTTTGGAGGCGATTTTTGGGGTGAAAAAGGGCGGGTTTGGGTCCTGAGAGGGTTTAGGGACCGTCGGTGATGATTGGGGACGAAAAGGGGGGTTTGGGGACACCAAAAGGGCGGTTTATGGCATGGATTTGATGCGAACAATGTGACCACCCCGCCCTCTTGTGGCCACACTGGGTACTGCAGGGGCGCTATGGTTGGGTATAGCAGGGGATGCGGGGGCTGCGTTTTGGGTGGGTTTTGAGCGTTTTGGAGATGATTTTTGGGGTGAAAAAGGGTGGTTTTGGGTCCTGAGAGTGTTTAGGGACCCTCAATGATGATTGGGGACAAAAAGGGGCGTTTTGGGGGCTCAAAAGGGAGCTTTATGGGATGGGTTGAATGCTAACAACGGCACAACCACGACCTCTTGTGGCCACACTGGGTACTGCAGGGGCGCTATGGCTGGGTACAGCGGGGGGGGGGGGGCTGCGTTTTGGGTGGGTTTTGGGCGTTCTGAAGTCGATTTTTGGGGTGAAAAAGGGCGGTTTTGGGTCCTGAGAGGGTTTAGGGACCCTCAATGATGATTGGGGACAAAAAGGGGGGTTTGGGGACACCAAAAGGGAGGTTTATGGGATGGGTTCGGTGCTATCAATGGGACAACCACGACCTCTTGTGGCCACACTGGGTACTGCAGGGGCGCTATGGCTGGGTATAGCAGGGGTGGGGGGGGGGCTGCATTTTGGGTGGGTTTTGATCATTCTGGAATCGATTTTTGGGGTGAAAAAGGGCGGTTTTGGGTCCTGAGAGGGTTTAGGGACGCTCAATGATGATTGGGGCAAAAAAAGGGGTTTTGGGGACACTAAAAGGAAGGTTTATGGGATGGATTTGGTGCTCTCAATGGAGCAAGCACGACCTCTTGTGGCCACACTGGGTACTGCAGGGGCGCTATGGCTGGGTATAGCAGGGGATGGGGGGGCTGCGTTTTGGGTGGGTTTTGGGCGTTTTGGAGGCAATTTTTGGGGCGAAAAAGGGCAGTTTTGGGTCCTGAGAGGGTTTAGAGACCGTCAATGATGATTGGGGAGAAAAAGGGGGGGTCTGGGGACACCAAAAGGGAGGTTTATGGGATGGGTTCAATGCTAACAATGGCACAACCACGACCTCTTGTGGCCACACTGGGTACTGCAGGGGCGCTAGGGCTGGGTATAGCAGGGGATGGGGGGACTGCGTTTTGGGTGTTCTAGAGGCGATTTTTGGGGGGAAAAAGGGTGGTTTTGGGTCTTGAGAGGGTTTAGGGACCCTCAATGGTGATTGGGGACCCAAATGGGGGTTTTGGGGACACCAAAAGGGAAGTTTATGGGATGGATTTGGTGCTATCAATGGAGGAACCGCGACCTCTTGTGGCCACACTGGGTACTGCAGCGGCGCTATGGCTGGGTATAGCAGGGGATGGGGGTCTGCGTTTTGGGTGGGTTTTGGGCGTTTTGGAAGCAATTTTTGGGGTGAAAAAGGTTGGTTTTGGGTCCTGAGAGCGTTTAGGGGCGCTCAATGATGATTGGGGACAAAAATGGGGGTTTTGGGGACACCAAAAGGGAGGTTTATGGGATGGATTCGATGCTATCAATGGAGCAACCACGACCTCTTGTGGCCACACTGGGTACTGCAGGAGCGCTATGGCTGGGTATAGCAGGGGATGGGGGGGGCTGCGTTTTGGGTGCGTTTTGCGCGTTTTGGAGGCAATTTTTGGGGTGAAAAAGGGCAGTTTTGGGTGCTGAGAGGGTTTAGGGACCCTCAATGATGACTGGGGACAAAAAGGGGGGTTCTGGGGACACCAAAAGGGAGGTTTATGGGATGGGTTCGGTGTTAACAATGGCACCACCCCGCCCTCTTGTGGCCACACTGGGTACTGCAGGGGCGCTATGGCTGGGTATAGCAGGGGATGGAGGGGCTGCGTTTTGGGTGGGTTTTGGGCGTTCTGAAGGCGATTTTTGGGGTGAAAAAGGTCGGGTTTGGGTCCTGAGAGGGTTTAGGGGCCCTCAATGATGATTGGGGACCCGAATGGGGGCGTTTGGGGACACCAAAAGGGAGGTTTCTGGGATGAGTTTGGTGCTAACAATGGAGCAACTCCGCCCTCTTGTGGCCACACTGGGTACTGCAGGGGCGCTATGGCTGGGTATAGCAGGGGATGGATGGGGGGGCTGCGTTTTGGGTGGGGTTGGGGCGTTTTGGAGGCGATTTTTGGGGCGAAAAATTGTGGTTTTGGGTCCTGAGAAGGTTTAGGGAAGCTTAATGGTGAATGGGGACAAAAAGGGGGGTTTTGGGGACACAAAAAGGGAGGTTTATGGGATGGGTTCGGTGCTAACAATGGGACCATCCCGCCCTCCTGTGGCCACACTGGGTACTGCAGGGGCGCTATGGCTGGGTCCAGCAAGGGATGGAAGGGGGGGGGCTGCGTTTTGGGTGGGTTTTGGGCGTTCTGGAAGCGATTTTTGGGGTGAAAAAGGGTGGTTTTGGGTCCTGAGAGGGTTTAGGGACCCTCAATGATGATTTGGGACAAAAAGGGGTCTTTTGGGGGCTCAAAATTGCGCTTTATGGAATGGATTCGGTGTTAACAACGGCACAACCACGACCTCTTGTGGCCACACTGGGTACTGCAGGGGCGCTATAGTGGGTATAGCAGGGGATGGGGGGGCTGCGTTTTGGGTGTGTTTTGGGCGTTTTGGAAGCGATTTTTGGGGTGAAAAAGGGCAGGTTTGGCTCCTGAGAGGGTTTAGGGACGCTCAATGATGATTTGTGATAAAAAGGGGGGTTTTGGGGACACCAAAAGTGCGGTTTATGGGATGCGTTCGGTGCTAACAACGGCACAACCGCGACCTCTTGTGGCCACACTGGGTACTGCAGGGGCGCTATGGCTGGGTATAGCAGGGGATGGGGGGGGGGGGGGGCTGCGTTTTGGGTGGGTTTTGGGCGTTTTGGAGGCGATTTTGGGGGTGAAAAAGGGTGGTTTTGGGTCCTGAGAGGGTTTAGGGACCCTCAATGATGATTGGGGACAAAAAAGGGGGGTTTTTGGGGACACTAAAAGCGAGATTAATGGCATAGATTTGATGCTAACAATGGGACAAGCACGACCTCTTGTGGCCAGACTGGGTACTGCAGGGGCGCTATGGCTGGGTATAGCAGGAGATGGGGGGGCTGCGTTTTGGGTGGGTTTTGAGCGTTTTGGAGACGATTTTTGGGGTGAAAAAGGGGGGTTTTGGGTCCTGGGAGGATTTAGTGACCCTCAATGATGATTGGGGACAAAAAGGGTTGTTTTGGGGACACCAAAAGGGAGGTTTATGGGATGGATTTGATGCTAACAATGGAGCAACCACGACGTCTTGTGGCCACACTGGGTACTGCAGGGGCGCTATGGCTGGGTATAGCAGGGGATGGGGGGGCTGCGTTTTGGGTGGGTTTTGAGAATTTTTGAGGCGATTTTTGGGGTGAAAAAGAGCGGTTTTGGGTCCTGAGAGGGTCTAGGGACGATATTGATGATTTGGGACAAAAATGGGGGGATTTGGGGACACCAAAAGGGAGGTTTATGGGATGGGTTCGGTGCTAACAATGGCACAACCCCGACCTCTTGTGGCCACACTGGGTACTGCAGGGGCGCTATGGCTGGGTATAGCAGGGGATGGGGGGCTTCGTTTTGGGCGTTGTGGAGGCGATTTTTGGGTTGAAAAAGGGTGGTTTTGGGTCCTGAGAGGGTTTAGGGGCCCTCAATGATAATTGGGGACAAAAAGGGTGGTTTTGGGGGCTCAAAAGGGAGGTTATGGGATGGATTTGATGGTAACAATGGGACAACCACGACCTCTTGTGGCCACACTGGGTACTGCAGGGGCGCTATGGCTGGGTATAGCAGGGGATGGGGGGGCTGCGTTTTGGGTGGGTTTTGCGCGTTTTGGAAGCGATTTTTGGGGTGAAAAAGGGCGGTTTTGGGTGCGGGAGGGTCTCACCGGGCCATGTGGCGCTGCGCTAGGGCAATGGCGTACTCGGCAATGGCCGTTTTACCCGCCGAGGTGTGGGCGGCCGCCAGCAGAGAGTGCCCCTGCTCCAGGCACAGCACGGCCCGGAGCTGGAACGGGTCCGGCTTAAAGGGCCACTGAGGGGGGGGTAATGGGGATACAATGGGGATGGGGCCCACAAAGGACGAGCCCACTTTAAGACACCCACAAACCCCTTTAGGACCCCCCTAAACCCCTTTAGGACCCCCCCCAAACCCCTTTGTGCCCACCCAAACCCCTTTGTGCCAACCCAAACCCCTTTAGGACCCCCCCTAAAACCCTTTTAGCCCCCCCCAAACCCCTTTTGTGCCCCCCCAAACCCCTTTAGGACCCCCCCAAACCCCTTTAGGACCCCCCCAAACCCCTTTTAGCCCCCCCAAACCCCTTTAGGACCCCCCAAACCCCTTTTAGCCCCCCCCAAACCCCTTTAGAACCCCCCCAAACCCCTTTAGGACCCCCCAAACCCCTTTAGGACCCCCCCAAACCCCTTTAGAACCCCCCCAAACCCCTTTGTGCCCCCAAACCCCTTTAGGACCCCCAAACCCCTTTAGAACCCCCCTAAACCCCTTTAGGACCCCCCCAAACCCCTTTAGGACCCCCCCCCCAATTCCACCTTAAAGGCCGGGTCAGGCACCAGGCTCTCGAAGTCCTCCATTGGCTCACTGGTGTCAACGGCCACAGCCCATTGGTCCTCGGGGGGGGCCGGGGGCGGGGCTGGGGCGGGCTCTACCACTTCCTATGGGAGGAGGGGGGTGTGTCAATATAAAGGGGGGGGGGCACAATAACACACACACACCCCCCCCCCATTGATCCCTATGGAGCCCCACCTGATGCAGGAGCTCATCCACGCTGTCGCTATGGGGCAATGGGGGGGGGCTCTTCGGGGGGTCCCCATCTCTGCCCCCCACTTCCGGTTTGGGGGGGCCCCCCCCCTCAATGTCTTCGTCCCCCCCCAAGTCAAAGGGGTCCAAGGTCTGGAGGAGGCTGCAGAGGGAAAGGGGTCCCCCCCCACCATGGCCCCCAACTGGGGGGGGTGGTCAACAACAAAGGGGGGGCCACAATGGGGGGAACACCATAGACCCCCATAGAGCACCCCCTAAAGCCCCATAGGCACCCCATAGAAACCCCCAGACCCCCACAGACACCCCCAAAACCCCATAGGACCCCCATAAGACCCACCCAGACCCCCATAGACCCCCACAGGACCCCCATAGACACCCCCAAACCCCCATAGGACCCCCATAGACCCCCATAGACACCCCATAGACACCCCATAGACACCCATAGACCCCCCCCAGACCCCCATAAAACCCTCACAGACCCCCATAGGACCCCCATACAATGCCCCCCCCCATTCATTAAATACCCCCCATAAGGGGTTAAACCCCCCCCCCCCCTTATGTGCCCCCCCCCTACCTGAAGCCTTGTACTCGACCCCTCTTTTCAGCCCTGGGGGGGTCACCAATAGGTCTGGGGGGGGGGGCAAAAAGAGGTTTAATGGGGGGGGCGCACCCCAATAAGTGCTTTAAAGGGGGGGGGCCTAGGGATGGGGGGACACCCGAGAATGGAGAGAGGAGACACGGAATTGGGGAGACCTACCCCAAAATTGGAGGGGGGACACCCCAAAATGGGGGGGGTACCAGTGTCGAAGTCCACATCCTCCTCTTCGTCGCCATGGATACGGAGCTGCTCCAGGCTGGGCTCATCCAATCCAGCTGGGGGGGGGGTGTCAAAAAGGGGGGGTTTGGGGGGCAAAAGGGGGTGCAGGAAGGAATTGGGGTCCCTGAGTGGGGGGCGTTGGGGTCTATGGGAGGGGGGCTTGGGGGGGTCAAAGGGGGGGTCTTATGGGGGACATTATGGGGGTTTGGGGTCCATGGGGGGGGTTTGTGAGGGTCAAAGGGGAGGGGATGGGGTCCCCAAGGGGGAGTTTTGGGGTCTATGGGGAGGGTTGGGGGGGGCAAAGGGGGGGGTTGGGGGTGCTGGGGGGGGTTCTATGGGGGGGGTCTTATGGGGGGGTCTATATGGGGTTTATAAGGGGTCAATAGAGGGAGGTGTGTGGGGAGGTGGAGGGTGGTGGGGTGTGTGAATGGGGGGTCCATGGGGGGTTCATGGGGGGGTCTATGGGGGGGTCCATAGGGTGGTCCATGGGGGGGGGGTCCATGGGGGGTGGGTCCATGGGGGGATTCCATGGAGGGGGTCCATGGAGGGGGGGTCCATGAGGGGGGTCCATGGGGGGGTCCATGGGGGGGTCTATGGGGGGGTCTATGGGGGTTCATGGGGGGGGTCCATGGGGGGGGTCCATGGGGGGGATTCATAGAGGGGGGGTCCATGGGTTGGGTATTGCGGGGGGGTCCAAAGGGGAGATTGGTGGGAGAGGTGGGAGGTTGCACGGGTTGGGTCCATGGGGGGTCCATATGGGGGTCTATGGGGGGGGGTCCATAGGGGGGTCCATGGGGGGGTCCATGGGGGGGTCTATGGGGGTACCTGGCCAGAAAGGGCAGGAGGTGGCGCTGCCCCATAGATTCTCTTGGGGGGGGCCGGGGGGGCGGCGCAGGGAGAGCGAGTTCTTGGCTGAGAGCCCCACATTGGGCAGCAGCTCCTGGGGGGGGGACACACACAAGGGACAGGGGGGGGTCAGTCAAAAATAGCCCCAAGTAGCCCGAAATAGACCCAAAATAGCCAAAAATAGACCAAAATAGCCCAAAATAGGCCCAAAATAGCCCAAATAGCCCTAAAATAGCTCCAAAACAGTCAAAAATAGCCCGAAGTAGACCAAAATAGCCCGAACCCAACCCTAAATAGCCCAAATTAGCCCCAAAACCCCCACAGAACCCCTCCAAACCCCCATAGGACCCCCCTTGACCCCACAGAACGACTACAGGACCCCATAGAACCCCCCAAAACCCCCATAAGACCCCATAGGACCCCACAGACCCCCATAGACCCCCATAGACCCCCATAGAAACCCCACAGGACCCCCATAGAACCCCCATAGAACCCCATAGAAACCCCATAGAACCCCATAGAACCCCCATAGACCCCCATAGACCCCCATAGAACCCCCCCACCTCAACGAAGCCCTTCAAGGAGCCGCTTTTGGGGTCCCTTTGGGCCCGGAGCCCCCCCATAGGGGGGGTTGGCTCCAAGGCAAAGAGGTTCCGGGGCTCCGGGTGCCGGGACCATGACCTGGGGGGGGGGCAATGGGGGGGTCAGGGGACAGGAACCCCCCCCAAGGGCCTTTAGAGCCCCCACAGGCCCCAGTATGAGCCCCCCATAGACTCCCATAGGCCCCCCCATTGGACCCCCATAGGCCCCCCCATTGGACCCCCATTGATCCCCATAGACCCACCCCCTATCCCCTATAGACCCCCATAGACCTCCCCCAGACCCCCATAGGAGCCCCCATAGACCCCACATTGATGCCCACACACCCCCCCATAGGACCCCCATAAGACCATCCATAGGACCCCCACAGACCCCCATTGACACCCACAGATCCTCCCATAGGACCTCCATAGACCCCCCCATAGGACCCCCATAAGACTCCCCCATAGGAACCCCATACACCCCCCATAGACCCCCATAGGACTCCCATGGACCCCCCCATAGAACCCCCATTGATGCCCATAGACCCCCCCATAGGATCCCCATTGATGCCCACATAGGACCCCCACAGACCCCCCCATAGGACCCCCATAGACCCCTATAAGACCCCCCCATAGGAACCCCATACACCCCTCATAGACCCACAAAGACCCCCATAAGACCCCCCCATAGGAACCCCATACACCCCCCATAGGACCCCCACAGACCCCCCATAGACCCCCATAAGACCTCCCCATAGGAACCCCATACACCCCCCATAGACCCCCCCATAGACCCCCCCCATACCTTTGGGCCCTCTCATGCTGGTGGGGGGGAAGCCACTCGGGGGACCCCAAAAGCTTCTGCTCCAGCTCCGAAACAAGGGAGGGGGCGAAAGGGGGGACCCCCAGAGGGAGCTTGGGGGGGGGGGGGGGAAGAGGTCAGAGGTCAGTTTGAGGGGGCTCAGGGGGGGCTCATAACCCCCCCCTTCCCCATGCACTTGGGGGTCCCAAAAGGGGGTTTATTGGGGTCAATGGGGGGGGTTTAGGGTGTACAAAGGGGTGGGCGGTCAATGTGGGGTAATGGGGGTACAAAGGGGAGTCAATGGGGATCAATGGGTGTCAGTAGTGGTCAATGGGTGTCAATGGGGATCAGTAGTGGTCAATGGGGCTCAACGGGGGTCAGTGGGGATCAATGGGGGTCAATGAGGATCAATGGGGCTCAATGGGAGTCAATAGGGCTCAACAGGTGTCAATGGTGTCAATGAGGATCAATAGGGGTCAATGGGTTCAATGGGGATCAATGGGTGACAATAGGTTTCAATGGGGTCAATGGGGCTCAGTGGGGTTCAATGGGGTCTATGGGTGTCAATGGGGCTCAAGGGCCTCAATGTGTGTCAATGGTGATCAATGGGGTCAATCGGGCTCAGTGGGTGTCAATGGGGCTCAGTGGGATCAATGGGGATCAATGGGGCTCAATGGGATCAGTGTGGCTCAATGGGTGTCAATGGGGCTCAATGGGTGTCAATGGGACCAATGGGGTTCAATGGGGCTCAGTGGGACCAATGGGGCTCAATGGGGCTCAATGGGCTCAATGGGGCTCAATGGGGCTCAATGGGGCTCAATGGGGGTCTCACTGTGGCTCGGTGGGGGGGTCCCCGAGCCCCCCCCGGGGGTCCCACCACCAACTCGAAGGTCCCAGCACATCCCAGCTCCAGCAGCGCCAATGGCAGCTCCCGTGGGGAGCGGGGGGGCAGCGCTATGGGGCAGGGGTGCAATGGGGGTCAGAGACACCCCATAGACCCCCGTAACCACCCCATAGACCCCCACAATCCCCTATAGCCTCCCCATAGACCCTCATACCCGCTCATAACCATCCCATAGACCCCTATAACTACTTCATAGACTCCCATATCCCCCTATAACCACCCCATAAACCCCCACAGGCCCCATAACGTCCTCATAGACCCACATAATCACCCCATAGACCCCCATAACCACCCCACAGACCCCCATAACCCCCTATAACAACCCCATAGCCACTCCATAGACCCCCATAACCCCCCTATAGACCCCCTCATAACCACCCCATAGACCCCTTAACCCCCTATAACCCCACAGACCCCCATAACCCCCTATAACCACCCCATAGACCCCCTAACCTCCCCATAAACCCCCATAACTACCCCATAGACCCCCATAACCACCCCATAGAGCCCCATAACCCCCTATAACCAACCCATAGCCACCCCATAGCCCCCCATAGACACCCCATAGAGCCCCATAACCCCCTATAACCAACCCATAACTACCCCATAGACCCCCATAACCACCCCACAGCCCCCCATAGACACCCCATAGAGTCCCATAATCCCTTATATCCAACCCATAACCACCCCATAGCCCATAACCACCCCATAGCCCCAGAGCCCCCTATAACCAACCCATAGACCCCCATAACCACCCCATAGTCCCCCACAGAGCCCCATAACCCCCTATAACCAAGCCATAACCCCCTATAACCGACCCATAACCACCCCATAGCCCCCCACAGGCACCCCATAGAGCCCCATAACCCCTTATAACGACCCCATAACCACCCCATAGCTCCCCATAACCACCCCATAGACCCCCCATAACCACCCCATAGACCCCCATAACCACCCCATAGCCCCCCATAGAGCCCCATAACCCCCTATAACCAAGCCATAACCCCCTATAACCGACCCATAACCACCCCATAGCCCCCCACAGACACCCCATAGAGCCCCATAACCCCCTATAACCACCCCATAGCTCCCCATTGCCCCCCATTGCCCCACCGATGCGCTCCATCTCCCTCCCGCCGCTCCGCAACGGGGACTCCGTGCCCCGGAACCACTCCGTTCAGCCCGCAGAGCCGGGCGGAAGTGCAGGGAAGCCGGACCGGAAGTGCGTGAAGTCCTGGCAAAGAGGCGGAACTGGCCGCCCCCTTCTTCTCCACCAATCAGCGGCCGTCGCTAGGCAGGTTATGCAAATAAAGAGAGAGGCGCGGTGCACTGTGGGAAAGGTGCTATAAGGAGCCTGCGGAGGGCTATAGGGGGGTTATTGGGGGCTATGGCGGTCTATAGGGGGTAGGGATGGGCACTGGGACCAGTTTAGGGTGGGCACTGGGACCAGTTCAGGCTTTTATTGCTATTCCCGGTCATTTTCCATGATTCCCATGGGATTTGGGGCCTTTGCCATATCCCACACACCAAACAATGGAGTCCAGCAGGGAGAGCACTGCATCCTGTGGGGTCATGGAACCTCTTATCCCATACCCTATATATCCCATACCCCATATCCTATACTCCATATCCTATACCCCATACCCCATACCCCATACCCATATCCCATACCCCATACCCCATACCCCATATCCCATACCCCATACCCCATACCCCATATCCCATACCCCATATCCCACACCCCATATCCCATATCCCATACCCCATACCCCATATCCCATACCCCATACCCTATATCCCATATCCCATAATAACCCCATATCCCATACCCCATATCCCATATCCCATACGGATCCACATGTAGGGACTAAAGCCCTTTGGGGACCTCATCGTCCCCATAGGGTTGGCTTTGTCCCCTATGTCCCTCTGCCTCCGGTTCTTACGTGGGGTGGCCATAGGGGGCCGTCCACGCCTTTGTGGGAGGTGGGGGGGCTTGTGCCCTATATCCCCCTATACCCCCCCCCTATTGGCCCTAGAGGGTCTGATGGATGAATGCAGCACAACCCTATACGAGCCCTTGGAGAAGCTCCATAGGGATTCCAGTACCCGTCCCCTATAGGGTCTGATGGATGAAGGCAGCACAACCCTATACGAGCCCTTGGAGAAGCTCCATAGGATGCAACTATCCCTGTCCCCTATAGGGTCTGATGGATGAAGGCAGCACAAACCCTGCTACGAGCCCTTGGAGAAGCTCCATAGGGATTCCAGTCCCTGTCCCCTATAGGGTCTGATGGATGAAGGCAGCACAACCCTATACGAGCCCTTGGAGAATCTCCATAGGGATTCCAGTCCCTGTCCCCTATAGGGTCTGATGGATGAAAGCAGCACAACCCTATAGGAGCCCTTGGAGAATCTCCATAGGGATTCCAGTACCTGTCCCAGTGTCATTCCAAACCAGAAGCTTCAGCCAGGACCTGGAAAAGGGGAGGGAAAGAGGACCTATAGGTCAGTGTCTATAGGGTGAGGCCTTGAAGGGGCTGGACCCTATAGGGGGAGGTCTATAGGGGGTTGGACCCTATAGGGGGAGGTCTATAGGGGGTTAGTGGGGTGGGTTCCTATAGGATCCAGTCTGTACAAGTGGGTGAGATCCCTATAGGGGCTGTAGTGGCTGGGCATGGTCCCTATAGGGGCTTAAGGGCTGGTGCTGGTGCCTATAGGGGCTGGGCATAGCCCCTATAGGGTCTATAAGGGCTGTACGGGCTGGATATGGTTCCCATAGGGTCTATAAGGGCTGGGGCTGGTGCCTATAAGGTCTGGGTATGGTCCCTATAGGGGCTATAGGGGATGGACATGGTCCCTATAGGGTATATAGGTGCTGGGTATGGTCCCTATAGGGCTGGGCATGGTCCCCACAGGGTCTATAGGGGCTGCTGCTGGTCCCTATAGGGTCTATAGGGGCTGAATATGGTCCCCATAGGAGCTGTAGGAGCTGGTGCCTGTTCCTATAGGGTCTATAGGGGGTGAATATGGTCCCCATAGGGGCTATAGGGGATGGTGCCGGTCCCCATAGGGTCTATAGAGGGTGAATATGGCCCCCATAGGGGCTATAGGGGATGGTGCCGGTCCCCATAGCGTCTATAGGGGGTGAATATGGACCCCATAGGGTCTATAGGGGATGGTGCCGGTCCCCATAGGGTCTATAGGGGCTGTAGGGGCTGGTGTATACCGGGGGCACCATGGGCTGCCCCGGCCGTAGGTCACCCCCTTGCTCTGGCCCCGGCCCCGGGGCGGCGCACGGGGCAGCACCGCCTGGTGGGGGGGGAAAGGGGCCTATATGGGCCCTATAGGGACCCTATATGGATCCTATAGGGAACCTATATGAATCCTATAGAGACACTATAGGGAACCTATATGGATCCTATAGGGAACCTATATGAATCCTATAGGGACCCTATAGGGAACCTACATGGACCCTCTAGGTGCCCTACATGGATCCTATATGGACCTATGCCCCCCATACGTCCCATAGAGCCCCATAGACCCCTCCAAACCCCCCGTTATACCCCACTATACCCCCATATGTCCCCTATACCCCCCTATACCGCCCATATATCCCCTATATCCCCCATATACCCCCTTATACCCCTCTATACCCCCCATATACCCTCATATATCCCCTATACCCCCTTATAACCCTCTATACCCCCCATATACCCCCCTATACCCCCCATATACCCCTTTATACCCCCCTATACCCTCCATGTCCCCTATACCCCTCATATACCCTCCCAGAGCACCCCTCATACCCCAGTCTGCCCCTCTGTAGCCCCCAGACCCCCTCCTATACAGGCCCCACATCCCCACCCCAGCACCCCCAGGCCCCTATATAGCCCCATGACCCTATAGACCCCTTCAAGCACCCCTATACACCTATAAACCGCGTGCCCCCCCCTCCAGCCACCCCTATATACCCCGTCCAGGCCCTATATGCACCCCTAAACCCCTATTTACCCACTACAGACCCCCTATAGACCCCTCTATAGGGGATCTATACGTCCCACCCGGCTCCCCCTCACCTACCCCTGCCAGCTCCCATCATGGCGGCCGCCCTGGGGCAGCCCTCCTCTCCCACCTCGTACGTCAGCGCTGCCGCCGCCTCCCATTGGCTGCCGGCCGCGGGCGCCCGCGGTGATTGGTGGAAAGCGGGCGATGGGCGGGTATTAGGGGTGGTGAAGGCGGTATGGCTATGGTAAAAGAGGCGTGGCTTTGGAGGAGAGGGCGTGGCTATGGTGGGAGGGGGCGTGGCCTAGGGTGGGCTGTGATCAGCGTTAATAATAGAGAAAATAACAAAATCAGAGGGTGCGTCCCCAAAATGGGGCGGTAAAAGGCTAATAATGGGGTAATAATGGGGGCTACCCCCCAAAATAGGGTGAAACGCCTTATCATGGGGAAATAATTGCTAATAATGCGTTAATAATGGGATAATAATGGCTAATAATGAGTTAATATTCTCTAATAAGGGACAATAATCGCTAATAATGGGGTAATCATGCTTAATAAGGGGGAATAATAGGTGAATAGGCCCAAAGAATGTGGGGGAATGGGGAAAAATGTCTTCTAATGGGTGGAATAATTGCTAATAATGGGTTAACTATGGTTAATACTGGGATAATAATGGCTAATAACGGGGAATAATCGCTAATAATGGGGTAAAAAAGGCTAATAATGGTGGAATAATGGCCAAAAATGATGAATAACAGGTGAATAGACTCAAATAATGGGGTGTAATGGGAGAGAAATGGCTAATAATGGGCTAACAAAGGGCTAATAATCGCTCATAATATGGACAATTTGGGCTAATAATGGGGAAATAGCAGCTAATAATTGGACATACTTGTTAATAATGGGGAAAACTGCTAATAATGTGGAAATAACGGCAAATAAAAGGGGAATAACGTCTAATAATGGGGAAATAAAAGCTATTATTGGAGAGATAATGGCAATCACGGGGAAATAAAGGCTAATAACGGAAAACAGCAGCTAATAATGAGGAAAAACGCTAATAATGAGGAAATAGCTGCTAATAATGGGAAAGAGCGGCTAATAATAAGGAAATAACCAGTAATAACAGAAAAGCAACGGGTAACAATGGGACATAACCATTAATAGTGGGAAATAACGCTCATAACAGTGGGAATAATCGCTAATAATAAGAAATAACTCCTAATAGACAAATAAAACCTTATAACGCACAAAAAAATGCTAATAATACGCAAATAATTGCCAATAGAAGGCAAATAACTGCTAATAACGGGAAATAACCGCTATTAATACTCAATAACCGCTAACAAGACTTAAATGCTAATAACACCGAAATAACTGCTGACAATTGGAAATAACCGCTAATAGCTCATAAATAACAGCTAATAACAGAGAAATTACCGCTAATAATGGGAAATAACCCTAATAATGGGAGATAACAGCTATTAAGAGATAAATAACCGCTAATAACACACAAATAACAACTAATAACGGCAAATTACCGCATATTGGGAAATAACCTCTATTAACGGCTAAGTAACCGCTATTTCCCATTATTAACACCCAAGTAAGCACTAATAATGGGAAATAACATCTAATAATGGGAAATAGCCTTTATTAACAGACAAGTAACAGCTAATAAAGGGAATAACTGATAATAATACACAAATAACAGCTAATGATGGGAAATACCCACTAATAACCGCTAATAACACCCAAGAAACCGCTAATAACGGCAAATAGCGGCTAATAACAACCAAATAACGGCTTATAACGCCCAAATAACCGCTAATAACACCCAAATAACAGCAAATAACACCTAAATGACAGCTAATAAACCCCAAATAACCACTAAAAATGGCAAATAGCCGCTAATAACAACCAAATAACAGCCAATAATGGCAAATAACCGCTAATAACAGAGAAATTACATCTAGTAACACCCAAATAAGCGCTAATAGGGGCATATAACCGCTAATAGCACCAGAATAACCACTAATAATGGCAAATAACCGCTAATAACAGTCAAATAACAGCTAGTAACACACAAATAACAGTTAATAATGGCAATTAACCGGCAATAACACCCAAATAACCGCTAATAACCAGCAAATAACCGCTAATAATGGCAAATAACCACTAATAACACCCAAATAACCGCTAATAACCACCAAATAGCCACTAATAATAGCAAATAACCGCTAATAACCAGCAAATAACCAGTAATAATGGCAAATAACTGCTAATAACACCCAAATAAGCGCTAATAGCCACCAAATACCCAATAATAAAGGCAAATAACCACTAATAACACCCAAATAAGCGCTAATAACCAGCAAATAACTACTAATAATGACAAATAACCGCTAATATACCCCAAATAACCACTACTGATGGCAAATAACCGCTAATAACACCCAAATAACCCCTAATAACACCCAAATAACCTCCATTAACACCCCCCCATTCCATCCCAATGGCTCCTCCCTATGGAATTCCAGCCCCCCCCCATTCCCCCATTCCAGCTGTTCCCCCAACAGCTGCTTCCCCCCCCCAGCTGTTAGGGGGCAGCTGTTCCATCGTCGTTCAACCCCCCCCCCCCCCCGTTATTTATAGCCCCACAGACGTTCGGTCACTGCCCAAAAACGTTTGGGGGGGCCCCCCAAGAAGGGGGTTCAGGGGGGGAACCCCTAAAGGGCGTTTTAGGAGCCCATCCCCACCCCAAGATGAGGGTTTTGGGGAGAAAAAGGGAGATTTTGGGGGGATTCATCCCCAAAAATGAAGATTTCTAGGGGGTGAAAAGGGCGGCTCAAGGGGGGGACCCCAAAATGGGGGGTTCAAGGGGGGGACCCCAAAATGGGGGGTTCAATATGTTCCAATAGGGGGGGTTTAAGGAGGGGACCCCAAAAGGGGGTTTCAATGGGTCCCAAAAGGGGGGTTCAAGGGGGGGACCCCAAAAGGGGGTTTCAGTGGGTCCCAATAGGGGGGTTCAAGGGGGGACCCCAAAAGGGGGTTTCAATGGGTCCCAAAAGGGGATTTCAATGGGTCCCAATTGGGGGGGTTCAAGGGGGGGACCCCAAAAGGGGGTTTCAATGGGCCCCAATAGGGGGTTTCAATGGGGGGGACCCCAAAAGGGGGTTTCAATGGCTCCCAATAGGGGGGTTCAAGGGGGGGACCCCAAAAGGAGGCTTTGGGGGGTCCACCAATGGGGTTCCTCCTGGGGGGAGGAAAGGGACACGGACCCCAACATCCGGGGTCCCAACCCCCCTTGGGACCCCCCCTTTTGTGTCCCCCCCCTCCCAAGCCCCCCGTGGGGGGGGGGGGGAGAGGGGGGGTAAAGGGGAGGGGCCACGAGGGCCGCGAGGAGCCGGAGCCGGGCGCCGGTGGTACGGGATTTGGGGGCGTTTTTGGGGCGTTTTCGGGCGTTTTGGGGGCGTTTTCGGACGTTTGGGGGCGGTTGGGGGCGTTTTGGGCCGTTTGGGGGCACTTGGGGGGGGTTGGGGGTGTTTTAGAGGCTTTTTGGGGGGCGTTTGTGACGGTTTGGGGGTGTTTGGGGGTGTTCTAGGAGCGTTTGGGGGGTCGGGGGGGCGTTCGGGGATGTTGGGGGGCGTTTGCCGGGCGTTTTGGGGCGTTTTAGGGGCGTTTGGGGGCATTTGGGGGACTTTGGGGGCGTTTTGGGGGTACTTTGGGGGCGTTTGAGAGCGTTTGGGGGTGTTTTAGGGCGTTTTGAGGTGTTCTGGGGGCGTTTCGGGGTGCTTTGGGGTGGATTTGGGGGTGTTTGGGGGCGTTTTGGAGCGTTTGGGGGCACCTCGGGCTGTTTGGAGTGCGTTTGGGGGCGTTTGGAGGTGTTTTAGGGGCGTTTGGGGGCGTTTTCGGGGCGTTTTCGGGCGTTTGGGGGTGGTTTAGGGGCGTTTTGGGGCGTTTGGGAGCAGATTTGGGGGGATTTGTGGCACTTGGGGGGCTGAGGAGGGATTTAGGGGTCGGTTTGCGGGGGTTCGGGGGTACCTGGGGCTGTTGGGGGGGGGCATTAGGGGAGATGCTCGTGGCCACGCATGCCCATAGGGGGTCTCTGCCCATGGGAATCCATAGGGATGGGGCCATCGATGGGGATGGGGGACCCTGGGGACCGGTGCCCCCAAGGCAGGGGGGGCCCCATGGCGGGGGTGCCCCTGCTGCTGCTGCTGCTGCTGCCAATGGGCACCGTGAGCCTGGAGCAGCTGGACCTGAGTGAGTGCCCCATAGCCCAGATCCCTGTATCCCTGTATCCATAGCCCATACCCCATATCCCATACCCCATATATCCATAGCCCATACCCCATACGCCCTATCCCATATACGATATCCCATAATAACCCCATACCCCATATCCCATATATACATATCCCATAGCCCGTATATCCATAGCCCATATTCCATACCCCATATATCCACATCCCACATATCCCATATTCCATATGCTATATATCTATATCCCATATTCCATATCCCATATCTCCATACCTGATATTCCATATATCCATATCCCGTAGCCCATATTCCATATATCCATATCCTATATATCCATATTCCAATCCCATATATCCATATTTTATATCCCAATCCCATATATCCATATATATATATCCAAATCCCATATATACATATCGTAGTCCCATATACCCATATCCCAATCCCATATATCCATATCCCTTATCCCAATCCCATATATCCATATCCCAGTCCCATATATCTATGTCTCATATCCCATATATCCATATCCCATATATCCATATCCCATTTATCCATACCCCATATATACATATCACAATCCCATATATGTATCCCATATATGATATATCCATATTCCAATCCCATATATCCATATCCCATATACGATACATCCACATCCCATATCCCATATCCCATATATCCATATCCCATATCCCATATCCCATACCCCATACCCCATATCCCATATATCCATATCCCATAATAACCCCCTATCCCATAATAACCCCATACCCCATAATGAGCCCATCTCCCAGGCAGGTGCCGCTTTGCCCTGGGGATGCAGGACGGGTCCATCCCCGACAGCCACCTCTCGGCCTCCAGCGCCTGGTCCGACTCCACCGCTGCCCAGCACGGCCGGTGAGAGCGGGGCACGCCGGGACCCGAGCATCCCATAATAACCACATACCCCATAATAACCACATACCCCATAATAACCCCATACCCCATACCCCATAATAACAACATACCCCATATCCCATATCCCATAATAACCCCATACCCCATACCCCATATCCCATAATAACCCCATACCCCATATCCCATAATAACCCCATACCCCATATCCCATAATAACCCCATACCCCATATCCCATAATAACCCCATACCCCATAATAACCCCATACCCCATATCCCATTTACCCCATATACTCCATATCCCCCATATACCCTATATGCTCTATATACCCCATATGCCCCATATCCCCCATACACCCCCTATCCCCCATATTCCCCATATCCCCCCATATCCCCATACACCCCCTATATCCTCCATATACACCCCATATTCCCCATATCCCCCATATACACCCCATATACCCCCTATATCCCCCATATACACCCCCATATCCCCCATATACACCCTATATTCCCCCTATACATCCCATATAGTCCCCATATACACCCCATCTACCCCCCATATACACCCCATATCCCCCATATACACCCCATATCCCCCCATATCCCCCCTATATCCCCCATATCCCCCATATACACCCCATATGCACCCCATATACACCCCATATACACCCCATATCCCCCCCATATCCCCCCCATATCCCCCCCATTCACCCCCCATATCCCCCCCATAGCCTTGGCCGCAGCGACGGGGACGGAGCGTGGTGCCCGGCGGGCCCCGTGTTCCCGCGAGAGCGGGAGTTCCTCGAGGTGGCTCTGTCGCGACTGCACCTCGTGACCTTGGTCGCGACTCAGGGCCGCCACGCGGGGGGGCACGGCCGCGAGTTCACCGCCTCCTATCGGCTGCGCTACAGCCGCGACCGGCGGCGCTGGGTGCGATGGAGGGACCGGTGGGGAGAGGAGGTGAATGGGGGGGAATGGGGGGCAATGGCAAATGGGGGGAATGGGGGGATGAGGGAATGGGGGCAATGGGGGGAATGGAGTAATGGGAGCAATGGGGGCAATGGGGTAATGGGGTCAATGGGGGAATGGGGATAATGGGGGTCAATGGGGTAATGGGGGTAATGGGGGGAATGGGGGGCAATGGGGGAATGGGGAGGATGGGGGGAATGGGGGGAATGGGGGTCAACGGCTAATGGGGGGAATGGGGGGAATGGGGGTCAATGGGGGAATGGAGCAATGGGAGCAATGGGGGCAATGGGGTAATGGGGTCAACAGGGGGAATGGGGATAATGGGGGTCAATGGCGTAATGGGGCAATGGGGGAATGGGAGGAATGGAGCAGTGGGGGGAATGGGGGCCAATGGGGGGAATGGAGTAATGGGAGCAATGGGGGCAATGGGGTAATGGAGTCAATGGGGGTAATGGGGGTAATGGGGTAATGGGGGAATGGGGGCAATGGGGGTATGGGGGTAATGGGGCAATGGAGGGAATGGGGGCAATGGGGAACAATGGGACAATGGGGGGAATGGAGCAATGGGAGCAATGGGGTCAATGGGGTAATGGGGTCAATGAGGGAATGGGTTCAATGGGGGTAATGGGGGTCAATGGGGAGAATGGGGGAATGGGAGAATGGGGTAATGGGGGTCAATGGGGTAATGGGGGAATGGGTGGAATGGGGGCAATGAGGGCAATGGGGTAATGGGGGCAGTGGGGATCAATGAGGGTCAATGGGGAAATGGGGATCAATGGGGGTCAATGGGGATCAATGGTACCCATAGGCCCCTCTCCTGCCCCGCAGGTGATTGGGGGCAATGAGGACCCCGAGGGGGTGGTGCTGAAGGACCTGGCCCCGCCCCCCGTGGCCCGCGCCCTCCGCATCTACCCCCGGGCCCCCAGGGCCATGAGCGTCTGCCTGCGCCTGGAGCTCTATGGGTGCCCCTGGGAGGGTGAGTGCACCCATTGGCACCCATTGGGACCCATTGACACCCGTTGACTCCCATTGACTCCCATTGACACCCATTGACATCCATTGACACCCATTGGCACCCATTGGCACCCATTGGCTCCCATTGACTCCCATTGACACCCATTGACACCCATTGGGACCCATTGACACCCGTTGACACCCGTTGACACCCATTGGGACCCATTGACACCCATTGAGACCCATTGAGACCCATTGACAGCCATTGACACCCGTTGACACCCATTGGGACCCATTGACACCCATTGGCTCCCATTGACACCCATTGACACCCATTGACACCCGTTGACACCCATTGACACCCGTTGACACCCATTGGGACCCATTGACACCCATTGGCTCCCATTGGGACCCATTGACACCCGTTGACACCCATTGACACCCGTTGACACCCATTGACACCCATTGACACCCATTGACACCCACTGATACCCAATGACACCCATTGACACCCATTGACACCCATTGGCTCCCATTGACACCCATTGACACCCATTGACACCCATTGGCTCCCATTGACACCCCTTGAAACCCATTGGCACCCATTGACACACATCGAGAACCCAAGGCACCCATTGGTAACCATTGAACCCCATTGGTTCCCATTGAAACCCATTGACATCCTACAGCACCAATGAGTACCCATTGACACCCGTTGACACCCACTGATAACCACTGACATGCATCGACACCCATTAGTTCCCACTGAAACCTATTGAAACCCTATGGCACCCATTAGCACCCATGGACACCCATTGACACCCATTGACCCTATTAACACCCATTACCACCCATTGCCACCCATTGTCACCCATTGACCCCATTGACACCCATTGCCACCTCCACCCCATCACCCTCATGGTGCCACCCAAGCTCCAACCCCCATGGGGGCGGTGCTAAGGGTGGTGGGACCCCATCCCCACGTCCCTCATCCAAGCCTATGGGGCTGTGTCCCTATAGGAGGCCTCGTGTCCTACACGGCTCCACATGGACAAGTGATGGTCCTGGACCCAGCACCCATTGTCCTCAATGATTCCACCTACGATGGATACAGCCTCGGCCCGTGAGTCCCCATGGGTCCTATGGGTCCTTATGGGTCCCTATGGGTCCCTATGGGTCCCCAATGTGGTCCCAATGGGACCTAAACTGTCCTCATGTGGCCCAAAAGCATCTCCAGATGGGATGGGGCTACGGTGGCATCATGGATGGATGCCATGGATGGGATTGGTCCATGATGGCCCCATGGATGGAATCCATTGATGGGATTGGTCCATGGATGGAGACCATTGATGGGATTGGTCCATGGATGGAATCCATTGATGGGATTGGTCCATGGTGGCTCCATGGATGGACACCATTGATGGGATTGGTCCATGGATGGACCTCATGGATGGGATGGGTCCATGATGGCTCCATGGCTGGAGTCCATTGATGGGATTGGTCCATGATGGCCTCATGGATGGACACCATGGATGCTATTGGTCCATGATGGCTCCATGGATGGAATCCATAGATGCGATTGGTCCATGGACGGACCCCATGGCTGGAATAAATTGATGTGATTGGTCCATGATGACTCCATGGATGGACACCATGGATGCGATTGGTCCATGGATGGACCCCATGGATGGAATCCATTGATGTGATTGGTCCATGATGGCACCATGCATGGACCCCATGGATGCGATTGGTCCATGATGGCTCCATGGATGGAATCCATTGATGCGATTGGTCCATGATGGCTCCATGGATGGAATCCATTGATGCGATTGGTCCATGATGGCTCCATGGATGGAATCCATTGATGCGATTGGTCCATGATGGCTCCATGCATGGACCCCATGGATGCGATTGGTCCATGATGACTCCATGGATGGAATCCATTGATGCGATTGGTCCATGAGGGCACCATGGATGCGATTGGTCCATGATGACTCCATGGATGGACACTATTGATGCGATTGGTCCATGATGGCCCCATGGATGCGATTGGTCCATGATGGCTCCATGGATGGAGTCCATTGATGCGATTGGTCCATGATGGCTCCATGGATGGTCACCATGGATGCGCTTGCTCCATGCTGGTCCCCCCACGCCCTGGTGCCTGCAGGCTGCAGTTTGGGGGCCTGGGCCAGTTGTCCGATGGGATCCTGGGCCTGGACGACTTCACCCGGAGCCGGGAGCGGCGCCTGGGGCCCGGCTATGACTACGTGGGATGGAGCCGACCCCCAGGGCCTCGGCCCCACCTGGAGCTGGAGTTCGAGTTCGAGGCCCTCCGGAGCTTCCGAGCCATGCAGGTGCCCCAGGGCATGATGGGAAGGGGGGGAATGGGCTCTTCCCATTGGACAGCCCAAGCGTAGGGGTGGAGCTTCCCATTGGAGAGCCCAACAGTAGGGGTGGAGCTTCCCATTGGACACCTCAACCTTAGGGGTGGAGCTTCCCATTGGAGAGCCCAAGCGTAGGGGTGGAGCTTCCCATTGGAGACCTCAACCTAAGAATGGAGCTTCCCATTGGAGAGCCCAACCTTAGGGATGGAGCTTCCCATTGGAGAGCCCAACCTTAGGGATGGAGCTTCCCATTGGAGACCCCAACCTTAGGGATGGAGCTTCCCATTGGAGACCCCAACCTTAGGGATGGAGCTTCCCATTGGAGACCCCTTTGGATGCTCCTTAGCTTCCCATTGGAGAACCCAACCTTAGGGATGGAGCTTCCCATTGGAGACCCCAACTATAGGGGTGGAGCTTCCCATTGGAGACCCCAACCTTAGGGATGGAGCTTCCCATTGGAAACCCCTTTGGATGCTCCTTAGCTTCCCATTGGAGACCCAACCTCAGCAGCTGGATCTTCCCATTGGACCCCTTGCTCTCACCCCCTCCAATGGCATCATGGGACCCCCAATGTCCCCCCCACTAGGTCCACTGCAACAACATGCACACCTATGGGGTGAGCATCTTCAAGGGGGTGGAGTGTCTCTTTAAGAAGACCTTGGCCACTCCTTGGGAGCCCACCCCGGTCACCCATAGCCTGGCTGGGAGCATGAAGGACCCCAGTGCCCGCTCCATCACCGTGCCCCTCGGGGGGCGTCAGGCCCAGTTCATCCAGTGCCATTTCTTCTTCAATGGGGAGTGGATGCTCTTCAGTGAGGTCACCTTCTTCTCAGGTGGGCTACTGGGGTCACTGGTTGGGTGATGGGGTCAATGGGTGGGTGATGGGGTCAATGGTTGGGTGATGGGGTCAATGGTTGGGTGATGGGGTCAATGGTTGGGTGATGGGGTCAATGGGTGATGGGGTCAATGGGTGATGGGGTCAATGGTTGGGTGATGGGGTCAATGGGTGATGGAGTCAATGGGTGATGGGGACAATGGGTGATGGGGTCAATGGGTGATGGGGTCAATGGGTGATGGGGTCAATGGGTGATGGGGTCAATGGGTGGGTGATGGGGTCAATGGTTGGGTGATGGGGTCAATGGGTGATGGGGTCAATGGGTGATGGGGTCAATGGTTGGGTGATGGGGTCAATGGGTGAGTGATGGGGTCAATGGTTGGGTGATGGGGTCAATGGGTGATGGGGTCAATGGGTGATGGGGTCAATGGTTGGGTGATGGGGTCAATGGGTGATGGGGTCAATGGTTGGGTGATGGGGTCAATGGTTGGGTGATGGGGTCAATGGTTGGGTGATTGGGTGCTCAACCACCCCATGGGCCCCTTTCATTGGCTGCTCCATGGGGCTCACCCCATAGATGTGGTGGAGGAGAGCGTGGGGTCCAGTGGGTGGCCTCCAGGCACTGCCCCTGAGCCCTCCGTGGGGGTCATGGCCATCCATGAGGACCAATGGCGTGGGGACATGGCCACCAACGTCACAACACCAGGTATGGTGGGGCTGGATGGGATTGGTCCATGGTGGCACCATGGATGGAGGCCATTGATGGGATTGGTCCATGGATGGGGTCCATGGATGGGATTGGTCCATGGTGGCACCATGGATGGAGTCCATTGATGGGATTGGTCCATGATGGCACCATGGATGGAGTCCATTGATGCGATTGGTCCATGGTGGCTCCATGGATGGAGTCCATTGATGGGATTGGTCCATGATGGCTCCATGGATGGAATCCATTGATGTGATTGGTCCATGATGCCCCCCCCACCCCAATGCCAGCCCCAATGGACCCCAATGGAGGCCAACCAATAGCCAAAGGCGAGCACAGCCCCACCTCCGTCCTGATTGGCTGCTTGGTGGCCATCATCCTGCTCCTATTGGGCGTCATCATCCTCATCCTCTGGCGCCAGTACTGGAAGAAGATCCTGGGCAAGGTGAATGGGACTGGGTTGCACTGGGATGGACTGGGATGAACTGGGATGGACTCGGATGGGCTGGGATGGGAGGGACTGGGATGGACTTGGATGGGCTGGGATGGGATGGACTGGGATGGACTTGGTTGCACTGGAATGGGCTGTAATGGACTGGGATTGACTGGGATGGACTGAGATGCACTGGGATGGGCTGGGATGGAATGGGACGGGGTGGTATGCATTGGGATGGGCTGTAATGGACTGGGATGGACTGGGATGGGCTGGGATGCATGGGGATGGCCTGGGATGGGCTAGTATGCACTGGGATATACTGGAACGGGCTTGGATGCACTGAGATGCACTGGGACGCACTGGGACACACTGGGATGCACTGGGACGCACTGGGATGCACTGGGAGGCACTGGGGTGCACTGGGATGGACTGGGATGGGCTGGGACGCACTGGGATGCACTGGGATGGACTGGGATGGGCTGGGATGCACTGGGACGCACTGGGATGCACTGGGATGCAGGGGGGCTGTTGGGGTACCCCAGGCTCTCCCCCAGGCGCGTCCATCGGAGGCGGAGCTGCGGGTGCAGCTCTCGGGGCCCGGGGGCTCCATCGGCGTCAACCACGGGGCGGCGGCTGCTGGGATGTACTGGGATGCACTGGGGTGCACTGGGATGCACTGGGGTGCACTGGGTTGCACTGGGATGCAGGGGGGCTGTTGGGGTACCCCAGGCTCTCCCCCAGGCGCGTCCATCGGAGGCGGAGCTGCGGGTGCAGCTCTCGGGGCCCGGGGGCTCCATCGGCGTCAACCACGGGGCTGCGGCGGCGGCGGCGCGGGGACCCCCCCGCTATGAGAGGATCCCCCCCGGAGAGGGGGGGTACCAGGAACCAAGGAGGGGAGCGGGGCCAATGGGAGCAGCGGGACAGGGTGAGGGGGATGGGGATGGGGGGGGGATGGGGATGGGGGATGGGGGATGATGATGATGGATAGGAGATGGATGGATGGATATGGATGGATGATGATGATGATGATGATGATGATGATGATGATGATGATGGGTAATAGATGATGGTTGATGGATAATGGATGATGATGGATGATGATGACAATGTATGGATGATGGATGGATGATGGATGGATGGATGCATGCATGATGGATGTATGATGATGGATGATGGATGGGTGATGATGATGATGGATAGGTGATGGATGGATGATGGATGATAGATGGGTGATGGATGGATGGATATGGATGGATTATGATGGATGATGATGGATGATGGATAATGGATGATGGATGATGGATGGTGATGGATAATAGATGACAGTTGATGGATAGATGATGATGGATGATGATGATGATGAATGAATGAAGATGGATGATGATGGATGGATGGATGATGGTGGGTGATGATGGATGATGAATGATGGATGATGATGATGGATGATGGATGAGTATGGATGGATGATGGGTAATGGATGATGATGATGATGGGTAATAGATGATGGTTGATGGATGGATGTTGATGGATGATGATGACGATGGATGATGATGGATGATGACAATGGATGGATGATGGATGGATATATGGATGTATAGATATATGCATATATGGATACACGGATGTATTGAGTGGGTGGAGCCTACAGGCCCCTCCCCGTTCCTAACACCACTCCCCCCCCCCAGCTCCCTTCACCAATCCAGGCTACCGCCTCCTCCTGGCCACCTACGCCCAGCCAATGGGAGGGCTCGCTCGGACCCCACCTGACGGGGCCAAGCCAATCAACACCGACGGTGAGCCCAAGCCCCGCCCCTCCCCTATTGACCCCACCTCCCCCCTTCATCCCCTCCCACCTCATTCAAGCCCAACCCCCATTCCCCTCCATCCTTCCCCCCCCCCAGCCCCGGAGGGCGGAGCCGAGGCCTACGCCGAAGCTGACGTCATCGGAGGCTCCGCCCACCCCGCGTCCGGCCCCGCCCCCTGCCCCGCCCTCCCGGCCTTCCCGCGCCAACGCCTGCGCTTCCGGCAGAAGCTGGGGGAGGGGCAGTTCGGAGAGGTAAGCCACGCCCCTTCACATCAAGCCCCGCCCCCTTAACGCTGATTGGCCCTGATGCCATTGAGGCTCCGCCCCCTTTAGGTGCTGCTCTGCGAGGTCGAGGAGCCGCCGGGGTCACGACCCCCGGCCCTGGCGCCAGGGCGCCCCCTGCTGGTGGCGGTCAAAGTGCTGAGGGGGGAGGCGACCCCGAGTGAGAGGTGGGGGGGGTGATGGGGGGGATGGGGGTAATGGGGGGCAATGGGGGCAATGGGGGGCAATGGGGCAATGGGGGGGAATGGGGGGGAATGGGAGGGAATGGGGGGGAATGGGGGAAATGGGGGAATGGGAGAATGGGGGGATGGGGCAATGGGGGGAATGGGGGGTAAATGGGGCTATGAATATGTTAATGGGATGGAAATGGATGCAAATGGGATGTCAATGGGATGTCATTGGGGTATCAATGGGATGTAAATGGGATGTCAATGGGATGTCAATGGGATGTCAATGGGATGCAAATGGGATGTCAATGGGATGTCATTGGGGTATCAATGGGATGTAAATGGGATGCAGATGGGATGTCAATGGGATGTCAATGGGATGCAAATGGGATGTCAATGGGATGTCATTGGGGTATCAATGGGATGTAAATGGGATGCAGATGGGATGTCAATGGGATGTCAATGGGATGCAAATGGGATGTCAATGGGATGTCATTGGGGTATCAATGGGATGTAAACGGGATGCAGATGGGATGTCAATGTGATGTCAATGGGATGCAAATGGGATGTCAATGGGATGTCATTGGGGTATCAATGGGATGTAAACGGGATGCAGATGGGATGTCAATGTGATGTCAATGGGATGCAAATGGGATGTCAATGGGATGTCATTGGGGTATCAATGGGATGCAAAATGGGATGCAAATGGGATGCAAATGGGATGTCAATGGGATATAAACAGGGTACCAATGGGATACCAATAGGACGCAAATGGGATGCAAATGGGATGTCAATGGGGTACCAATGGGACACCAATAGGACGCAAATGGGATGCAAATGGTGCCCAATGGGGTCGGGTTGCCCCCAGGCGGGACTTCCTGCAGGAGGCGCGCACCATGGGGCGCCTGCGGGACCCCAACATCGTGCGGCTGCTGGGGGTGTGCGGGGGGCCCGGCCCCCTCTGCATCGTCACCGAGTACATGGAGCACGGAGACCTGCACCGCTTCCTGGGCGGCCCCGCCGGCAGCGCCCTCAGGTGCCCCCTTTTCCCCTTAGCCACCCCCCCTTTCCCTCCTTTAGCCACGCCCCTTTTCCCTTTAGCCACGCCCCTTTTCCCTTTAGCCACGCCCCTTTTCCCTTTAGCCCCCGCCTTTTTAGGGCACCCATTCCTTTTAGCTCCACCCCTTCCCTTTAGCCCCTCCCCTTTCCTTTAGTGCCTCCCCTTTACACCCACACAATCCCTTTAGCCCCTCCTCTTTCCTTTAGCCCCATCCCTTCCCTTTAGCCCCTCCCCTTTAACCCCACCCCTATCCTTTAGCCCCTCCCCTTCCCTTTAGCCCTTCCTCTTTACACCCACCCAGTCCCTTTAGCCCCACCCCTTCCCTTTATCCCCTCCCCTTTATTCCCACCCAGTCCCTTTAGCCCCGCCCCTGCCCCTTCCCTCCCACCCAATCCCGTTACATCCTCTCCAATCCCTTTAGCCCCTCCCCTTTTACTCCCACCCCATCCCTTTAACCCCACCCCTTCCCTTTAGCCCCACCCCTTCCCTTTAGCCCCTGCCCTTTACTCCCACCCAGTCCCTTTACATCCTATCCAATCCCTTTAGCTCCGCCCCTTCCCTCTCACCCAATCCCTTTACATCTTCTCCAATCCCTTTAGCCCCTCCCCTTTCCTTTAGCCCCTCCCCCTTCCCTTTAGCTCCTCCCCTTTACTCCTACCCAATCCCTTTAGCCCCTCCCCTTCCCTTTAGCCCCTCCCCTTTCCTTTAGCATCTCCCCTTTACTCCCACTCAATCCCTTTAGCCCCTCCCCATTCCTTTAGCCCTGCCCCTTTAGATCACACCCAATCCCTTTAGCCCCTCCCCTTCCCTTTAGCCCCGCCCCTTTCCTCCCACCCAATCCCTTTCCTCCCTCCCTCCCCTTCCCTTTAGCCCCGCCCCTCTAACCCCCCCCCCTCCCATTCTCAGCCTGCCCACACTGGTGCACGTGGGGGCTCAGATCGCGTCGGGGATGCGGTTCCTGTCGCGACTGAACGTGGTGCATCGCGACCTGGCGACCCGGAACTGCCTGGTGGGGGCGGGCGTGACGGTGAAGGTGTCGGATTTCGGCATGAGCCGGCCCCTGTACGGGCGGCACTACTACCGAGTGCGGGGCAGGGCCCTGCTGCCCATCCGCTGGATGGCCTGGGAGTGCATCCTCATGGTGGGGATACTGGGGGGAATGGGGGGAATGGGATAATGGGGGTAATGGGGATACTGGGGGTAATGGGGTAATGGGGGTACTGGGGGTAATGGGGATAATGGGGGTAATGGGGGTAATGGGGATACTGGGATAATGGGATAATGGGGATACTGGGATAATGGGATACTGGGATAATGGGGATAATGGGGATACTGGGATAATGGGGGTAATGGGGATAATGGGGGTAATGGGGATACTGGGATAATGGGGATAATGGGGATACTGGGGATAATGGGGATGGGGGGGATACTGGGGATAATGGGGATAATGGGGATAATGGGGTGGGGTGGGGATGGGGATGGGGATGGGATGGGGATGGGGTGGGGATGGGATGGGCATGGGATGGGATGGGAGTGAATCCTGATGGTGGGGATGGGGTGGGAATGGGAGTGCATCCTCAATGGGATACAATGAAATGCAATGGGTCTCAATGGGATACAATGCGGTTCAATGAGGTTCAATGGTGCTCAATGGGATGCAATGGGGTTCAATGGGATGCAATGGGGTTCAATGGGATGCAATGGGGTTCAATGGGATGCAGTGGGGTTCAGTGGTGCTCAATGGGATTCAGTGGGACTCAATGGGAAGCAATGGGTTTCAATGGGGCTCAATGGGATGCAATGGTGCTCAGTGGGGTGCAATGGGGTTCAATGGGATGCAATGGGTCTCAATGGGGCTCCATGGGTCCCGCAGGGCACCTTCACCCCCGCCAGTGACGCCTGGGCCTTCGGGGTGACGCTGTGGGAGGTGCTGACGCGGTGCCGGGAGCAGCCCTATGGGGGCCTGAGCGACGAGCAGGTCATTGCCAATGCTGGGCACCACTTCCGGGCCCAGGGCAAGCAGGTGGGCAATGGGGGGCAATGGGGGAATGGGGATAATGGGGGAATGGGGGTAATGGGGGAATGGGGGTAATGGGGTAATGGGGGTGATGGGGTAATGGGGGAATGGGGGTAATGGGAGTAAAGGGGGGGGAATGGGGGTAATGGGGATAATGGGGTAATGGGGGCAATGGGGGTAATGGGGGTGATGGGGTAATGGGGGTGATGGGGAAATGGGGACAATGGGGACAATGGGGGAATGGGGCTAATGGGGGCAATGGGCGGAATGGGGGAATGGGGGTAATGGGGGAAAATGGGGTTAATGGGGGTATGGGGGTAAGGGGGTAAGGGGGGAATGGTAATGGGGGCAATGGGGGAATGGGGTAATGGGGGCAATGGGGGGAATGGGGGTGATGGGGGTAAAGGGGGGAACGGGGGAATGGGGGGGAATGGGGGTAAGGGCGGGAATGGGGGTAAGGGGGGAATGGGGGAATGGGAGTAAAGGGGAGAATGGGGGGAATGGGGATAATGGGGTAATGGGGGAAATAGGGGAATGGGGGTAATGGGGAGAATGGGGGGAATGGGGATAATGGGGTAATGGGGGGAATGGGGGTAATGGGGCCAATGGGGGCAATGGAGTAATGGGGCCAACAGCATCAATGGGTCAATGCCATGATCCCCATCCCAGGAATACCTGCCGTGCCCCCCCGGCTGCCCCCCTGCTCTCCATGGGGTGATGCTGCGGTGCTGGGCCCGGGATGCTGCCGACCGGCCGAGCTTCGGGCTCCTGCACCGCCTCCTGCGGGACCAATCCGGGCTGGCCTGAGGGCAGCGGCATCGATGACGTCATCAATGACGTCATCAATGACGTCATCCTCATCCTTCATCATCATCATCGTCAACGTCATCATCTTCGATCATCATCATCAACATCAATGTCATCATCATCATCATCATCATCAATATCATCATAATCCATCATCATTATCATCATCATCATCCTTCATCATCAATATCATCGTCATCAACATCCATCATCATCGGCATCATCAATGTCATCATCATCATCCTTCATCATCATCATTGTCAACGTCATCATCTTCGATCATCATCAACATCAATGTCATCATTGCCATCATCATCAATACCATCATCATCCTTCATCATCATCATCATCAGTATCATCGTCGTCATCATCCATCATCAATATCATCATCATCATCAATATCATAGATATTATCATCATCAATCATCATTATTCTTCATCATCATCCTCAAATCAACATCATCATCCTTCATCATCATCATCATACTTCATCATCAATATCATCATCACCATCCATCATCATCAATATCGTCATCAACATCATTGTCATCATCATCTTCCAATCAACATCTTCATCAACATCATTCTTCATCATCAATAGCATCATCACCAATCATCAATCATCATCATCATCATCAATATCATCATCATCATCCTTCATCATCATCATCATGACCTTCATCATCGATCATCATCATCAATATCATCATCATCTTCATCCTCCTCCTTCATCCCCTTCACCTTCCTTTGCCTTCAGCATCTCCTCTTCCTCCTCCCCATCCCTACCAAAGCCCCCCCATTGTACGGAAGGGGGCCAATGGGAGGGGGCGTGGCCTGATGGAGACGGGGGCGTGGCCTCCTGGGGGGGCGTGGTCACGTGGTGGGGAGGTGGGGCTGTATCTACATGGGGCCATACTGGAGACGTTTACATTAATATATGGGATGCTTTGGGGTCCTTTGGGTCTCTGTTGGATTGGGGGGGTGGGGGGAGAGCACCCATGGGTGCCCCTCGATGGGTGCCTGGACCTATAGATCACCCTATAGGTGGCCATATCCCCCTAGAGGTGCCCATATCCCCCCTATAGGCACCCATATCCCCCCTATAGGCGCCCATATCCCCCCTATAGGCGCCCATATCCCCTCTATAGGCGCCCATATGCCCCCTATAGGTGCCCATATCCCCCCTATAGGCACCCATATCCCCCCTATAGGTGCCCATATCCCCCTATAGGCGCCCATATCCCCACTATAGGCGCCCATATCTATAGGCGCCCATATCTATAGGCGTCCATATCCCCCTATAGGTGCCCATATCCCCCCCCTATAGGCGCCCATATCCCCCTATAGGTGCCCATATCCCCCCTATAGGCGCCCATATCCCCCTATAGGCGCCCATATCCCCCCTATAGGCGCCCATATCCCCCCTATAGGCACCCATATCCCCCCTATAGGCGCCCTCCTCGATCCTTTTCCCATCCCCCTTTATCTGGGAATGGAAAACCCGGGAATGACGCAATTCCCCCCTCCCCCCCCCCGGATCCATGACTCAGGGCTGGGGAATGCTGGAATCTCCCCATTTCCTCCCCTCTCCTCTATAGGGCCCCCTCCCCCCATAGTCCAACTCTTGTGTGTGGGTGCCCCCCCATAAGCACCCCTATAGACAACCCCTATAGACACCCCTTTATAGACACCCCCTATAGACACTCCCTATAGACAGCCCCTATAGACAACCCTTATAGACAACCCCTATAGACACCCCCATATAGACAACCCCCTATAGACAGCCCTATAGACACCCACTATAGACACCCCATAGATACTCCTATGGTCAACCCCTATAGACACCCCTATAGACAACCCCTATAGTCAACCCCTATAGACACCCGTATAGACAACCCCTATAGACAACCCCTATAGTCACCCCTATAGACACCCCTATACACAATCCCTATAGACACCCCTATAGACACCCCATATAGACAACCCTATAGACAACACCTATAGACACCCCATATAGACAACCCCCCTATAGACAACCCCTATAGGCACCTCTATAAACTACCCCTATACACACTCCTATAGACAACCCCTATACACACCCCCTATAGACACCCCTATAGACAACCCCTATAAGCTACCCCATACACAATCGCTATAGACACTCCTATAGACACCCCCTATAGCCCCCAATACCGCCGTATAGCCCCTATAGCCCCCAATACCCCCCTATATCCCCTATAGCACCCCATACAGTCCTATAGCACCCCATACACCCCTATAGCCCCCAATACCCCCCTATAGCCCCCCATGCACCCCTATAGCGCTCCCTATGCCCCTCCCAACCCCCGCCCGGGAGGGCGTGGCCTCCCCGCTTAACCACACCCCCTCCCCTCTCACCAACCAATGGGCTCCACCCCGAGCGCGTAGCCCCGCCCCCTCCCCTTTACCCCCGCTATAAAAGCCTCCGCCCTGAGGCACGGCCGCCATTTTGACGCCATGACCGTGCCCATGATGGCAGCGGCCGCCGCTACCACAGCGTGCCCGGGCCGGGGCTGGAGCCCCCGGGGGCCCGGCGGCGGTTATCCCGGTGCCGTGGCCCCTTCCCCTCCTCGGTACTTCACCTTCGAGACCCCACTGGGGCCCCGCTCCCCGACCAGGCCCCGTCGGAAGCACCGGAGGGTTCTTTACCCGCCTGCTGTAAGTACCGGGGGGGGGGGGTAAGGCGCATTCCCAGCTTTCCGAGCCCCATTCCCGGCTTTCCTGTTCCCCATTCTCGGCTTTCCGAGGCCCATTCCCGGCTTCCTGTTCCCCGTATCCCGAACCCGTTCCCGGAGGCCCATTCCCCATTTCCGAGGCCTATTCCCCGTTTCCCAAGGCCCATTCCCGGCTTTCCGATCCCCGTTCCCCATTCCCGTTCTCCATTCCCAAGCCTTATTCCCAGTTTCCCGGCCTGTGGGGGCTGAGTCACTTCCCCCCCCCGCGGCTCAGGCCTGACTCATCCCTTGGGGGCGGCAATGGGTATTTCCGCACCCCCGGGGGTGGTTTGCCCCATAGAGGCTCTTACTTACCTCAAGAGGGGCAGTTATTTGCCCCATAGAGTGTCTATTTTCCCCATAAACGGCCTGTTTGCCCCATAGAGGGGCTGTTTACCTCATAGAGGGGCCTATTTACCCCATAGAGGGTCTTTTTGCCCCATAGAGGATCTATTTGCCCCATAGAGGGGCCTATTTGCCGCATAGAGGGGCCTATTTGCCCCATAGAGGGGCCTATTTGCCCCATAGAGGGGCCTATTTGCCCCATAGAGGGGCCTGTTTACCGCATTGTAGGTCTTTTTGCCCCATAGAGGGACCTATTTGCCCCATAGAGGGGCCTATTTACCCCATGGAGGGTCTGTTTACCTCCAGGGGGGCAGTTATTTGCCCCATAGGTGTGTCTGTTTACCCCATAGAGGTTTTATTTACCCCATAGGGCGTTTATTGACCCAAAGGGGGGCAGTTATTTGCCCCATAGGGAGTCCGTTTACCCCATAGGGGGTCTATTTGCCCCAAGGGGGGGGTCTATTGACCCCAGGGGGGCAGTTACTTGCCCCAAGGAGGGGTCTCTATACCCCATAGAGTGTCTATTCACCCCATAGAGGGTCTGTTTACCCCGGGGGGGGCAGTTATTTGCCCCAAAGAGGGGGGGTATAACACCACTTCCCCTCCTGACCCTAAGCACCTTTGCCCTTGGGTGCCTTCCCTATAGGGTTATTAAACCCTATTGACCCCATAGAGGGCGCCCTTTACCCCAATGGGAGAGGGGGGGGGTATTTATCACTTCTCACCCCATTCTTTTGCCCCCCCCAGGTCCGGCGCCCCCCCCCAATGGAAGAGCCAAACGGTGCCAAGAGGCTCCTGCTGCTGCTGTTGGCCGTGGTGAGCGCCCAAGTGTACAGCACCCCCGGGGAAGTGACCCTTGACGTGGTTCCATCCAGCCCAAGCACACCGGGACCAGCACCCATTGAACCTGTTGGGACACCCAATGGGACATTGGCACCTATGGCACCTTCTATGGGTGCTTCTTGCCCCCCGTTGCTGATGGCACCCAGTCTGCACCCTATCAACTGTGTTGGTGCCCATTGACCTGAGGGGGGCACCTGAGGACTTTCATCCAGCACCCATTGGTGCACAAGCTGTGCCTATAAGGGGGGGATGATATTGGGGGGGCCATCAGCGTGGCCTCAGGGCTGGACACCCCTGATACCGCTTTCTGTGCACATAAGGGGGGGATGACATGACATTGGGGGGGCCATCAGCGTGGCCTCAGGGCTGGACAGCCCAATACCCTTTCCTGTGCACATAATGGGGGGAGTCCCATCAGCGTGGCCTCAGGGCTGGATACCCCTGATACCCCTTCCTGTGCACATAATGGGGGGGATGACATGACATTGGGGGGGCCATCAGCGTGGCCTCAGGGCTGGATACCCCTGATACCCCTTCCTGTGCACATAATGGGGGGGTCCCATCACCGTGGCCTCAGGGCTGGACACCCCCTTGATACCCCTTCCTATGCACTCAAAGAGAGGCATTCAGCACCCATGGGTTACCCCTACCTCTTCCCCACCCCCCTCAAAGCGAGGGGGTGGGGGCCTGCCTTTAGCACCCATGGGTGCCCTTCACTCACCTCATCCCCACCCTCTTATTTATTGTATTTATGTTAATTTAATGGAGATCTATTTAATTAGGGGGGGTTATTTAATGGGATATTTAATAATGAATACTATTTATGATGCTCTTGGGTCGTTGTGTGCTTGTTCCCCCATTGAGGGGGGTCCTCGTGTACCCCAAACACCCCCCCCAGCCCCCTCCTTTACCCCCATTTATCCCATTACCCCATTGAAATGGGGTTTTCCACCCCAATCCCTAGGCTGAGGATGCAGGGGTCACCCCATTCCCCCCCTTTGGGAGATGCCTGCTGTTGGGAATGGGGCTGAAATCCCACTTGGGAATAAACTAGAGGCCACGACTTCACCCCAGCTCTTTATTAAAGGCCTCAAAGCCAAGGCAGGGGATCCAAAATCACCAAAAGTACCAAAAACGACCCCAAAACCCTCCCCCCCCCCCATAAGATCCATAAAAAGGAAGCTGAAACCAGCTCCAGTTTGCTCCCTTTCCTATGGGAACACTGGGAAAAGCCCGGCATTGCCTCTGCTCCGTGTGGGATACTCCAGTCCTTCCTCCCTAACGCATCCCTGGCAGTGCCAATGACCCCCAAATTGGGCTTTTTTCCCCCCAAAATGGCACTTGAAGAGCAGCAGCACCCCCTTTTTTGGGCCCAAAACAACACATGACAGTGGTCCCCCTCCCCCCATCTTCACCCCATGTGAACCCCCCCAACCCCCCCCAACATGTTCTGCTCCAAGGAGCAAAAATCCAGCGGAAAATGGGGGGGAAACCCCCAAATCCCCCTATTTTGGCCACTTCCTGCCTCGGATCCCACCTGGAAACAGGGAGGAAGTGGGAAACGAGCCTTAAAATCACCTTAATTTAGTGGGAAATGGGGTTTCTGGGCTTCCAACAACCCCAAAAGGAAAGGGAGGGTGGTGGGGGCTATCCCATCCAGGAGGACATTGGGATGGGGGAAAGAAGGACATTCCTGCTGTAAAAACATGGGATTTGGTTAAAAACGGGGGAAAAAATGAAAAGGAAGGGTCCCCATCCCATAATTACTCACCAAGACTGAAGGGTTCCAATGGGAACAAGCCCCCAAGGATGGGTCTTGTTGGCCAACCCCACTCGAGTCAATGGAACGAGCCCAATGACTCCTCTTGTTGGCCAACCCCACTGGACTCAATGGAACGAGCCCAATGACTCCTCTCGTTGGCCAACCCCACTGGGGTCAATGGAACAAGCCCAATGACTCCTCTTGTTGGCCAACCCCACTGGAGTCAATGGAACGAGCCCAATGACTCCTCTCGTTGGCCAACCCCACTCGAGTCAATGGAACGAGCCCAATGACTCCTCTTGTTGGCCAACCCCACTCGAGTCAATGGAACGAGCCCAATGACTCCTCTCGTTGGCCAACCCCACTCGGGTCAATGGAACGAGCCCAGTGACTCCTCTCGTTGGCCAACCCCACTCGGGTGCTGAGTGCCCTTGCCCCCATACCCCGAAGGCTCCTTCCCCACCCCATAGCCCCCTTCAACCCCCCCCTTCCCCTGTCTCCGTTTGGGCCCACCCCAACCCCATCCCTTCCCCGGCCCCACATCCGCCCCCATTGTGCCCATGGGGCCGTGGGGCCGGGGCTCAGTTGCTGAGGGTCGAGGCCTGAGCCCCCGGGGCTGGAGCCGGGGGGCAGCAGGGCTGGGGGAAGGCGCGGGCAGGGAAGGGCAGGGCCCAGGGCAGCTCCAAGCCCGGCACCGCGCCGGGGAAGGGCGGCAGCGCCGGGACGGGCGCGAAGGCGGCGGCGTCGGCGTCGTTGGCGTCGGCGTTGCCGGGGTTGGCTTTGGCCTTGTCCCCGCTGTGGGTGCGTTGGTGGCGGTTGAGGTGGGAGCTGCGGCTGAAGCACTTCCCGCACGCCCCACACTTGTAGGGCTTCTCCCCGGTGTGGACGCGCTGGTGGATGGTGAGCTCGGAGCGTTGGATGAAGCTCTTGCCGCACTGGGAGCACTGGTAGGGCTTCTCCCCCAAATGGGTCCGTTGATGGGTGAGGAGGTTGGAGGAGACGCTGAAGCACTTCCCGCACTCCCCACACTTGTAGGGCTTCTCCCCAGTGTGCATGCGGCGGTGGATGGTGAGATCCGACTTCTGGATGAACCCCTTACCGCAATCACCGCAGGCGTACGGCTTCTCACCGGTATGGATCCGGCGATGCTTGACCAAGGCCGAGCGTTGCCCAAAGCCCTTCCCGCACTCCCCACACTTATAGGGCTTCTCCGGTGGTGCTGGTGGTGGTGGTGGTGTCACCGGCACCGCGCCGGCGTCCTCTTCCACCCCGCAATCCAAGCACTGTTGAGCACGAGGCCTCAACCCTACGGCGCGGTTCTTCCCGCAATCGGCGCATTGGCCCCCGTTGTGGCACCGTTGGTGTTTGAGCAACGCCGCCCCTTGCCCGAAGCAACGCCCGCACTGGGAACACTGGAACAGGCGCCCGTGGCGATGGGCGGCCAAGAAGGTATCGAGGTGTTGGGGACACCGGTAACAAGCCCGTTCCGCCGTGTGGATCTTGCGGTGCCGATCCAAATGGGAGCTGACGCTGAAGCTCTTCCCGCATTCCCCGCACGTATAGGGCCGCTCGCCGGTATGGACGCGTTGGTGCCGTTCCAAATCGGAGCGTTGGATGAAGCCTTTACCGCAATCACCGCAGGCAAACGGCCTCTCCCCGGTATGGATGCGCCGGTGTTGGGTGAGGTTGGAACCGCGGCTGAAGCTCTTCCCGCAATCACCGCACCGATGCGGCCGCTCGCCGCTATGGCTCTTGCGGTGCTTCGCCAAGGCGTTGCGTTGGGCAAAGCCCTTCCCGCATTCACCGCAACGATGGGGAAGGGAAACGGGTTCATCCGGTGACCCCCGCTTGTGCCGCGGGGCCGCCCCGTCGGCGTGGGTCTGCCGATGGCGCTCCAAGTGGGAGCTGACGCTGAAGCTCTTCCCGCAGTCGGCGCACGGGTAAGGCCGCTCGCCGGTGTGCACCCGGTGGTGCCGTTGCAGGTCGGAGCGCTGCAGGAAGCCTTTGCCGCAGTCGCCGCAGCGGTGGGGCCGTTCCCCGCTGTGGATGCGCCGGTGCTGGGCCAGGTTGGAGCCGCGGCTGAAGCCTTTGCCGCAGTCGCCGCAGCGGTGGGGTTTGTCACCATTGACGCCATGGAGGCGACGGCCGCGACGGTGGTGACCGCAACGGGAACAGCGTGGGTGAGCGCCGCATTCGAGGCAAGGGGAAAGCGGGGTGGGCGCCGATGGTGCCGCTGCCGCCGCCGGGGATGGTTCAAGGGGTTCCGCTTGGTTTTGGGGGTCGGGGGGGGATTCCGATGGCGGGGATTCGGGGGCGGTGGTGGAGACTGTAGGGGGAAGCAGGGAGGAAGAGGTGAGGGCTATGGGGATGGGGGGGGGGGCTATGGGGGGCTATGGGGATGTGGAGGGGGGCTATGGGGATGTGGAGGGGGGCTATGGGGGGCTATGGGGATGTGGAGGGGGGCTATGGGGATGTGGAGGGGGGCTATGGGGATGTGGAGGGGGGCTATGGGGGGCTATGGGGATGTGGAGGGGGGCTATGGGGGCTATGGGGACGTGGAGGGGGGCTATGGGGATGTGGAGGGGGGCTACAGGGCCATGGACAAGGTCTATGGGGACATGGATGACGGCTATAGGGACATGGAGAAGGTCTATGGGGACATGGAGGGCTATGGGGCCATGGATGAGGTCTATGGGGCCATGGAGAAGGTCTACGGTGCCATGGATGAGGTCTATGAGGCCATAGAGAAGGTCTACAGGGCCATGGATGAGGTCTATGGGGCCACAGATGAGGTCTACGGTGCCATGGCTGAGGTCCATCACAACATGAAGACGCTCCATGGTCCCATGGAGCTCTATGGGGCCACGCAGTAGCTCTATGGGGCCACGCAGTAGCCCTATGGGGCCACGCAGTAGCTCTATGGGGCCACGCAGTAGCTCTATGGGGCCACGCAGTAGCTCTATGGGGCCACGCAGTAGCTCTATGGGGTGATGTGCGCGTGTGCCCCCCCCTTTACCTCCATCCTTGGTGCCCCTCTTCCGGCCCCGGCGCTTCCCGGCCTGGCCCTGCTCCCGCACCAGCTCCCGCAGCATCTTCTCCACTTGGCTCCTCCCGGCTGTCTGCAGGATGAGCCCCAACTGGCGCCGCAGGTCGGGATGGACCCCCCCATCCCCGGAGCCCCCCGAAGGCTGCAGCGGGGGGGGTTCCGAAGGGCCCTGCTCGCCCTCGGTGTCTGCACCTGAGAACAGACCCCAAAACAGGGGGAATTCAGCCCAAAGTGGGGCTGCGGCGGCGATCCCAAAGGGATGCGATGCGGATTGGGGTGATCGTCAAGAAACCAATGGGATTTGACCAAAATTGGGGCATTCCTCAAGAAACCAATGGGATTTGAGCCAAATTGGGTGATTCTGAGGGAATCAAATGGGATTTGAGCCAAATTGGGTGATTCCGCAAGAATCCAATGGGATTTGACCCAAATTCGGTGATTCCACAAGAATCCAATGGGATTTGACCCAAATTGGGTGATTCCGCAAGAATCCAATGGGGTTTGACCAAAATTGGGTGATTCCGCAAGAATCCAATGGGATTTGACCCAAATTGGGTGATTCTGCAAGAATCCAATGGGATTTGACCCAAATTGGGTGATTCCGCAAGAATCCAATGGGATTTGACCCAAATTGGGTGATTCCGCAAGAATCCAATGGGATTTGACCCAAATTGGGTGATTCTGCAAGAATCCAATGGGATTTGACCCAAATTGGGTGATTCTGCAAGAATCCAATGGGATTTGACCCAAATTGGGTGATTCCGCAAGAATCCAATGGGATTTGACCCAAATTGGGTGATTCTGCAAGAATCCAATGGGATTTGACCCAAATTGGGTGATTCTGCAAGAATCCAATGGGATTTGACCCAAATTGGGTGATTCTGCAAGAATCCAATGGGATTTGACCCAAATTGGGTGATTCTGCAAGAATCTAATGGGATTTGACCCAAATTGGGTGATTCCACAAGAATCCAAAGGGATTTGACCCAAATTGGGTGATTCCGCAAGAATCCAATGGGATTTGACCCAAATTGGGCGATTCCGCAAGGATCCAACGGGATTTGACCCAAATTGGGTGATTCTGCAAGAATCCAATGGGGTTTGACCCAAATTGGGTGATTCCGCAAGAATCCAATGGGATTTGACCCAAATTGGGTGATTCTACATGAATCCAATGGGATTTGACCCAAATTGGGTGATTCCGCAAGAATCCAATGGGATTTGACCCAAATTGGGTGATTCCGCAAGAATCCAATGGGATTTGACCCAAATTGGGTGATTCTGCAAGAATCCAATGGGATTTGACCCAAATTGGGTGATTCTGCAAGAATCCAATGGGATTTGACCCAAATTGGGTGATTCTGCAAGAATCTAATGGGATTTGACCCAAATTGGGTGATTCCACAAGAATCCAAAGGGATTTGACCCAAATTGGGTGATTCCGCAAGAATCCAATGGGATTTGACCCAAATTGGGCGATTCCGCAAGGATCCAACGGGATTTGACCCAAATTGGGTGATTCTGCAAGAATCCAATGGGGTTTGACCCAAATTGGGTGATTCCGCAAGAATCCAATGGGATTTGACCCAAATTGGGTGATTCTACATGAATCCAATGGGATTTGACCCAAATTGGGTGATTCCGCAAGAATCCAATGGGATTTGACCCAAATTGGGTGATTCCGCAAGAATCCAATGGGATTTGACCCAAATTGGGTGATTCTGCAAGAATCCAATGGGATTTGACCCAAATTGGGTGATTCTACATGAATCCAATGGGATTTGACCCAAATTGGGTGATTCCGCAAGAATCCAATGGGATTTGACCCAAATTGGGTGATTCTGCAAGAATCCAATGGGATTTGACCCAAATTGGGTGATTCTGAGGGAATCCAATGGGATTTGACCCAAATTGGGTGATTCGTCAAGAATCCAATGGGATTTGACCCAAATTGGGTGATTCTGCAAGAATCCAATGGGATTTGACCCAAATTGGGTGATTCTGCAAGAATCCAATGGGATTTGACCCAAATTGGGTGATTCCGCAAGAATCCAATGGGATTTGACCCAAATTGGGTGATTCTGCAAGAATCCAATGGGATTTGACCCAAATTGGGTGATTCCGAGGGAATCCAATGGGATTTGACCCAAATTGGGTGATTCCGCAAGAATCCAATGGGATTTGACCCAAATTGGGTGATTCTGCAAGAATCCAATGGGATTTGACCAAAATTGGGTGATTCTGCAAGAATCCAATGGGATTTGACCCAAATTGGGTGATTCTGAGGGAATCCAATGGGATTTGACCAAAATTTGGGTGATTCCGCAAGAATCCAATGGGATTTGACCCAAATTGGGTGATTCTGCAAGAATCCAATGGGATTTGACCCAAATTGGGTGATTCCGCAAGGATCCAATGGGATTTGACCCAAATTGGGTGATTCTGCAAGAATCCAATGGGATTTGACCCAAATTGGGTGATTCCGCAAGGATCCAATGGGATTTGACCCAAATTGGGGCGTTCCACAAGAATCCAATGGGATTTGACCAAAATTGGGGCGTTCATCGAGAATCCAATGGGATTTGACCCAAATTGGGTGATTCTGCAAGAATCCAATGGGATTTGACCAAAATTGGGTGATTCCGCAAGGATCCAATGGGATTTGACCCAAATTGGGTGATTCTGCAAGAATCCAATGGGATTTGACCCAAATTGGGTGATTCCGCAAGAATCCAATGGGATTTGACCCAATTGGGTGATTCTGCAGAATCCAATGGGATTTGACCCAAATTGGGTGATTCTGCAAGAATCCAATGGGATTTGACCAAATTGGGTGATTCCGCAAGAATCCAATGGGATTTGACCCAAATTGGGTGATTCTGCAAGAATCCAATGGGATTTGACCCAAATTGGGTGATTCTGCAAGAATCCAATGGGATTTGACCCAAATTGGGTGATTCTGCAAGAATCCAATGGGATTTGACCCAAATTGGGTGATTCTGCAAGAATCCAATGGGATTTGACCCAAATTGGGTGATTCCGCAAGGATCCAATGGGATTTGACCCAAATTGGGTGATTCTGCAAGAATCCAATGGGATTTGACCCAAATTGGGGCGTTCCACAAGAATCCAATGGGATTTGACCAAAATTGGGGCGTTCATCAAGAATCCAATGGGATTTGACCCAAATTGGGTGATTCTGCAAGAATCCAATGGGATTTGACCAAAATTGGGTGATTCCGCAAGGATCCAATGGGATTTGACCCAAATTGGGTGATTCTGCAAGAATCCAATGGGATTTGACCCAAATTGGGTGATTCCGCAAGAATCCAATGGGATTTGACCCAAATTGGGTGATTCTGCAAGAATCCAATGGGATTTGACCCAAATTGGGTGATTCCGCAAATCCAATGGGTTTGACAAATTGGGTGATTCCGCAAGAATCCAATGGGATTTGACCCAAATTGGGTGATTCCGCAAGAATCCAATGGGATTTGACCCAAATTGGGTGATTCTGCAAGAATCCAATGGGATTTGACCCAAATTGGGTGATTCTGCAAGAATCCAATGGGATTTGACCCAAATTGGGTGATTCCGCAAGAATCCAATGGGATTTGACCCAAATTGGGTGATTCTGCAAGAATCCAATGGGATTTGACCCAAATTGGGTGATTCCGCAAGAATCCAATGGGATTTGACCCAAATTGGGTGATTCTGCAAGAATCCAATGGGATTTGACCCAAATTGGGTGATTCTGCAAGAATCCAACGGGATTTGACCCAAATTGGGTGATTCTGCAAGGATCCAATGGGATTTGACCCAAATTGGGGCGATCGTCAAGAATCCAATGGGATTTGACCAAAATTGGGGCGATCGTCAAGAATCCAATGGGATTTGACCCAAATTGGGGCGATCGTCAAGAACCCAATGGGATTTGACCAAAATTTGGGTGATTCCGCAAGAATCCAATGGGATTTGACCCAAATTGGGTGATTCTGCAAGAATCCAATGGGATTTGACCCAAATTGGGTGATTCCGCAAGAATCCAATGGGATTTGACCCAAATTGGGTGATTCTTCAAGAATCCAATGGGATTTGACCCAAATTGGGGCGTTCCACAAGAATCCAATGGGATTTGACCCAAATTGGGGCGTTCCTCAAGAATCCAATGGGGTTTGAGCCAAATTGGGTGATTCCACAAGGATCCAAAGGGATTTGACCCAAATTGGGTGATTCTGCAAGAATCCAATGGGATTTGACCCAAATTGGGTGATTCTGCAAGAATCCAATGGGATTTGACCCAAATTGGGTGATTCCACAAGGATCCAAAGGGATTTGACCCAAATTGGGTGATTCTGCAAGAATCCAATGGGATTTGACCAAAATTGGGGCGTTCCTCAAGAATCCAATGGGATTTGAGCCAAATTGGGTGATTCCACAAGGATCCAAAGGGATTTGACCCAAATTGGGTGATTCTGCAAGAATCCAATGGGATTTGACCCAAATTGGGTGATTCTGCAAGAATCCAATGGGATTTGACCCAAATTGGGTGATTCTGCAAGAATCCAAAGGGATTTGACCCAAATTGGGGCGTTCATCAAGAATCCAATGGGATTTGACCCAAATTGGGTGATTCCGCAAGAATCCAATGGGATTTGACCCAAATTGGGTGATTTTGCAAGAATCCAATGGGATTTGACCCAAATTGGGTGATTCCGCAAGAATCCAATGGGATTTGACCCAAATTGGGTGATTCCGCAAGAATCCAATGGGATTTGAGCCAAATTGGGTGATTCTGCAAGAATCCAATGGGATTTGACCCAAACTTGGGGGATTCTCCATCAATCCCAAAGGATTCACCCAAATCTGAGGAGGATCTCCAAGAATTTCAAGGAATTCCTCCAAATTTGAGGTGGATTCATAAAATACCTACAGAATTCCCCCAAATTTGGGATGTTCTCCATCAATCCCACAGAATTCCCCCAAATTTGGGATGTTCTCCATCAATCCCACAGAATTCCCCCAAATTTGGGATGTTCTCCATCAATCCCACAGATTTCCCCCAAATTTGGGATGTTCTCCATCAATCCCACAGAATTCCCCCAAATTTGGGATGTTCTCCATCAATCCCACAGAATTCCCCCAAATTTGGGACGTTCTCCATCAATCCCACAGATTTCCCCCAAATTTGGGATGTTCTCCATCAATCCCACAGAATTCCCCCAAATTTGGGATGTTCTCCATCAATCCCACGGAATTCCCCCAAATTTGGGATGTTCTCCATCAATCCCACAGAATTCCCCCAAATTTGGGATGTTCTCCATCAATCCCACAGAATTCCCCCAAATTTGGGATGTTCTCCATCAATCCCACAGAATTCCCCCAAATTTGGGATGCTCTCCATCAATCCCACAGAATTCCCCCAAATTTGGGATGTTCTCCATCAATCCCACAGAATTCCCCCAAATTTGGGATGTTCTCCATCAATCCCACGGAATTCCCCCAAATTTGGGATGTTCTCCATCAATCCCACAGAATTCCCCCAAATTTGGGATGTTCTCCATCAATCCCACAGAATTCCCCCAAATTTGGGGCCGTTTTCCCCCAAACCTATGGAATTCATCCCAATCCCAGGACTTACCCGACCCCAGGCCTCGTCTCCTATGGGATTCCGCGAAGGCCGTGATCCGTGGCCAGCTGATGGCGATCTCCTCGGCTGTGGGACAAGGGGATCCCGGTCCTCAATGCATCCCATAGATGGGCTCCAAAGGTGCCATTCCCAAGCCGGTTTTGGGGTGAAATCCTTCATGTTTGGGCCAAAAAGTGCTTCCAGCAGCACGTGTATCCCCCCCCAATCCTGACCTTGGGATGGGGGGCCTAAATGCTCATGGGAAACCAATGGGATGCTCATGGGATGCCAATGGGAAACCAATGGGAAACCAATAGGGTATCAATGGGAAACCAATGGGATGCTCATGGGGTACCAATGGGAAACTAGTGGGATACCCATAGGAAAGCAATGGGATACCAATGGGATGCCAATGGGATACCAATGGGAAACCAACAGGATATCAATGGGATTCCAATGGGATCCTCATGGGATGCCAATGGGATACCAATGGGAAACCAACGGGATACCAATGGGATACCAATGGGATGCTCATGGGATGCCAATGGGATAACACTGGGAAACCAATGGGATACCAATGGGATACTCATGCGATGCCACTGGGATGGCAATAGGATACCAATGGGATGCCAATGGGATGCTCATGGGATGCCAATAGGATACCAATGGGATGCTCATGGGATACCAATGGGATGCCACTGGGATGCCAATAGGATACCAATGGGATGCTCATGGGATACCAATGGGATGCTCATGGGATGCCAATGGGATGCTCATGAGATACCAATGGGATGCTCATGGGATACCAATGGGATGCTCATGGGATGCCAATGGGATGCCAATGGGATCCTCGTGGTACCCAAACCACCCCAGGGATGCTGCCAAGAGCCCTGGGGACCCCCATAGGGCCCCAATTCCTCCCCCCCCCCCCAATCCCAAGGGATCCCCCCCATTCCTCACCCAAGGAAATGACGTTCTCGTAGTTCTCCTGCATCGCGACCCCCAGATCCGGGGGGGGGCTTGGGGTGCCCGCGCCCCACAAGTACGGCTCCGGCCCCTGCAAAGGGAACAGAGCCCCCCCCCATTGCTGTCAGCATCCCCCGATTCCCACTTTTCCCTATGGAAAAGAGGGGTCTGAAGGGGGGGGTCACCTATGGGATACGCACATCCCTATGGGATACATACATAGATCCCTATGGGATACACGCGTCCCTATGGGATACACACATTGCTATGGGATACACACGTCCCTATGGGATACACACGTCCCTATGGGATACACACGTCCCTATGGGATACGCACGTCCCTATGGGATACACACATTGCTATGGGATACACACATTGCTATGGGATACACGCGTCCCTATGGGATACACACATCACTATAGGACACACACATCCCTATAGGGACACACACATAGAACCTTATGGGACACACATGGACCCCTATAGGGGACATGCACATACACCCCTATGGGACACACACACAGACCCCTATGGGATGCACTCACCCCTATAGGGGACACACATCCCTATAGGGGACAGACATAGACCCCTATAGGACAAACACATGTCTATAGGGGACACACCCCCCCCCGTATAGGGGACAAACACATAGAACCCTATAGGACACACACATCCCTATAGGGGACACACACCCCTATAGGGGACATGCACACAGACCTCTATGGGACACACACACAGACCCCTATGGGACACACACATAGAACCCTATGGGGCACACACATCCCTATGGGGCACACAGAGACCTATGGGGCACACACATCCCTATGGGGCACACACATCCCTATGGGGCACACACATCCCTATGGGGCACACACATCCCTATGGGGCACACACATCCCTATGGGGGACACACACATCCCTATGGGGCACACACATCCCTATGGGGGACACACACATCCCTATGGGACACACACACCCCTATGGGGGACATGCACACAGACCCCTATGGGACACACACATCCCTATGGGGGACACATACATCCCTATGGGACACACACATCCCTATGGGGGACACACACATAGAACCCTATGGGACGCACACACTCCTATAGGGGACACACATTAGGACACACACAGACCCCTATAGGGGACACACACAGACCCCTATAGGGGACACACACATCCCTATAGGGGACACACACATAGACTCCTATGGGGGACACACAAATCCCTATGGGGGATACACACACACATCCCTATAGGGAACACGCTCACCCCTATGGGACGCACACAGACCCCTATAGGGTACTCCCCCCCCCATAGCGTCCCCACAGACCCCTATCCCCCCCCCACCCCACCCCATAGAGCCCCCAAGGTGCCCCCCCCTCGGACGCTCCATTTACCTGGAGGGGGGGGGGGGGCCGGGAGCGGGGTCCTCGCCCCGCGCCGCTGCCGCTGGAGGCGGCTCCTGCTGTGACCCGGATGTAGTGGAGCTCACCCCCCCCCCCTTGCACCGGCAATGGAAGGAGCCGGAGCCCTCTGGTGGCCACTGAGGGAACTGCACCCCCCCCCGTGCACAGAGCGATGGTGCGGTCCGGAGGGACCAATAGGGGCAATGGGAGGGACCCATAGGGACAATGGGGAGGGAGCTATAGGGGCGATGGGGAGGGAGCTATAGGGGCAATGGGGAGGGAGCTATAGGGGCGATGGGGAGGGACCCATAGGGGCAATGGGGAGGGACCCGTAGGGGCAATGGGGAGGGAGCTATAGGGGCAATGGGGAGCTTCCTATAGGGACAATGGGGACAGCACAATAGGGACAATGGGGAGCGCCCTATAGGGACAATGGAGAGCGCCCTATAGGGACAATGGGGAGCGCCCTATAGCGACAATGGGAGGGGCTGTCAGGGGCAATGGGAGGGAGTTATAGTGGCAATGGGAGGGAGCTATGGGGCAATGGGAGGGACCCATAGGGAAAATGGGGAGGGAGCTATAGGGGCGATGGGGAGGGAGCTATAGGGGCGATGGGGAGGGAGCTATAGGGGCGATGGGGAGGGAGCTATAGGGGAAATATAGGGGGGCTATAGGGCAATGGGAGGAGGACTAAGGGGCAATGGGAGGGAGCTATAGGGGCGATGGGGGGGAGGGACCCGTAGGGGCGATGGGGAGGGCCATCTCCTCCCCATTCCCAATGGGATCCCACCATGACCATGGATGGGGCCATCTCCTCCCTATTCCCAATGGGATCCCACCATGGCCATGGATGGGGCCGTCTCCTCCCTATTCCCAATGGGACATGGAGATGGGTCCTTATGGAGATGCGTCCTTATGGAGATGATTCCCTATGGAGATGATTCCCAATGGGACATGGAGATGGGTCCTTATGGAGATGGATCCTTATGGAGATGGATCCTTATGGAGATGGATCCTTATGGAGATGATTCCCAATGGGACATGGAGATGGGTCCTTATGGAGATGATTCCTTATGGAGATGATTCCCAATGGGACATGGAGATGGTTCCCATTGGAGATGATTCCCATTGGCCATGGAGATGATTCCCATTGGAGATGGCTTCTTATGGAGATGATTCCCACTGGAGATGCTTCCCATTGGAGATGCTTCCCATTGGAGATGATTCCCATTGGCCATGGAGATGATTCCCATTGGAGATGATTCCCATTGGCCATGGAGATGATTCCCATTGGAGATGGTTCCCATTGGAGATGATTCCCACTGGAGATGCTTCCCATTGGAGATGATTCCCATTGGCCATGGAGATGATTCCCATTGGAGATGATTCCCATTGGCCATGGAGATGATTCCCATTGGAGATGATTCCCATTGGCCATGGAGATGATTCCCATTGGAGATGATTCCCATTGGAGATGATTCCCATTGGCCATGGAGATGATTCCCATTGGAGATGATTCCCATTGGAGATGATTCCCATTGGCCATGGAGATGATTCCCATTGGAGATGATTCCCATTGGAGATGGCTCCTTATGGAGATGATTCCCATTGGCCATGGAGACGCTCCCCTCCCCCCATCCCATCCCCACCCCCTCCCATTACCCCCACACCACCCTTCCCACATCAACCCCCTCCCCATCCCCATATCCCCTCCCCCCCCCATTCACCCCATCCCCCCCTCCTCCCCTTCCCCTTCCCCATTCCCCCCTATAGCCCCACAGCTCCCATCCCGGACCCCCAATCCCTCCCCATCCCTATGGCCCCGTCCCGCTCCGGCGTGCGCCCGTTGGTGCTTCTGGAAGTGGACGGTGCTATTGAAGCTCTTCCCGCACACCCCACAGATATGGGGCCGCCCCCCATCGTGGGTGCGTTGGTGCCGGTAGAGGTGCGAGGTGCGCCCGAACCGCTTCCCGCATTGGGGGCACCCATAGGGGCGCTCCCCAGTATGGATGCGCCGGTGCCGTTCCCAATGGGAGCTCCACGAGAAGCTCTTCCCGCACGCCCCACATCTATAGGGTTTCTCATCCCTATCCCCATTGAGGTGAAGGCGTTGGTGTTGGATCAACGCCGGAGCGTCGACGAAGCTCTTCCGGCATCGGGAACACTTATAGGGCCGTCGGCCCCGATGGGTGCGTTGGTGGCGTTGGAAGTGGAGGATGCTCCCATAGGATCGCCCGCAATAGGTGCAGATATAGGAACGCCCCCCGTTATGGGTGCGTTGGTGCCGGTAGAGATGCGAGGAGCGCCCGAACCGCTTCCCGCATTCGGGGCACCCATAGGGTTTCTCTCCAGTATGGACGCGTTGGTGCCGTTCCCAATGGGAACTCCACGGGAAGCTCTTCCCGCACTGGGAACACTGGAACGGCAACGGGTTCCGGTGGAGGCGGCGATGGGAGTCGAGGTCTCGGCACGGATGGGATGCGCTGCGGGGTGATGGGGATGAATGGGATGAATGGGAACGTTGGTGCCGGTAAAGGTTGGAGCTGACGTTGAAGCTCTTCCCACAATGGAGGCATGGGAATGGTCTCTCCCCAGTATGGATGCGCTGGTGCTTGGTGAGGTGGGAGCTGCAGGCGAAGCTCTTCCCGCATTCCAAGCATTGGAATTCCAAGGGTTGCCAAGGGGCTTTGGTTGCCGTGGCAACGGGATGCTCCGGTGGATGGACCGCGGGCCAATGGGACCGCTCCGCAGTGGCTTCAATGGGGTCCGTCGGGGTGATAGGGGCTGGGGGTAAAGGGGGATGGGGTCAGGGATGGGGTGGGGATGGGGATCCCGGGGGGAATAACAAAGGGGAGGGGGACCCGAAGAGGATGGGGACCTACGTCCCTATGGGAATGTCAAGGGGGATGGAGACACCAATCCCTATGGGAACATTAAAGGGGATGGAGACACCAATCCCTACGGGACCATTAAAGGGGATGGAGACACCAATCCCTATGGGAACATTAAAGGGGATGGAGACACCAATCCCTATGGGAACATTAAAGGGGATGGAGGCCATGATCCCTATGGGAACATCAAAGGGGATGGAGACACCAATCCCTATGGGACCATTAAAGGGGATGGAGACCTCCATCCCTATGGGAACATTAAAGGGGATGGAGGCCATGATCCCTATGGGACCATTAACGGGGATGCAGACCCCTATCCCTATGGGACCATTAACGGGGATGCAGACCCCTATCCCTATGGGACCATTAACGGGGATGCAGACCCCTATCCCTATGGGAACAAAAAAACACCAACCCAAACAAAAAACCAACCCAACACAAAAAACACAACCAACCAAAAAAACCCACCCAACAAAAAACCAACCAACAAAAAACCCACCCAACCAACAGAGACACCAATCCCTATGGGAACATTAAAGGGGATGGAGGCCATGATCCCTATGGGAACATCAAAGGGGATGGAGACATCAATCCCTATGGGACCATTAAAGGGGATGGAGACACCAGTCCCTATGGGACCATCAAAGGGGATGGAGGCCATGATCCTTATGGGACCATTAAAGGGGATGCAGACCCCTATCCCTATGGGACCATTAACGGGGATGCAGACCCCTATCCCTATAGGCTCCAGGTCTCCATCCCATTCCCAAGGCCCCATCCCCACTTACCCTGCATCCCGGGGGGGTCGGGGGCATCGTCCCCCCCATCACCCCCAAAGGGCTCCGGCTCCTCCAATCCCAATGGATCCATGTCCATGGCACGGGGACACTGCAGGGAGAGGAGGGGACCCCCCCTTTAACCCCCATTCCCAATCCCACCGGATCCATAGGGAATGGAGGGGACCCCCTTTGTCCCCCATCCCCATTCCCACTGGATCCACATGGGATGGATGGGACCCTCCTTGCCCCCCATCCCAGTGGATCCAAATGGGATTGGATGGGACCCCCTTTATCCCCCCTATCCCACTGGCTCCATATGGGATGGAGGGGACCCCCACTGCCCCCCATGCCCAATCCCACCCAGTCCATATGGAACGAAGGGCCCACCCCCCCCTTCATCCCCCCCCCCATCCCCATTCCCATTGGATCCATAGGGATACAGTGACCCCCCCCATTAACCCCCATCCCCATTCCCCCCCCATCCCCATGCAATGGATACGACCCCATTCCCCCCCCATCCCCGTTCCCATTGGATCCATAGGGATGCAGGACCCCCCCCTCCATTCCCCCCCATCCCCATTCCCCCCCATCCCCATGCAATGGATGCGACCCCATCCCATCCCCATTCCCACCTCCTCCATAGGGATGCAGGGACCCCCCCCATTTCCCCCCATCCCCAATCCCATCGGATCCACATGGGATGGATGGGACCCCATCCCCATTGAATCCATAGGGATGCAGTGACCCCCCCCATTAACCCCCATTCCCCCCCATCCCCATTCCCCCCCATCCCCATTCCCATTGAATCCATAGGGATGCAGTGACCCTCCCCATTAACCCCCATCCCCATCCCCATTGAATCCATAGGGATGCAGTGACCCCCCCATTAACCCCCATTCCCCCCATCCCCATTCCCCCCCCATCCCCATTCCCACCTCCTCCATAGGGATACAGGGACCCCCCCCTCCTTTTCTCCCATAGCCCGGACAAAGCCGGGCGGCGCCGATACCATTGAACGGATGGGGGGGGGGGGTGAACTAAACCCCCCCCCCATTCCCATTTTCCCCATTCCCAACCGAACCCCCCCCCCCCTTTCCATCGCATCCCGTACCCACAAAAGCGGCTCCGTTGTTCCCGATCCCGTTGATCCCAACGCTCCCTATCCCGGTTTTTCCTCCTTTCCCCCCCCCCCTTTTCCTGTCTATGGTGGGTACCACCCCCCCCCCCCCCCTGTATCCCGGTTGCTCCATCCCCTTCCTGTGTGCCCTGGATCACGGAGCCGGCGTGCAACAGTATCGCTTTATCCCACCCCATATCCCATATCCCAACCCCATATCCCACATTCCCACCCCATATCCCAACCCCATATCCCATATCCCAGCCCCATATCCCATTTCCCCCCCCCCATATCCCATTATTCCCACCCCTTTTTCATCCCATCCATCCCCATCCATCACCTCCGCATCCCGACGCCATCGGGACCAGGTAATGGGAGACACCAATGCAAAAGGGGGGGGGGTAACGCGGTTTGTGCCCCCATAGGGATGTATTTGGGGGGGGGGTCCCCCATTATCCTTATATCTCCCCCCCCCCCCATTTAAGCCCTGATCCCGCTTCCCTCCGGTCGAATTCCCACTTCCCTTCCCACCGGATCCAGCCGCGTTGTTTGCATCCCCCCCCCCATAGCCCCATTGAACCCTCTTAGACCCCCATTGAACCCCCTTAGACCCCCACTGAACCCCCTTAGACCCCCATTGAACCCCCCTAGACCCCCATTGAACCCCCTTAGACCCCCATTGAACCCCCTTAGACCCCCATTGAACCCCCCCATATCCCCACTGAACCCCCTTAGACGCCCATTGAACCCCCCCATAGCCTCATTAAAGCCCCTTAGACCCCCATTGAACCCCCCCATATCCCCATTGAACCCCCTTAGACACCCATTGAACCCCTTTAGACCCCCATTGGACCCCCCATATCCCCATTGAACCCCCTTAGACCCCCATTGAACCTCCCCATATCCCCATTGAACCCCCTTAGATGCCCCCATTGAACCCCCTTAGATGCCCCCATTGAACCCCCTTAGACCCCATTGAACCCCCTTAGGCCCCCATTGAACCACCTTAGACCCCCATTGAACCCCCTTAGACCCCCATTGGACCCCCATATCCCCATTGAAACCCCCCCCCAGCCCCATTGGACTGCCCCCAGCCCCATTGGACCCCGTTATATCTGTATTGGACCCCCCCATAGCCCCATTGGACCCCCCACATAGCCCCATTGGACCCACTTAGACCCCCATTGGATCCCCCCATAGTCCCATTGAAACCCTCATAGCCCCATTGGACCCCCCTAGACCCCCATTGGACCCTCCCCCTGCCCCATTGGACCCCCTTAGACCCCCATTGAACCCCCCTAGACCCCCATTGAACCCCCGCCATTCACCCCAATACCTCCTCTCCATCGCAGTGTTCCCCAGTGCCCTCCCCACCCCAGCCCCATTCCAGTCCTCGGGACGCTCATTCCCATTGGGAGAAGATGCAGGAGAGCTACGAGAGCGTCATCTCCTTGGGTGAGGCCCCCATTCCCGGGGGGATCCCCCCCCCCCTTTGCAATGGGGGTTCCGGGGCTGGGAGGAGCCGGGATCCCCATTCCCGTTGTTCACCCATAGCCGAGGAGATCGCCATCAGTTGGCCGCGGATCACGGCCTTCGCCGAATCCCATCGCAGGAGGGGCACGGGGGACGGTGAGTGCCGTGGGAATGGTGTCGGGGTGATCCCGTTGGGATCCGTTGGAACCCCCAAAAACCCATTGGGTTCCATTGAACCCATTGGGTTCCATTGGGTTCCCATTGGATTCCCATTGACTTCCCATTGGGTCTCCATTGGTTTCCCATTGACTTCCCATTGGGTTCCATTGGGTCCATTGGTTCCATTGATTCCCTTGGGATCCATTGAACCCATTGGGTTCCATTGGGATGATCCCGTTGGGATCCATTGGGATTCCATAGAGAAGATCCCATTGGGACTCCATTGGGATTCCATTGAGGAGAGCCCATTGGGTTCCATTGAACCCATTGGGATCCATTGGGCCCATTGGGATCCATTGGAACCCATTGTTCATTGGAACCCATTGTTCATTGGGCCCATTGGGTTCCATTGGAGACCCATTGGGTTCATTGGAGAGCCCATTGGGTTCCATTGGGATGAGGAGAGCCCATTGGGTTCCATTGAGGAGAGCCCATTGGGTTCCAGTGGGATGAGGAGATCCCGTTGGATTCCATTGAGGAGATCCCATTGGAATTACATTGAGAAGATCCCATTGGGATTCCATTGGGATGATCCCATTGGGATTCCATTGAGAAGATCCCATTGGGATTCCATAGAGAAGATCCCATTGGAATTACATTGAGAAGATCCCATTGGGATTCCATTGGGATGATCCCGTTGGGATTCCATTGAGAAGATCCCATTGGGATTCCATAGAGAAGATCCCATTGGAATTACATTGAGAAGATCCCATTGGGATTCCACTGGGATGATCCCGTTGGGATTCCATTGAGAAGATCCCATTGGAATTCCATTGAGAAGATCCCATTGGGATTACATAGAGAAGATCCCGTTGGGATTACATAGAGAAGATCCCATTGGGATTCCATTGAGAAGATCCCGTTGGGATTACACAGAGAAGATCCCAATGGAATTACATAGAGAAGATCCCATTGGGATCCATTGGGATTCCATTGAGAAGATCCATTGGGATCTTCTTCCATTCCAATGGAAGTCCATTGGGATAAAAGGCATGGAATGATGGGTTGGATGCAAGCAGCATCATGGGGGCAACCAAGTGATGGGGTTGGGTGGTCATTGAGAAGATCCCATTGGGATTCCATTGAGAAGATCCCATTGGGATTACATAGAGAAGATCCCAATGGAATTCCATTGGGACAAAAGGCATGGAAGGATGGGTTGGATGCAACCAGCATCATGGGGGCAACCAAGTGATGAGGGTTGGTGGCCATTGGGAAGATCCCATTGGGACAAAAGGCATGGAAGGATGGCTTGGATGCAACCACCATCACGGGGGGCAACCAACCAATGGGCTTGGCCGATTTGCCTGCATCTCCCCCCCCGTTCTCTCCCCTATAGACGATTCCCCATTGAGCGACAACGAAGACGAGGACCCCCCCCCTGGCCCCCTGCCTAAACCCGATCCCATCCCCCCCCCATCCCCCATTCCCCCCTCCAAAACAGGGGGGGGGGACCCCCCTAAAAACACCCCTCCCCCCTCAAAACCCCCCCGGAAACGATCCGGAAACCCCCGGAACTTCCGGAAGTTCCCATCCCGATGCCAGGATTGCGGCAAGGCCCCGGCGTTCCCGAAGCGAGGGAAGTGTCCGGAATGCGGGGAGCGTTTCCGGTTGGGGTCCCCCATTCATCCCAATGCACCCCAACATCGCAACGGCGGGGAGAAGGACCCCAAGTGTCCGGAATGCGGGAAGAGCTTGGGTAAGCATCGTCGGCTCCCTATGGAAGAGAAGCCCTACAAGTGTGGGGAGTGCGGGAAGGGTTTCCATTGGAATTCCCACTTGGAACGGCACCGGCGCATCCACACCGGGGAGCGCCCCTATGGGTGCCCCGATTGCGGCAAGCGCTTCAGTTGGAGCTCCCATTTGGAACGGCACCGGCGCATCCATGGGGTCCCATCGGATGCACCCCAATCACCGGAGGAGCCATTCCAATGCGGGGAATGCGGGGTTGGCTTCACCAAACGCGCCGCCTTAACCAAGCACCGCCGGACCCATAGCGACGCCGATCGGCCCCATAAGTGTGGGGAGCGCGGGACCCACCGGCGCCGTGGGGCCGGCAAAGCGTTTCCATGCGGGGAATGCGGGAAGAGCTTTGCGTGGAGCTCCCATTTGGACCGGCACCGGCGCATCCACGGTGGGGAGAAGCCCTATGGATGCCGGGATTGCGGGAAGAGCTTCTCCCAGTATTCCCATTTAGAGCGGCACCGGCGTCTCCATTCATCAATGGGTCGGTGCGTTGAGTGCGGTACCACGGATGCAACCAAACGGACGCGGTTATGGGGCGGCGACGGGCAACGGCGTCCCTATGGGGCGAGCCGCGCGTGCGGTGAATGCGGCGAGAGCATCACTTATGGGGCGGGGAGGGTGAAGGACCAAGGGACGCAGACCGGGGACAAGCCCTATGGATGCGGGGACTGCGGGAAGAGCTTCGGGCAGAGCTCGGCGTTGGCCAAGCACCGGCGCGTGCACACGGGGGAGAAGCCCCATAAGTGTGGGGAGTGCGGGAAGAGCTTTGGGGTGCGCTCCAACCTCGTCAAGCACCAACGGACCCATTTAGGGGACAAGCCCTACAAGTGCGGGGATTGCGGTAAGGGGTTCATCCAGAAGTCGGATCTCACCAAGCACCGCCGCATGCACACGGGGGAGAAGCCCTACAAGTGTGGGGCGTGCGGGAAGTGCTTCAGCGTCTCCTCCAACCTCATCAAGCACCAACGCATCCATTTGGGGGAGAAGCCCTACCAGTGCTCCCAGTGCGGCAAGAGCTTCATCCAACGCTCCGAGCTCACCATCCACCAGCGCGTCCACACCGGGGAGAAGCCCTACAAGTGTGGGGCGTGCGGGAAGTGCTTCAGCCGCAGCTCCCACCTCAACCGCCACCAACGCACCCACAGCGGGGACAAGGCCAAAGCCAACCCCGGCAACGCCGACGCCAACGACGCCGACGCCGCCGCCTTCGCGCCCGTCCCGGCGCTGCCGCCCTTCCCCGGCGCGGTGCCGGGCTTGGAGCTGCCCTGGGCCCTGCCCTTCCCTGCCCGCGCCTTCCCCCAGCCCTGCTGCCCCCCGGCTCCAGCCCCAGGGGCTCAGGCCTCGACCCTCAGCAACTGAGCCCCGGCCCCACGGCCCCATGGGCACAATGGGGGCGGATGTGGGGCCGGGGAAGGGATGGGGTTGGGGTGGGCCCAAACGGAGACAGGGGAAGGGGGGGGTTGAAGGGGGCTATGGGGTGGGGAAGGAGCCTTCGGGGTATGGGGGCAAGGGCACTCAGCACCCGAGTGGGGTTGGCCAACGAGAGGAGTCACTGGGCTCGTTCCATTGACCCGAGTGGGGTTGGCCAACGAGAGGAGTCATTGGGCTCGTTCCATTGACTCGAGTGGGGTTGGCCAACAAGAGGAGTCATTGGGCTCGTTCCATTGACTCGAGTGGGGTTGGCCAACGAGAGGAGTCATTGGGCTCGTTCCATTGACCCGAGTGGGGTTGGCCAACGAGAGGGGTCATTGGGCTCGTTCCATTGACTCCAGTGGGGTTGGCCAACGAGAGGGGTCATTGGGCTCGTTCCATTGACCCCAGTGGGGTTGGCCAACAAGAGGAGTCATTGGGCTCGTTCCATTGACTCCAGTGGGGTTGGCCAACGAGAGGGGTCATTGGGCTCGTTCCATTGACCCCAGTGGGGTTGGCCAACGAGAGGAGTCATTGGGCTCGTTCCATTGACTCGAGTGGGGTTGGCCAACGAGAGGAGTCATTGGGCTCGTTCCATTGACTCCAGTGGGGTTGGCCAACAAGAGGAGTCATTGGGCTCGTTCCATTGACTCCAGTGGGGTTGGCCAACGAGAGGAGTCATTGGGCTCGTTCCATTGACCCCAGTGGGGTTGGCCAACAAGAGGAGTCATTGGGCTCGTTCCATTGACCCCAGTGGGGTTGGCCAACAAGAGGAGTCATTGGGCTCGTTCCATTGACCCGAGTGGGGTTGGCCAACGAGAGGGGTCATTGGGCTCGTTCCATTGAGTCCAGTGGGGTTGGCCAACGAGAGGAGTCATTGGGCTCGTTCCATTGACTCGAGTGGGGTTGGCCAACAAGAGGAGTCATTGGGCTCGTTCCATTGACTCCAGTGGGGTTGGCCAACGAGAGGGGTCATTGGGCTCGTTCCATTGAGTCCAGTGGGGTTGGCCAACGAGAGGAGTCATTGGGCTCGTTCCATTGACCCCAGTGGGGTTGGCCAACGAGAGGAGTCATTGGGCTCGTTCCATTGACCCCAGTGGGGTTGGCCAACAAGAGGAGTCATTGGGCTCGTTCCATTGACCCCAGTGGGGTTGGCCAACAAGAGGAGTCATTGGGCTCGTTCCATTGACTCGAGTGGGGTTGGCCAACAAGAGGAGTCATTGGGCTCGTTCCATTGAGTCCAGTGGGGTTGGCCACCAAGACCACCCCCTTTGGAGCTATTTTGTCCATTTTCCCATTAATTCCATGGAATTTTGGGGCTCGGGTGCTTTTCCAGGTGGATTTCACCCCAAATTCCCTGCTGCTGGGTGGGATTTGCAAGGATTCCTCTTGGTTCCCCCCATGTTTTAGGCCCCATCCCTCGCAGTGGGGTTGGTCCCATTGGGAACAAGGATTTGTCCCTGTTTTCCCGTTCTTCCCCCATTCAATGGCTGGGGTAAGGGTTTGGGGAAAGGAATGGATGAAAAGTGTGGGATTGGGAAGGGTTGGATGGAATCTGAATTGGGTCAAGAGGAGCGCATTGGGATGGGAAGGGCTGTGTTGGGAATGGAGGAGGAAGGGGGAATAGCGCCCCCAAAAGAGGGGACATGGATATAGGAAAGAGGAGGGAAGGAATGGGGAAAGAAGGGAAGGGTACGGGAATGGGAGCGTCATCGGTGCTGAATGTAGGGAAAGGGATGGGTGGAGGAATGGATGAGGATGATGATGGATGATGGTGGATAATGGGTGATGGATGGATAATGGATGGATGATGATGATGGATGGATGGATGATGGATGATGATGATGGATGGATGATGGATAACGGTTGATGGGTGGATGATGGATGCATGGATGATGATGGATAACAGATGGATAATGGTTGATGGATGATGGATGGATGATGGATGATGGATGGATGATGATGGATGGATGATGGATGGATGGATGGATGATGGATGATGATGATGATGGATGGATGATGATGGATAACGGTTGATGGATGGATGATGATGGATGGATGATGATGGATGATGGATGATGGTTGATGGATGATGGATGGATGATGGATGATGGATGGATGATGATGGATGGATGATGGATGGATGGATGGATGATGGATGATGATGATGATGGATGGATGATGATGGATAACGGTTGATGGGTGGATGATGGATGCATGGATGATGATGGATAACAGATGGATAATGGTTGATGGATGATGGATGGATGGATAACGGATGGATGGATGATGATGGATGGATGATGATGATGGATAACATGGATAATGGTTGATGGATGATGGATGAATGAATGATGGATAATGGATGGATGAAGGATGGATAATGGATGGATGGATGATGATGATGGATGGATGATGATGGATGGATGATGGATGGATGAAGGGATGGATGGATTAATGGATGGATAATGGATGGATGGATAATGCATGGATGATGATGGATGGATGGATAATGGATGGATGATGGATAGATTGATGATGGATGGATGATGGATGGATGGATGATGGATGGATGGATGATGGATGGATGGATGATGGATGGATGGATGGATGATAATGGATGGATGACGGCACCAATGGGGCACAAGGTCCCACCAAGACCCCAGAGAACCCACCACCACCCCAAAGGATCCCAAAGCCCTTCCCTGAAGGCATCACAGGGGGGTTCCTCCTCTTCAGAACTGGGATTTGGGATGGAATCCCACTGTTTCCCATCCCGGAGCTCCCAAAGCCGCCATTGGCCGTGTCCTTTGTCCATGGTCTTCTTCTCGTGTCTCATTGTATGGGGTGGGTTTGGGGGGGGGATTCCTCATCTTCTGTTTTCCATGATGGGAATAAAGTAGAACGTAGGAGCTTGGGATGAGGTCTTCTCCTTGGGATGGGGGCGCTGCGGATCCCGTATCCAAAGGGAGTCCCATTGGGGTTGGGAATGGCCATGGGTGCTCCTCAGGCTTCAAGGGTTGGATGGCTGGAGGACATCTCCAATGGGGTTCATCCCATTTCCAGTGGGTTCATCCCATTTCCAATGGGTTCATCCCATCTCCAATGGGGTTCATCCCATATCCAGTGGGATTCATCCCATTTCCAATGGGTTCATCCCATTTCCAATGGGTTCATCCCATATCCACTGGGATTCATCCCATTTCCAATGGGTTCATCCCATCTCCAATGGGATTCATCCCATTTCCAGTGGGTTCATCCCATTTCCAGTGGGGTTCATCCCATTTCCAATGGGTTCATCCCATCTCTAATGGGGTTCATCCCATTTCCAGTGGGTTCATCCCATTTCCAATGGGGTTCATCCCATCTCCAATGGGTTCATCCCATCTCCAATGGGGTTCATCCCACCTCCAATGGGGTTCATCCCATCTCCAATGGGATTCATCCCACCTCCAATGGGGTTCATCCCACCTCCAATGGGGTTCATCCCATCTCCAATGGGGTTCATCCCACCTCCAATGGGGTTCATCCCATCTCCAATGGGTTCACCCCACCTCCAATAGGGTGCCAACAGTGGGACCCCCATTCCCAATGGAATCCCAAGCCCCCCATCCCATTCCCTATAGGAAGCACCCCAAAACACGCGGATATCCCATTGTGGGGGGGTTGGGATTTGGGAATACACCAAGAAATCCATCGGGAATAGGCTGGGAACATCCATTTACTCCTTGGGATTTACACTGGGAATGACCCCATCCCATCCCATCCCATCCCATCCCATCCCATCCCATCCCATCCCATGGGGCTGCCTCGAACCTGGGGGGTTCTCATCACAGCCAGCCCAGATCCCAATACTGGGAATAGGGAATCCCATGGGCTCCAATCCCGATGATGGGAATAGGGAATTCCATGGGCTCCAATCCCAATACTGGGAATAGGGAATTCCATGGGCTCCAATCCCAATACTGGGAATAGGGAATTCCATCGGCTCCGGATCCCAATAGCGGGAATAGGGAATTCCATGGGCTCCAGATCCCAATACTGGGAATAGGGAATTCCATGGGCTCCAATCCCAATACTGGGAATAGGGAATTCCATCGGCTCCGGATCCCAATAGCGGGAATAGGGAATTCCATCGGCTCCCGATCCCAATAGCGGGAATAGGGAATTCCATCGGCTCCCGATCCCAATACTGGGAATAGGGAATTCCATCGGCTCCGGATCCCAATACTGGGAATAGGGAATTCCATGGGCTCCCGATCCCAATAGCGGGAATAGGGAATTCCATCGGCTCCGGATCCCAATAGCGGGAATAGGGAATTCCATCGGCTCCCGATCCCAATAGCGGGAATAGGGAATTCCATCGGCTCCCGATCCCAATAGCGGGAATAGGGAATTCCATCGGCTCCCGATCCCAATACTGGGAATAGGGAATTCCAGGGGCTCCGGATCCCAATACTGGGAATAGGGAATTCCATGGGCTCCCGATCCCAATAGCGGGAATAGGGAATTCCATCGGCTCCGGATCCCAATAGCGGGAATAGGGAATTCCATCGGCTCCAATCCCAATACTGGGAATAGGGAATTCCATGGGCTCCGGATCCCAATACTGGGAATGCCATGGGACAGGGATCCCAGCATCACTATGGGGGGAGCAGATGAACCCAAACCCCCCTCCATGGTCAAGAAGAAGCTTCCAAGAGTGGGGGGCACCAGATCCAACCTTCACCCCATGGCTCCTATGGGGAGGTTGAAGCCACCCCATGGGTTCCTATGGGGAAGATGAAGCCACCCCATGGGTTCCTATGGGGAGGTTGAAGCCCCCTTGGTCTTCTTGGGTACCTCCAAGCTTCACCCCATGGTTTCTATGGGGAGATCAAAGCCCCCTTGATCTTCTTGGGTCCTTCCAACCTTCACCCCATAGGGAAGATGAAGCCCCCATGGTGATACTGAAGCCCCCTTGGTCTTCTTGGGTACCTTGAACCTTCACCCCATGGTTTCTATGGGGAGATCAAAGCCCTCTTGATCTTCTTGGGTCCTTCCAACCTTCACCCCATGGGGAAGACGAAGCCCCCATGGGGAAGACCAAGCCCCTATGGGGAAGATGAAGCCCCCATGGTGACACTGAAGCCCCATTGCTCTTCTTGGGTACCTCCAACCTTCACCCCATGGTTCCTATGGGGAGATCAAAGCCCCCTTGATCTTCTTGGGTCCTTCCAACCTTCACCCCATGGGGAAGATGTAGCCCCCATGGGGAAGACCAAGCCCCTATGGGGAAGATGAAGCCCCCATGGTGACACTGAAGCCCCCTTGGTCTTCTTGGGTACCTCCAACCTTCACCCATTGGTTCCTATGGGGAGATCGAAGCCCCCTTGATCTTCTTGGGTCCTTCCAACCTTCACCCCATAGGGAAGATGAAGCCCCCATAGGGAAGACCAAGCCCCCATAGGGAAGATGAAGCCCCCATGGTGACACTGAAGCCCCCTTGGTCTTCTTGGGTACCCCCAACCTCCACCCCATGGTTTCTATGGGGAGATCAAAGCCCTCTTGATCTTCTTGGGTCCTTCCAACCTTCACCCCATAGGGAAGATGAAGCCCCCATAGGGAAGATGAAGCCCCCATGGGGAAGATGAAGCCCCCATGGTGACACTGAAGCCCCCTTGGTCTTCTTGGGTACCTCCAACCTTCACCCATTGGTTCCTATGGGGAGATCGAAGCCCCTTTGGTCTTCTTGGGTCCTTCCAACCTTCACCCCATGGGGAAGATGAAGCCCCCATGGGGAAGACCAAGCCCCCATGGGGAAGATGAAGCCCCCATGGGGAAGACCAAGCCCCCATGGGGAAGATGTAGCCCCCATAGTGAAGACCAAGCCCCCATGGGGAAGATGTAGCCCCCATAGTGAAGACCAAGCCCCCATGGGGAACACAAAGCCCCCATGGCACCCCTGAACCCCTCTTGATCTCCTTCGGGACCCCCTTGCTCCCCATTGGTCCTTCCCCCTTTTACCTATTAGAGACTGACGCTCCGATGATGCTTCAGGTGTCCTGGAGCAGCCCGGTACCTCTGCCCCCCCTCCATGTCCTCACCATGGAGACTGGTGGCATCCGAAAGCCCCATGAGATGCTCCACCGAGTCGAACTTCTGCAGGTCCGAGGCGATGGTCTGGAGGCTGAGCACCGATAGGTCATCCCCGGAAGCTCCTCCCACTCCTAAACGGGAGCCAATGGGAGTGGATTCGGAGGGAGGGGGCGGAGCTAAGCCTTCTGCGCCAATGGGGGAGCGGCGATGGCGGCGGCGGGCGTGGATCTGCTCGCTGATCTCCTCCAGGTTACGCAAGGCCACCGAGTACCGGGTCTTGGCGTGGGTGACGCGGGCCTCCAGCGCCGTCACCGTGGCCTTGTGCTCCTATGGGGTGGGAAGGGGGGGGTAAGGGTGGGGTATGGGGGGGACGGGGTGGGAAAGGGGATGGACACCAGAAAGGGATGAAACCACCCCAAAAAGAGGTGAAACCACCCCAAAAAGAGGTGAAACCACCCCAAAAAGAGGTGAAACCACCCAAAAAAGAGAGGAAACAACCCAAAAAGAGGTGAAACCACCCCAAAAAGAGGTGAAACCACCCCAAAAAGAGGTGAAACCACCCAAAAAAGAGAGGAAACAACCCAAAAAGTGATGAAACCACCCCCAAAAAGAGGTGAAACCACCCCAAAAAGAGGTGAAACCACCCAAAAAAGAGATGAAACCACCCAAAAAGAGGTGAAACCACCCCAAAAAGAGGTGAAACCACCCCAAAACCATCTCCATCAGCCCTCCAAGGTGCCCCATGGCCACGCTGGGTCCTTCCTGCTCTCCTAGACCCCAGAACTGATGAAACCACCCCAAAAAGAGGCAAAACCACCCAAAAAAGTGACAAAACCACCCCAAAAACAGTCGAAACCACCCAAAAAGTGATGAAACCACCCCAAAAAGAGATGGAACCACCCAAAAAAGTGATAAAACCACCCCAAAAATACACGAAACCACCCCCAAGAAGCGACGATCCCCCCTCCATCCATCCCCTCCATCCAACCCCATCCCTCCATCCCCATTGGTCCCCATCCATCCCCATTGGTCCCCATCCATCCCCATTGGTCCCCATCCATCCCCATTGGTCCCCATCCATCCCCATTGGTCCCCCATAGGCCGGTACCTCCAGGAGGCGGTTCAAGTGCGCCTTGAGCTCGAAGTAGGGCTTGCTCTTGAGGATGGCCCCCATTGGTCCCCATCCATCCCCATTGGTCCCCATCCATCCCCATTGGTCCCCATCCATCCCCATTGGTCCCCCATAGGCCGGTACCTCCAGGAGGCGGTTCAAGTGCGCCTTGAGCTCGAAGTAGGGCTTGCTCTTGAGGATGGCCCCCATTGGTCCCCATCCATCCCCATTGGTCCCCATCCATCCCCATTGGTCCCCATCCATCGTAAAAAATGA